CCGAGTGGCCGGCACCATCGATCGGTTCAGGCCGTCGAGAGGGATCGCGCCGAGACCGTCGACTGTCGCCGGAGCGGCCACCTGCCGAGGGCGGCTGGCGTCCCAGGGAAGGGGACAGCCAATGCGTAGATCAGGGAGTAAGTGTAGAGTCCTCGTCCCGAGACCCGGTGGCCGAGCTTGGAGAAGGGAGGGACTTGGACGCGAGAGGCTCCGCCTGTTTCCGAGCTGGGGGACGGGACGGCCTGCAGAGACGGGGAGAGGAAGGCGGGGCAGAGCCCGTCCAGTAAACTGGCGACGGCGCGCGAGTTACCATCGGCTGGGAAGACGCCAACATCATCCCCGTTTTAAAGACAGAAAAATAAAGCCCAGAGGGGAGGAGACTCGCCTCAGCCACGCAGCTGGGGCCGCGGCCGCGGTGGCACACACAGCCGCCCGGCTCTGCCCCCCCAGAAGGGCCCCTGGGTACCAGTCCAGAGCCCGGGCCCGCAGGGAGGGTCCCACGGCGCGGGGGGCGATGGCTGTGGGAGAGGCCCCGGGAAGACAAGACAGAGCCAGAGACAAGCACAGGCATCTCCACCCAGGCAGCAGCTGCTCCCAGCTATGTCACGACTTGTCAAAGAGCAGAAATAGAAGCCGTCCAGGGAGGGGAAAGGGGTGGGCGGCCTGCCCCAGCTTGTGGGCCCACAGGAGGGCGGGAGGGGCCGGAAGGGAGAGGGCGGGAGGGGCGGGGCGGGGGCGTCCAGCGGTGAGCAGGGCAGGTAGATGCCAGGCAGGTCTAGAATGGGGACAGAGAGCCCCCCGGTGGCCTTTCTGAGGGACTGGCTGTGGGGGCAGATGCAGAGACGGGAAAGGACAGGGTCCTCGCTGACCCCGGCTGACCCCCGCTGACCCCTGAGGCCCTCCGACCTGGCCCCGGCCCCACGCACAAGCTCGCCGGCAGAGTCGGACAGGAAGGCCACCGCGCAAGGGGCCGCGTGGGTCACTCAGCACAGCCGAGGTGCGAAGGGGGGCCCGCAAACCGGAGAGGAGAACGGGCTTCCGCGCCCTGACCCCTGACCCGGGGCTCCCGCCTCTGCTGCCCAAACTTCCTCCCAGCGTCCGTCTCAGCCCCCGAGGAGCCACTCCGGAGAGATCGCCACCCATGTCCCCAGAGGCCCAGGGCCGCTCTGCCCACACTCCCCGCGGAGCCCGTGGCCACCGGTCCCTCCCCAGACCCCCACCCCCTCAGGACCACGCCCCTCCTTCCTCGGAGGCCGGAGATTCCCGGTGGGTGAGCCTGGCCCTGAGGCGGATTCCAGGCAGGGGCGACTTCCCAGCGGTCATCTGGAAACAATGTGCGGCCTCCCTGCCCTCACCCGGCTGCCCGCCCGCGCCCCGGCTCCCACGGGCCTCCAGACCCTCTTCCTAGTCGGGCCTCCGGCCCCCCCAGCCCCGCCCCCCCAGCCCCAGGGCGTCTGTCTTCTCTGCGTCTCTCCGCTGCCCCTTCCCTGATGTGTCCCTGGACTCTCCACTCGATGCCCAGAGCACCTCGAACTGCGGCCGCCTCCTGCCCGGGCCGAGCCCGCCTGGGAAGTGTGTGCTCGCTGTGGACTCTGGGCCCGGCCTGCCGGCCGGCCTCGACCACAGGGCAGGAGAGGAGGCGCCTGACTCAGCCCCGAGGCCTCCGCGCAGGCGCCAGCCGCCAACACCCCGCGCCCTCCTGACCTCAGCTCTCCGTGCGCCCTCGCGAGGCCTTTCCTGTTCTGGGCCTCAGTTGCCCCATTTGTCGGAGGGAGGGTGGACCCTGACCTCAGGGAGCCTCCCAGCCCAGACCCTCTGACTGATCTGTCCCCACTGTGGTTCTGGCCTCCAGGGTCTGGGGAGGCTTTTCCTCCCACCCCGGCAGGGCCCAGGCTCAGGAACAAAAGCCCAGGCCCATTTGCAGAAGCCAGACCCCCTCCCGCTTCCCAGCGTGGGAGGCTCCTGAAGGGAACCTGCTCGGAAGCCCCGGAAGATGCCGGGAGTCGGACCGGCCGGGGGAGGAGCGGAGCGGAGCTGCACAGGGGACTTCCGAGACCATGCAAACGAGGTCGGCCCCACATGCAAAGCGGCAGCCACGCGGACACAGCCCTTCCTGGAGGGCCGGCGTGGGAGCGGAGGCCTGGGGCCGGCGCAGGGGGTGAGGGCCTGGCGCCCGCTGTCAGGCCCAGCTGACGGGTCTCCGCTGCCGGGAGCACAAAGCCCACTCTGTGGCGGCCCCAATGTGTCCCTGTCTGTCAGAGGGCCGCTCGCCGGGCGGGGGTGTGGGGGCGGCCCTGGCCTCTCGGTGGCTGCTCCCCAGCTCGCCCCTGAGAGCACCAAGGCGGGTCAAGGGGCAGGCCCCGTCAGGGCGCTGAGGTCGCGGGCACCGCGCTGCCCTGTCTCCTGAGTCCGTGAGGGCCTGTGCCCCCGAGCGGGGCCCTGACATGGTCCCCAGGCCAGACGGACCCCCGCCACGGATGGAGCCGCTGCAAGGCAGGCTCGCGAGGCCATCCCGGCCCTGGCGCCTGAGCCCAGCAGGTTGGAGGGAGGCCGCACCCCTGCCCAGCGCCAGGCCACCCTTCCTGGTGGCCAGCGGCCAGTGGCCGCGGCGGTGCCGCCGCATCCCTCTGCTGGGCGAGACGCCTGCCCTGCCGTCCTCCCTCACCGGCTCACGCCCTGGCACGGCACTCACCCGCGCCGCACCCGGCGGGCCAGGCCAGTTTCTGATGGAAAAAGTGGAGGTGTAAGGGCCTGGCCTGCACGGGGCGGGCCCCAGCCCCCCAGCCCCTCAGCCCCCCAGCCCCGCTGCCCCTTCCCTGAGGCCTCGAGCACGGCCCTGCGCAGGGTGCTTCCCCGCGCCTGCGCCCACCTGCCTCCGCAAGCGCCCACCTGCGCCCGCTCACCTGTGCCGGCTAGAGCCCCGTCCTCTCCCGCCGAATCCTTCACCTGCCTCTGAGCGGCCTCTGGGCCGGCTCCTCGCTCCCAAGGCGGCCATTCCGTCCCACGGGTGCCCCCGAGGGGTCCCGTCTCGCAGGCCTGTCCTGAGCCCCGACTGCTCCTCTCGCCCTTCGGACCCCGGGTGTGCTCCCCGGCCCCCACAGGCTTCCACAGACTCCGGGCCCCGCTGTGTGAGGTGCCGCGCTCCCTGCAGGGTTAAGACACCTCCCTCGCCCCGTGGTTCAACACTCACGCTGGTGTCCGGGGCGACGTCTAGACAGGAAGACCTGAAAACCGTCACGAAACAAGGCCATTTCTCCTGTGCCCATTTTTAGAGGATGTAGGTACACTGTTTGCAGGCCAGGGCCATTGGGTCCCACAGTTTCTGTGTTTCCATAGGAACGTCATCAGCTCCCCCATTCTCAGGGCCCATAGGGTTAGAGTGTAAACCAAGGCAGTTTTCTCTTTCTTCTTTTCTGTTTGGTGGGGGTGTTTTAGACACACAGGGTCTTCCCCAGTCCAGCGGGTTGGGCAGAGCCCCCGCGGGCACCTCCTATCTCACCGGGCGGGCAGGGGGCGGCGCCTGGAGCCAACTGCAGCCCCAACGTGCCGGCCTCCTCACTGCGGGTCCCGCCCAGGGCCGGGCGTTTCCCGGGTTCCCCGAGGCGAGGGGAGGCCGGGGACTGGGTCCTCCCAGCTCCCCACCTGGACCTCCCCTCCCGCGGACGTGTCCCCGGAGCCCCCCCGGTTTCCTGTCCCCCGTTGCCCTCTCCGCGGCCCGGACTGGCAGCAGCAGTCCCATCTGCCCCAGGGAGGGATAGGGCTCAGTCCCCTGGGTCCTGGCGACGACCCTGGGACGCAGGCACCGAGGGAATGGGCAGGCGGCAGTTCAGGGCCGAGGAGGCCGCCCTGGGGCCAGAGCCGGGCTCACGGGGCAGCGGCCGGGAAGGGCAGTCCGGCGCGGGGCCTGGGTGGCACCAGGTGACCGCCAGGGCCCGCGAGGGCAGAGCCCCTGCAGGTCTGAGTCGGGTCTTGTCCTCTCCTGGCCCTGGCGCCTGCCCGCTGCCCGGGGCTGGGCCCTCCCGGGCCCCGAGGCCTCTGCTGGGAGGGGACCACAGACTGCGGGGGCCGCCTGGTCCCTCCTGCACCCGACGCCTGAGACCACAGCCGCGCGCAGGGCTGATGGCTCGACGCGAAGATGCAGACCCACGCCAGGTGCTCAAGGAGAGCGGGGTTCACACTAGGTCAAGGGGTTCTGCCCCGCCCCCGCCGCCCCACGCAAGGAGTCCGGGGAAGCCTAGTGTCCGACTGGGGCAGAAACGGGCTTGAGGAGCCGACTCGGGAGGACCCGGAGGGAGAGAGGGAAGAGACGTAGGGGCGACCAGGCCGGACTCTCCCGGGCGTCGGCCGCTCTGCCCTGACCCGGGTGCTGGAGGCTTCCACTGACCCTGTCAGAGGAGAAATCCAGGACCCCAAATTCCTCTTGCCTCAGTTTATCCCCAGGCCCAGGAGCCCCGAGGGGCATACGGTGCCTGAGCCGTGGCAGACAGCGAGCGGAAGCCACCTGTCCCCCACGTTTCGCCCCCTCGCCCCCCACGCGGAGTCCCCCGCCTGCCCGCCGGGTAAGTCTGCTCGGAGCGCTGCCAGGGAGCCGAGGGACGGGTTACGGACGTAAGACCCCTTCCAGCCTAAACCCGCCCTTTCTGCCCCCACCCCTGCTTCTCTGGGGCCAGCGGAGACACAGCAGGCCGGCCCCCCGCCAGGAGTAATTGAAAGGAGCAGATGAGAATGTGTGCCCCCCACCTCCCTGCCTGCCCCACGGGGGCTGCTGAGAAATGAAAACTAGTCAAATTACACCCGACGGGCTCCCTCCCGGGCACAGGAGCCGCTGGCCGCGGGCGGGCAGCCTGGGTGGGTGGGTGGAGGCCGGGGCGGGGGTGGGGGCTCACGTCTAATCCACTGTGAACGTCTTGATGTGCAGCAACAGCTTAGAGGGGGCTCAGGTTTCTGTGGCGTTGGCTATATTTATCTCTGGTTCCATGCCAGCGGGGAGGGTTTAAATGGCACCCAGCAGTTGGCGTGAGGGGCTGGTGGCAGGAACAAGCCTCTTCCGACCCCATGGAGCTGTATGAGACGCCCCCCTACTTCTACCAGGAGCCCCACTTCTACGATGGGGAGAACTACCTGCCCGTCCACCTCCAGGGCTTTGAGCCAGCGGGCTACGAGCGGACCGAGCTCAGCCTGAGCCCCGAGGCCCGGGGGCCCCTCGAGGACAAGGGGCTGGGAACCCCCGAGCACTGCCCGGGCCAGTGCCTGCCGTGGGCGTGCAAGGTGTGCAAGAGGAAGTCCGTGTCCGTGGACCGGCGGCGGGCAGCCACGCTGCGGGAGAAGCGCAGGCTCAAGAAGGTGAATGAGGCCTTCGAGGCCCTGAAGAGGAGCACCTTGCTGAACCCCAGCCAGCGGCTGCCCAAGGTGGAGATCCTGCGCAGCGCCATCCAGTACATCGAGCGCCTGCAGGCCCTGCTCAGCTCCCTCAGCCAGGAGGAGCAGGGGCTGCGCTTCCGCGGCGGGGGCGGGCCCCAGGCGGGGGTAAGTGGCTGCCGGCGCCCGGCGGGCGGGGGCGGGGGCAGAGCCCGCGGCCCCCGCGGGCGGCTCCTCCGGCCGTCCCCTGTGAGAGCTGGGCTGTCCAGCAGCCCGTGTCCCCGCGTCCTTCCCGGGCAGGACAGAGGCAGAGGGAGGAGACGCAGAGACGGGTGGGGGGCAGAGGATGGAAGGAGGGGTCAGGGAGCAAGTCCAGGCTGGGCCGGCTGGCCGGGAGCCGGGAGGCGGCCCCAGAGCAGGGCCGAGCACACAGGGAGGACAGTGCTGCCCTGCCCGCGCGGCCCGGCCCCCGCCGCCGCTCAGAGAGGCCCTGGCTGAGCCGACGCCCCGCGCCAGGGGCCACCCCGGATGGGAGCCAGGAAAGGCCTGGAAGCCGGGGCGCAGGTGCCAGGCGGGGGCCGGGAAGGGGCTCGTCGTGACGATCCCGGGTGGGCTGGCGCGGGCTGGACCCCCTCGGCACAGGGGCTTCTGCCCGCGCGGCCCGGCAGAGGGCGCCGCCGGACGCTGCGCCTGACCTTGGGCCCCGGCCTCCCGCAGGTGGCCGGTGAGGGCCGCTCGCACAGCGCCTCCTGCAGCCCCGAGTGGGGCAGCGCCCTGGAGCTCGGCCCCAACCCAGGGGGTAAGTGAGGAGGGACCGGGTCGGCCGGGTTCCAACCCCTCAGCCCGTGTCCCGCCAGGTGGCTGCTCGCACCCCACTCCCTGCCCCGGGCGCCTTCCCTCGGCCCCTGCAGGGCCCCACCGCCCCCAGGGCCCCGGTCGCGGGCTGGGAAGCCCGTTGCCTCCCTGAAGCCCTGGCAGCTACAGAGGCCCGGGCCTCTACTGCTCGCGGCTGGTGCGGGCGGCTGGTAGCTGCCGTCCACATGGAGGGGCGGGCCCTGCCCCGGGGTCCCTGGGAGTCGCTGCGTCAGTGCCGCCCACTGGCCAGCAGGGACAGACACCTCTCCCGGGCCCCGCCCCCCCGCCCCCCCCCCGCCCCTGCCCCCCACAGTGGGAAGAGCTGCTTCCAGGCCCAGCCCCGGAGCCAGTGGGCAGAGTCGCCCCCGCCACTCGCATGCCCTCGGGAACCGCAGGAGGACCCTGAGCATTGCCCGCTCGACTGCCCGGGGTCTTGAGACGCTGTGTGCGCCCGGTACCACTCCGCCTTCTCCCCGCAGACCACCTGCTTGCAGCGGACCCTGCCGACGCCCACGACCTGCACGCGCTCACCTCCGTCGTGGACAGCGTCGGCATGGAGGGCGTCTCCGCGGCCTTCCCAGACGGAGCCATGCCCCGCTGAGGTCGTCCGCCGGGCCGGCGTCCGTGGCCACCGGCTGGCCACTGGCGCCCCACGGCCGCAGCGGGTCCCTGCGGAGGCCAGCTGGCCCCTCCTCACCCGCGCACCGTCTGCCCGCCCCCCCAGAGAGGGAGCGGGCGGCTCACTCCGCTGACCACTCAGGGCTCAGGCCGTCCCGGTTCCAGGGAGGTGACGCAGGGGACCAGAGTGCCCCGTGTGTGCCCTGGCTCGGGGGCACACTCAGGAGCTCCCCTCCGATCGCAGCTCAGCCTCCCACCCCGTCCCCAGCCCCCAACCACCGTTTGAGAGACAAAGACACAGCCCCAGCCCGCACGATGGCACCTCCTGCTCGGTCTCCTTCGGAGGCAGTGGCCGGGCTGGGCCTGCCCTGAGTTGGGAGAAGGGAGAGGGACAGTCCTCTGTCCCCAAGTCCCTGGGGGGCCAAGCTTCTGCAGCGAATCCTGGGAATCTTCCAGTGGTTTTATGTTTTGTTTGTTTTGTGTGTTGTTTGTGAAGCTGCCATCTGACCAAGGTGTCCTGTGCCACGTTGCCAGGGACAGGCAGGGGGAGGGGACGGGGACTTTCAGGGGTGATTTCTTTTGTTAACTAAGCAGTGTGTGGGTTTGCTATTGTTTTGTAATTTTTTTTTTTTTTTTTTTTTTTGCTAACTTATTTGGATTTCCTTTTTTAAAAAATGAATAAAGACTGGGTGCTGGAAGTCTGTGCCAGTGCCCGTGCCTCCTGCCCCGCCCTTCAGCCCAGACTGCCCCGGGGCGGGCCTGGGGCCTGGCGCCCCTGTTGCTGGGGGTCACTGGGCCCTGCTCTTCCCACGACACAGGAGGCCAGGCCGGGTCCACAGGCCAGGCGACGTCCCGTGTCCACAGAGGTGCCTGTGGGACAGGCAGGGAGCCCCGCTGAGTGTGCGCCGCCCTCTAGCTCAGGACGCTGCGGGTCCACTTAGCCTCGGCCCCCCCAGGCCTCCAACTCGTTAACTGAGCAGGCGCCAGGGCTCAGCCCACAGCCCGAGGGCAGGGGCGCGGATGAAACGGGGAGGGGGGGCCTCCCTGGGAGCCTGTAAGGGAGAGGAAGCGGGCTGCTGTTGCCCAGCCGGGGTTGGGAGGGAGAGCAAAGGCCCTAGACTGAGGTTCCACAGGCGCGTTGATGGTGGGCGGGGGGTGGGGGGCACCCGGGGCCACGGTGTCACTGGACCCTGAACATCTCCTCAGAACATCCTTACTTCCAATGGCTTCTGGCTACGTTTGTCTGATTTATTGCAAATTTTAAGTTTTGGAATCGTCACCGAAGTGCAGGGTTCAGAGTGCGGTCCGCCCCGGCCCCCAGCGCTTCGGAGCCCTGGCCGGGCGGAACCTAGAGTCACTCCGGGGACCTGGGCCTGGCGGGGCATCGCCCACAGCTGCCTCCTGACTCGCTCCCAAGGAGTGGGCTCAACATGGGGTCCCCAAGAAACTGCCTAAGGAGAAGGGGAAGTGGCCTCCAAGCGGCTCAGATCCCTGGGGAGCGTCTTGTCTCCCCTCCTGGGAAGGGTCACAGGAACAGTGGGGCTGCCCCGGACCCTCGGCCTCCCTGACGCAGGCCCTGCACCTCGCATCTCCCCGGGAGCCACGGCCCGCTGCCCCCAGCTGTCCCCGGCGGGGGCTCGCACTGCCCAAGGATGCCCCCCCCAACTAAGGAGCTGGTAGGCTCTGGGGTTGCTAGGTGTATTTTTAAGGCTCTTCCTCTTCAGTTATCAAGCCCACCGGCAACTGAGGTTCACGCTCATGTTCTGCCGAGAAGGAACCGTCCTCGGCAGCAAATGGCCCTCGGGGCGGGGGGTCCCCAGGGTCAGGCGTGGCCACCACCTGCTGGGCTGCTTCTCGGCTGCTGCGCCCTTCAGCTCCGCCAGGGGGAGAGGCTGCGAGGGATGGACGGCAAAGTCTGCCCAGCCTCGCGGCTGCTGCCCGAGCCCAGGGGCTTCCCTGAAGTGCAGGGAGCGGAGCCTTCACAGCCCGACAGACGAGGGTTAATGAACGAGTGGCAGTTCTTTAGGGAAATTAGTTTAAGTTCCTGGGGAGGCACCTGCAATAAGCCAAACGGGGTCGATCACTCCCTCTGCACCCCCGCAGCTCCAGGACCCAGCCCCCCACCCTCAGGCCCACGGTTACCAACCACCAGTGCCCACAATGCTGGCCCTTGCTCCCCGGGGTCCACCAGCCCCCGGGGCTGCGGAGGAAGCCGGACCCCGCAGGTGCGCTCGAGCTGACGAAAGCCCGGAGCCGTTTGTGAGCTGTCATAAAACCAGGGCGTTTACTGCAGCTGCACACGCACGCACACACACGCACACGCACAGCCTGCTCCTGCGGCCAGTGCACGAGGGGCAGGGACCCAAGACACAGGGCGGGGGCGGGGCCCCGCTGCTGGCGGCTCCGCAGATGCACAGACGGGGGTGATGGGGAGAAGCTGGCGGGACCCGGGAGCCTCTGGGGGAGGCGGTGCCTGTGCGTCCGCCCGGAGCCCCGAGAGGCGGCCCTGGGACGGGCCGTACAGGTCGGCCTCCGCCGGCGCCTGGGCCGGACGCACTGACGAGGGGGGGGCCTCACATCGTGCCCTCCTGCCTCTCCCCAGACCCAGGTCGTGGTCCGTGTACATTCAGCCCACGGGGAGGCCCGCTGTCCTGGGGCTGGGACACAGTGGAACGGCCCAGGGGGACGGCGGAGGGCAGGACGCAGGAGCGGGGCTGGCAGTGCCTGGGGGTGAGCTCGTCCGGCCCCACGGCTGCGGCCCACTGACCCCACGCCTGACTGCCCTCTGGGGGCGAGGCTGCCGCAGATCCTCGGCTCTCCGCTGGCCAGCCGCACCCACCGGGACCCTCGGCCCAAAGCTCAGGCCCACGCCTGGCCCACCCCTGGCCAGGCCCCTGCCGTCCCCGAACCCCTGAGGAGGCCCTGGGCGCAGAAGCCGCGGTGTCAGGCCATCGGGCTCAGCCAGGACGGGGTCAGGAACCAGGCCAGGCAGCCTGGGCTCCGCAGAGTCCGAGGGCCCTTCCCTTGGCAAGGCCGCCCCTGGCCCGCATCGCCGTCCCGCAGAGGACGAGGACCAGGACCAGGACCAGGCAGGGTCAAGGAGTCACACCAGCCAGGGGGTTGTCCTCTGCCTCTGGCAGGATCTGCCCGTCGCCAGGAGACGCAGCCACATCCACGGAGACGGACAAAGGACGCGGGCGGCGCTGTGGCGTGGGCTGCCGGGGCGTGCACGCGTCTGCTCCGAGGTCCAGGGCAGCTGGCGTCGCTTGGGGTCTGGGAGCCGTGGGAGGAGGTGTCGGGCAGGAGGGTCCGGGCGGGCGAGCCCGTGGGGCCTGGGGCCGTGGCTAGTCCCGGAAGGCGGAGAGCATGTGTCCATAGAGATAGTGGGAGTGCGCTGCGAGAGAGAGGGGCAGGCGCTGGGGGCAAGCAGCGGAGACCGGGCCGCAGGCACGGCAGGGGACGAGCGGGGAGGGCCAGGCCGGCGGAGCGGAGCCTGCCCAGGGCTGGCCGCCAGCCAGGCGGGCGCGGGAGGCCGTGCGCCAGGCCCGGCCCGCTCACCCCGCACCACAGGCACAGCGGCCAGGGCAGGGCGGGAGGGGTCAGCAGGAGCAGGTCCGCACCGTGGGCATCTCCGGTGTCTGAGCCCCGGCCATGCCGGCTGGGAGGGGTCGGCGGGCAGCCGGGGGACACACAGGGCAGCGGTCCGTGTGAGCGCTTGTGCTGGGTGGCCAGAGCCATGGCCACAGCAGGCTCAGTGCGGTGCTGGAGCGGGCCAGGCGGCCGCTCGCCACTCACCTTCGGGCGTGACCTTCCTCGGGGGGCCTGGCGGAGGCTGCAGGGGCCCCAGGGGGGGCGCGCCGAGTGCGCCGCTGGGGGGGTCCCGTGGCCGGAAGCGCTTCCTCCAGGAGGGTGCGCGGCGGAACACCCGGTCCTCCCCCTGCAGGGCCAGACATTGGAGGCGCCGCCTGCAGTGCCATCCCCGCTGGGGCGGGGCGGAGCCCCCCTGCCAGCCCTCCGGGAAGAAGGGGACACGGCTCTGGCCCCTCACTTCCACGTCCGTGACGTGAGTCAGGCTGCCGTGGACGGCGGCCTTGCGCCAGAGCGGCCCCTCTGGGGATTTGCCGCGGCCCTGCAGTGGGGCTGCCTGCCTGCAGCCCCGCCCCCGCAGCCGGGCCGGGGACCCCTGTGGCTTTTCGCGTCCTCCTCGCTGGTCACCGCAGGAAGTGGTCACCAGGCGGCCTCACGCTCACCCCTCCCTTCTCAGGCCTCTGGGGCCAGAAGACCTGGCTTCCCCGCCACCCTGACCCTCCTGTGTCCCCGTCTGTGAAAGGGGAGAAACAACCCACCCCGCCCCCGCTCGCCTGCCTGATGGGCCCCGAGAGACACGGGGGGATGGGCGGGCAGGCCCCTGAAGGGCCGGCGGGCGGGCGCTTCGTGGGCGCAGGCACCTCCCCTCCTGCTCCAGGCCCAGGAGCGTTTGTCTCACAGGCGCTTAGGAGGCTGCTTCCTCACGCCCCCGCCCCCACACCCGCTTCAACGTCCACCCCCCGCGGGACAGAGGCCGCCCTCACTGTTGTGCTGACCAGTGCAGCCCAGCCCCTGCCCGGCCCCGGACACTGCAGGCTCTCGCTGAGCACCGTGGGCGGCACTGGCTTCCTACGCAGGCGCCCCGTCCCCGGGTTTACCAGGAGTTCCCCCGATCGCATCTGTCCCCCCGGGGTCCTGCCCCGACCCGAGCCCACAGCCTCGCTTGGCCCGAGGAAGGGGCGAGCAGACCTGCCCTCAGGGACCCCAGCGTCACTCTGCCTGCCAACGGCCACCGCGGTGGGGCGGCTGGGACCCGGACGGGGCGTGCTGCCCACAGCACGGACAGGCGGGTCTATCAGGGAGGGAAGAGGCCCTGTCCCCAGGAGCCGGCCTCTGGGGGACCCGGCCCAGGGCTGGGGACTGGAAGACGCAGGGGAGGGCGCGGGGTGGCCTGTGGCCCCCTTTCCAGGGCCGAGTTCTCCCGCCCAGGCGCTGGGCCCCGCCTCCCCCAGGCCCCCCGCCAGCCTCCGCCCCAGGAAAGAACTGACCCCGGCTGTCCGACTTCTATCCAATGAACCGACAGCAACCAAACCCCAGGGCCCCTGCTTCACGGGGGGGGGGGCGGGGGGGGGGGCACTCACGTCATCCAGCTTCCGGTCTGTGCCCAAGGCCAGCAGGTTGCTGAACTCTCTCTCCATCACCTGGCGGGCCTGTGGGGCACAGGAAGGAGAGGGAGAGATGAGGGGCTACAGCCAGTGAGCTCAGTGCCTCCTGTTGGCCACCTGCTTCCCGGGGATCCAAGGACAAGTTTCAGGGTCCTCTTACAAGTCAGCTTAGGGAACTGCGACTTTTTAAAAAGGACACACGGACAGGAAAAACCCACATTTTGTCCTTAAGCGAAAACCATGCCGGGGCGTGGGGGGGGCGGGTGTGGCGTCAATGACCGTGTAGGCCACGGGTAACGGGGATCTAACTTATTCAGCTCAGGAAACATTCACAAGGCTCCTCATCTAGGACAACCCGAGAGGTGGCACGCCTGGCGGCGGGGGTGGGGGTGGCCCAGGGGCCGACTGGCACAAGACGTCTTCGCTGCGACTCCCAGGGGTTTCCCTCGGGAGAGTCTGGAAGTGCCAGCAATAAGCAAGGTTTCAAAAATGCCACTGGGTATATGCCCCACTTTCTAATGAAGGGCTCCCGGTGGCTCAGATCCCACCTCCCGAGCGCCCGGCCACCAAGGGTCAGGAGAGTCAGCAGGGCTGGGCCCGGCGGGCCCTGCCCGTCTACAGGTGAGCCCCGCCCGCAGCAGGGCGGGCGCGGGACAGGAAACCCGGGCGGGGCGCTCGCCCAGCCCGTCGAGCCCGTCGAGCGGCACCCTTCCACGCGCCGGGGGCAGGGGCGAATCCCCAGCACCAGAAGGCGCGCTCCTCCGGGCAGGGGCCGGCGAGGGCCGCACTCCGCCAGGAAACATCGCCAGAGCGGCAGGGGTGGGCAGCCGCGGAAATGATGCGCCTCAGGGACCGAGGGGCCGGAGGGCCTTCCGGACGTGCTGGCCAAGCGCCGACACCGCCCCGGAGGCCAGCCCGCCACCCAGAACTCCGCGACCACAGAGCCCTCCCCTCACACAAGCCGAACGCATCTGCTCCTGGAATAGCTCGCGCGGCTCTGGGACTGAATTTCAAGAGACCCGACAGCTGCACCCAGGCCAGCCGAGGGCGGCCGAAGTGACCAGGGCAGAAGGCGCCCCCGTGGGGGAGGCTAAGCCACCGAGAGTCCGCACAGACAAAGGGGGCTTGGGCCACAGGCAACCGCCCAGAGTTCATGGGTCCCAGAGATGAGCAGGGGTGAGCATATCGTCCCTCCGAAACCCGGAAGACTGGGACCGGGGCGTTTTAGGACGAATAAAATCAGGAAGAATTTTGACAGCAGGCGGGACCTCCAGGCTCCATGAGCCAAGGCCGAGCAGAGACCGGCCCGAGGGTTTGCCGTGCTCCTGGGCGGCGGCACCAGACCAACAAGGACGTGTAATTCACGGAGCCGCTCATGGGAGACGGAGCCCGGCTCTGGGCGGCCCCTGGCCCACTGGGCTCCTTCAGCTGGGGGCCCGGGCCCAGGGCCCCAGCGTGGGAGACGGAGGAGTCGCGGCCCCCAGACCGCTGGGCGAGGAGCCGGGTCAGGAGTCAGACAGGCAGGCTGAGAAGACGGGCAGGGAGCCCCCGCCACAGGGACGGGTGGGGTGGGGAGGGGAGGGGAGGGGAGGAGCGGAGGGCGCTGTGCGTGCGAAGCGCCTGTCCCCTGGGGCTTGGTGACAGGGACCAGCCGGAGGCGTGACCCCTGGGGACAGGCCCCGGGAGCCCCCCGAGGCCCGTGCCCGCGGGAGGACGGGCGCGCGGGGCGGGGCGGGGCGGGGCGGGCCCGGCCGCGCTGCCCACCTGGGTGTTCTGCGTGGGGATCTGCAGCAGCAGGGCCAGCGCGCTGTGGTCGAAGTTCTCGTCCAGGGCCAGCAGCGCGCCGTGCACGCCGCTCTCCTGCAGGCTCCCCGCGTAGTCCCGCAGCCCGATGGACTGCACCCAGCGAACCACCTGCTCGTTGGTCCAGACCAGCACATCTGGAAGCGGGGAGAGGAGCAGAGGAGCCGGGCTCCCGGGCCTCCAGGGCAGAGGGCAGCTCCCAGCCCAGGGCCCGCGGACCCTGCCCCAGGCTGCAGGGGCCTCTCCTTCCCACCTTTGGGGCCTCTTTCCTGTCCATCCCCCAGGGGGTGCCACTGTCTGGCGGGGGTGACAGCTGGCTGGGCAGGGCCCTTTCTTCTCCACCACCAGAGGGCAGCAACCCCCAGGCACGGCCACGTGCCCCTCAGTCCCAGAGCCCCCAGCCCCTCCCCTCTCGGCGGACAGCTCACCCTTGATCTCGTGCTGGCTCTCCTCTCGCCGCCTCTCCAGCTCCTTCCGGTCGTAATTGAGTCTCTTCAGGCACATGATGCCGTACTGCAGGCTGGTTCTGCAGGCACAGAGCCCAGCAGAGCCTCAGAGGCCCGGTTCCGCCCGTCCGGCCCAGCCCCACCCCCGCACGCGCCTCCCCTGCCCGCGACCCACCAAAGCCACTTCCTCTGCCTGCCAAGCCCGCCCTCGCAGCCAGTGTGGGCCTGCAGGGAGAGGAAGGCTCTGGAACGGAGCGAGTACGGCCCGATGGCCCACCGGTCCCAGGAAACGCACGAACAAGACACCCCTCGGGCTCCCATTCCACTCGACTCCTCACAGCAGCCTAGAGATGCCGCAGGCCTTCCCGCCCTGGGCTCCCTGTGGTCACTCCCTGCCACTTGCTGCAGGTGGGGGGCGGGGGCGCCCCTGCCCACAGGCCTCAGGCCCTGCGCGCTGAGCCTAAATACTGGCAGCTGAATTCATCACTTGAAAACCCCCACGCAAAACACATCATCAGCCAAGCTCTGCCCGCAGGCTGCCCTTCGGGGGCCTCCAGAGCAGACGCCTTTGAACAGAAGCTGTTTTCAGCAAAGAGGGCGACATCCTGCAGAAAGGATGTGAGTTGGAGGCCGGGAGGCTCAGGTCGGGGCGGTCGGCGGGCGAGGGCCCAGGGAGACCCCCTCCTCCAGCTGCGGGGGACTGGCGGCCCAACGCAGACACGGGGCGTCCGGGTCTCAGGGCAAAGCCAGGGGATCCAGCAGCCCAGTGACAAGAATGAGGTTCAGCCCTGGGGGGACCTCCAAGAGAGCGGCGCCGAAGCGAGTGGCTTTGCGTGTCTTCAGGGCGGAAGGGAACGCGCGTGGCTTTTGCAGACGGGCCGTTCCCACCCAGAACAGGCGCGGAGAGGGACGGAGCCCAGGGCGCCGGCCTGACCGCTCACCGGTGGAAGCTGTCCACCATCTTCAGGTGCACCCGCAGGTCCCTCTTGGTCAGGTGGTCCAGCATGCGCGCGTCCACCAGGCACTCCATGAAGTGGCTGCGGTACTGGGGCAGGCCCAGGCTGGGCAGCCAGTCGTTGCCGACCCACTCGTGGTTCATGTCGCCGTAGGCCAGCGTCTGCGGAGGGAGCCGGGCCGGGCTGCGGCGTGGCCACCCAGGCGCCCGGCTGCTCCCCTCCCCCCAGGGCTGGGAGTGGCGGGCGGGGGTTCAAATAAAAGCTCTTGGGTCCCGAAATGGTACTGATTATCTGCTAGTGACAGAAGCCACCACACAGCAGGGGAGGGAGGCCTCCTGTGCCCGGAGCGCGCGTGTCTGCCTGCAGGCAGCCCACCCGCAGGCTCCGCAGCCTCCGCCCGCCCAAGGCTCGGGGAGCCGCCGGGACAGTCCGGGGCGGGGTCTGCGCTGCCCCGCCGAGCCCCACTGGCAGGCGCTGTGCGGGACTTTGTGTCACTCGCTCGAAAAAGCCGTGACAGGTCACGAAATCCAGCCCTGGGGAGAAAGGACTTGAAGTTTCACAATCACCTACGTATACTCCTCTGAGCCAGGGATTTTCAACCCTCTTCATCTCAAGGCACACGGAACCTACTAGAATTCTGGGGCACACCAAAACGTGTCCTTTTGGCTGATAGGACAAAAACACTTTAATACAGCTTCGATTCGCTCACGCTGGACGGCCGCTGTTGCACTGGCTGCTGTCGCTTTTGAAATCGACACTCTACCAAAAACGAAGCCAGTGCCCTGACCAGGCAGCCAGGTATTGCACGTTTTAAACCTTCCAGGGATGTGTCAGCTGACAACCGCCGCTCTAAGGAACACGCCGTCAGCTTTTCTTGCTTTGGAGGTTCCACGCACAATTCTGACAGTGCCCCTGGGGCTCTGGCCCCTGGGCTGCCGTGGCCTGGGGGGACCTACGCGGCCAGTCTGCCCGCGAGGACACTCCCTGCTCTTCACGGCGCTCGCCTGACCCAGCACCCCAGGCTTGGCTGGCTGTTGTCTGCCTGTGTCTCCCTCGAACGTCAGCCCGTGAGGACTCAGTTGGCTCGTGTCTGTGTCCAGAGAGGCTGCAGAGGCCAGCGGCCCCGCAGCCGCCCAGCGACTACCTGCTTGCGAAGTGAGTGAACAACAGGCCTTTGCTCAGCTCGCCAGGGCTCCTGTGGCGGGCAGGGGGAGGAGGAGGAGCCCTCCTACCCACGTTGCATTATTCCTGAAGGACTCCAACTGGGGGGACGAGGTAGGCTTGAGGGGGGCGGGCCCTCCAAAGCTCTGCGCCCACCACCCCGAGAAGCTAGGATGGTAGCTGAGGGGAGACAAGGGGGAGGCTCCCAGGCAGGAGCACCGGCTGGGGACACGGCCCGGACGTGGGGGTCTTACCTGAGCCCAGCTGCCCTCCTGGCTGTCCTAGCAGGCACCGGGCAGCGTGAGGGGAAGGGGGCCGAGTCAAGGCCGGGCAGCGTGCACCGCCGGCCCATTGGGAGGGGTGGGGCCGGGGCGAGGGAGTTGGCCAGGCTGAGAGGCGAACGGAGGCTGCTGCGCGCACGTGCTTCCGGTGGCGGCACGACCCCGCCCCGCCCCTGCCCGGGTCCAGTGCGAGGCAGGGCCCTCCCGGCCGGCACAGCTGCAGGCCCGCAGCCCGGCAGGGGCGCGGCCGCGGAGTGGACCACACACCGGTCGCATCGCTCCCTCCCCACCAGCCCTCCATTCGGGAACACACGCGGCCGCGCCTCGGGCATGCCAGCCTCCCACTGGGTCACCTTCCCGCCGCCCTCCCGCCGCCCTTGGGGGTCGTGGGCCCTGCCCCGGGCCCGGCCGACTCACTGTTTTAGTGGATGTTGCCAGAGTTTCCATCTCTTCATGGGTGACCCAGACGTTCCCAGAGGACTGCGGGCAGAGAGGAAACCTAGCTGGGCCTGCACGCGGGTCCCCCCGTGTCCCTTCAGGCTGGGCTCCCCCGGGACACGGACAGAGCTCCCTTCCCGAGCCCGCCCCCAGGCCCGGCCCAGCACGCTGCTCCCTCGGCCCCGGTAACCGCCCTGAGACCCGGCCCGCGCGGTGCGGGGGACAGGGCCTGGGCCGGCAGGGACCCCAGAATCAGCGATACCCCCGGGGCCGAGCAGGTGGAGCCCTTTGAGGGGCCGGAGGGGAGGGGAGGACCCCGCTGCCGTCTCCCCCAAGACCAACGGGCGACGCTGCCGAGCTGCTGCAGGGCCCGTGACGCTGCCCGGGAGGCACTTACGGTCCTGGAGGTGGGCGGGGCCGAGGGGCTGGTCAGCGATACCATCTCCTGGATGGCCAGCCGCAGCTTGAGCCGGTGCAGGGCGTTGCTGATGCCGATCTCGCGCTGGATCTCCGTGTCCGACAGCGCTGACATGATGGCGCCGCTCTTGACGTTGGCCCGGCAGGCCGCCACGTACCAGGCCGGCATGCCCACCCAGAGCTGCGGGCACAGCACGCGCCTCTCAGCCCTCCCCGGCGGGGGCGGCACCCGGGCCGGCCGGCCCCGCCTCAGCCTCGGGAGGGCAAGCGCCCGTGCCCCGCCTCCAGTGGGACCTCGGAGGCCCGGGCGGGGGGGCCTTGCCGGCTCTGCGGCGCCTACAGGAAGCGCGACCCCCGCTCAGCGACCTGGCCACCGGTATCCAGCGTCTGGCACGGGAACCGTGGGGAGCAGCCAAATGGGGGAGCGGGGCCAGCACCAGGCCACACGCACGCTGGGCTGGGCAAAGGTCGCTGCGGAAGCCCTGCCTCAGCAGCCGCCCCCGCGCCCGGGCCCCAGCGGCCCTCCGCCAAGGTTACCTCCAGCCAGGAGACCACCGTGGGGCCGTCCCACTGAGCGAAGGGTGTCCCTCGCCTGCGGGCGTCTTCCAGCAGCTGGTGCCTGGCGGAAGGGGGACAGGCTCAGCAGCCCCTGTGTCTCTGCACCGAGCCGACCCTCAGGCGCCCCGGGCTGCACTCGGGGTGGCCTGCCCTGTGCCCCTGGGCTGCCACGGCTGCTCTGTGCCAGGAGCCGCGTCACCCAAGCCCCAGCCCCCAGTCTCCTTGCTCAGGGCCCCCGCAGGACCGGCCCCCCGCTCCGGCTGGGCCCGCATGGCCTGGGCCGTCTCGGTCCAGACAGGGCCTGGCCGGGCTCTGGCCGCTGAGCTCAGTCCCCTCGCAGCCCAGGGGACGGGCAGTGGCCCCAGCCGGGCCTGTGGCTCTTACTTCTTCTGCAGCCGCCAGTCCTTCTCCGCCTGGGCCCCCAGCTTGGCCGTCCCCGGGGGCTCGAGCTCAGAGTCAATCAGTATAACTGCAAGGGAAGTGACAGCGGGTTGGCCAGGCCCCCGGCTCGTCCCCCTCGGCCTGGGCCAGGGCCGCGGAGGGGCCGGCAGGAGGCTCCTTGGCGCACGCAGCTCGGGGCCGGCGGGACGCCCACGATCCCTGGAGCTTCCGTGAGGAGGGGCGGAGACCTTGGCCCGTGGCTCCGTCCCGGCTCGGCTGGATCAGCCGGCCCTTGTCCTTCTTCCCAAACAGGCGGCCGATGGACGACTTGATGCCCCTGCGCTTGGCGCCCTTGTGCAAGGAGTCCTGGCTGCTGCTGCTGCTGCTGGGGTTGCTGCCCGGCTCCTCCACCGCGCTGCGGGCGCCGGCGGGGCGGGGGCGAGAGACGGGCTCAAATCACAGCGGGCGGGCAGGGGTCCGCCCCGGGAAGAACTCACAGGAAGTGTCAGAGTGGGGGCGGGGGTGGGGGGGGTCCAAGCAGGTTACAAGGGAGACGTGGGACTGTCCTTCCCTGACGGTGGTTCAAGGAGAAGCGAGATGCCGAGACACCTGGGCAGGTGCGGCGGCCTTGGGGGCGGACCGGTGGGGCTGCCCCCTTACCTCTTGCCTTCCTCCTGGCTCAGGGCTGGGTGGCCTAGCTTCTCAAGCCGCAGCATCCTGGGTGAGGAAGGAGGAGAAGTCTCACATTTTATGGTGGCTTTATCCTCTCGGTTCTGTTCCCGAGACACTGGTGACTGAACAGACAGCGGACCCATCAGGGGATAGAGGGAGAGAGCTGGGGGCACAGTGGGGAGGCCCGGGGCCGGGGAAGAGCGGGGCAGGGCCGGGAGGACCGACCGCAGGGAGGGCCTGCATCAGGCCACGCTCACCTGCAGCTTCCTCCTGTGCTTCCTGAGGTCACTGGGCTGGAAGAGAGAGTGCAGCCGGGCTCAGATGCCCCTCTGGGTGCCCGAGTGCACCCCGCGGGGAGCCCCAGGTCCCCGAAGGAGAACCTAGGGTTCGGTGCCTCGTGCGGCCGAGACAACATCGCAGCAGAAAAACGCTGGCCCGGGAAAAGGAGTCAGGGCCCCCCGCCCCGAGGTGGTGTGGGCGGCGGGGGCTTCCGAGGCGCCCTGTGGTCGTCCGGGGAGGCCCCTCCCCGACCCGGCCAGGTGAGCTGGCGGCCCCTGTGCGCACTGCGGGAGGAAGGCGTGGAGCCCGCGCCCGTCCCCAGAGCGGAGCCCCGAGTGGGCCGGGCCGCTCCCCTGCTGCCCCAAGACTCACCAGAGTCATGACCCCCATCCGGTCCAGGCCCTGGGCAGCACTGCGGGAGGGGCCTGTACGAGCGGGGCGGCCGACAGCTGCGGGGGCCCCGCTGGCCAGCGACAGGGCCGTCAGGGAGGTGGGGAGGGGGCCGCGCCCGTGCAGCTGCGGCCGGTCGAGGGCCTCCATGCTGCCGCTCGTCACGCGTGTCTCCAGCTCCTCGGCGCGGAGCTCCGTGGACTCCTTCTCCTCCTGGATCATCCTGGGAGGCGGCAGAACCCGGCCATCAGCCCCGGCCGCGCCAGCGGGAGGCGAGGGTTTCTGGCATCACGCGGGACACCCCACGGCCACTTAGAAACGCTCTTCTGCCCGCCCGCCCGCCTGCCAACGCTCCCCAGGCACCGGGGCAGGAGGCAGCTCAGCGAGTGGAGCCCAGCCCCCCGGTCAGCAACCACAACCTGCGCTCTCCACGGGGCGGCCTCGAGGCTCGGCTCTCTGGCCTCAGTTTCCCAACACGGGGAGCACTCTGCACCCCAACACAAGGCCTTGCTCTGGCGCTGACCCCTGATGGCAGGTCCCCCATTCAGAGGCCAATCAGAACAGCGGCGGCGGCAGGTGAGGGGGCGCAGGCCCCTGCAGCTCCAACTCCGTCTCGCTCTGATGGGCCACCCGTCACGAACGCGGGTCGGCTCCCCACAGAGGCCGGCCAGAGCCCACCTTGGTGACTTCCTGTTTGACGCTGCACTGGGCCGGGGCCGGGGCCGGGGGCCGGGCCCGTCTGAACCCTGGCTCTGCCTCTCACTGCGCTGCTGTACGCAGACCAGGTGACCACGCAGGTCGGCCCCTTCGTCTGGGGAGTGGAGGCGATGCTGCCTCCCCAGGGCCCGTGGGGAGGCTGGCGACGGCCTCGGGGAGCCACTGCAGGAGCTCCTGGCCCCGAGGGTCCTGGCTCTTGGGCCCAGGGCGGGGCCTGCACCTGGGGGTCCCAATATGGCGGCGCTCTACGGGGCGCGCGGGAAAACCAGTGGGCCGCGCACGCGCCCAGCCCACGGGCCTCGCCTGATCTCCTCGTTGATCGCGTCCAGCTGCTCCTGCAGCATCAGGGCCAGCGTCTGTGCGTCGGAGCGGCTGCCGGGGGAGACGACGTCCACGGGGCCCCCCAGGCCCCCAGGCCCGTCCTCGCCCACGTCGGGGACCTCGGGGTCGCTGTCAAAGGCGGGGGTGGCCGTGGGGGCCAGCACGCCGGGCAGCGGGCACGGCTCCCAGTCCTTAGCAGAGAAAGAAGGGGTGGGGGGTGGCGCTCAGACACGCCACCCCGCACAGCAGGGGCGGCCCCTGGGAGCGCCGGGAGCGCGGCGTCTCGGGCGCCCCCCCTCCGGCCACGGGCGCAGAATCGGCGTTTTGACCCGAGCCCCGGGCGGCCTGTCCGCGCGTCAGCATCTAGGGCGCGGGACCTCTCTGTTTACACTCCTGGGCTGTGCCGAGGAGCTGGACGGGCGCCGGAGACAGACGCGCCCCCACACACTGGCTGTGCAGCCCCCGGGGGGCGGTCTGAGCGCCCTGTGCCTCAGCCCCCTCATCGGCACGCGGGGCAGTCACAGCACCTACAGGCGGCTGAGAGGGTCACGGCGCTTGGCACAGCGTCCGGCACAAAGTCTTACGGACAACCAGGGCTGTCTCGTGCCCACATCTGCACATGGCAGCACCCACTGGTCAATCTGAGGAGAGGCAGCTCCTCGGAAATCACCTGCGCGCCTCCCTGGTGGACAGAGGCCCGTGGAGGGGGCACGGGACGGAGCTGGGACGGCCCGCGGAGCAGGGAGAAAAGGAAGGGCCGGGCAGAGGGGTGCAGCGCGGCAGCCGCGGCTCGTGAGCAGCAGGCGGCGCCAGGGAGACAGCGAGGGGCCTCGGGCTGGGCCTCCCCTCCGGCTACAGGCTCGCCCTTCTCCACCTGCACCTCCTGGCGCCAGGGCGTGGGGGGCCCAGGCGGGGGCAGAGCAGGCCGACACCACGGGGCCGGCAGCGCCCAACCTAACCCTCGGGGCTCCCGGGCAGACCCTGCGGGAACTCACAGCAGCTTCTCAGGAGCCTCCAGGTGCCACCCTGAGGCCCAGGCACCCCGCATCTGCCTGTCCCCCCACAAACCACAGCTTTGCTCCAGGAAGCGTGCCGATGCCATCCCGCCCCCAGGCCCCGCCCCGACCACACGCCGCACACCCAGGCACACGTGCCCACGCTTCCGTGGGGCCGCAGGGCCAGGAGGCTGGGGGGACACAGCTGTGGCAGCTGCCGGGGCCCCCCCAGGGCTGCAGCTGCCGCTGACATGGGGGGTGCAGGGCGAAAATGTGCACCGCACACCAGCTGGCTGTGAAACCAGAGCCAGGCACGCGGCCGGACAGACCCCGAGTCCCCGGGAGGCCCCGCCCCCCCGCCCCTCACCTTGGCGGGCCCCTCCCCCCAGCGCCCCTCCCCCCCGCCCCTCACCTTGGCGGGCCCTTCCCGCAGTGAGCGGCGGCGTCGCAGGCCCGGGGCGGCTGTGCCCCGTGAGAACCGCAGGTCCACTGCGCTGCCTGTGTGCGACCTTGCATGGGGGCCGGGAGGGAAGGTGGGGGTTGTGGGCCCACCCAGCACAAGGAACGCTCCCTCCCCAACTCCGGGAACGTTTTCGGCAGATGGACACCCCAGACGTGTGACTGACAGGAAGGGGGCTCTTGGGGCCTCTTTGCAGCCCCTCCTGCTGCCTCTCCTCCCGTGGCCTGCCGCCTGGGCCCACACAGCAGCCTGGGGAGGGCGTCGTGGGAGAACCAGAGGGCCAGTGCCAGGGGCGGGGGTGCTGGGGGCCGGGGGGCCCAGGGCGGGCCCTCTGCTGGAAGCAGGATGCGCGGGCCGTGTCCACAGTCTCGGGAAGCGGTGCCCTGCGTGCGCTCTGAGCCGCCCGTGGACGCTCCAAGCCTACGGCCCTGCCCTCGACAGGAGGCGCCCCGTGGCCCCGGGTGGTCTTTTCTGGGAGGGAGGCTCCCCCCTTGGGGTCCATCGGGGCCCCCCCAGTGCGCCCAGTGCCCGTGCACGGTACCTGGCCTGGACGCCGTCTGCACACGGCCCCCCGCGGCCCTTCAGCTGGTCCACCTCCTGGCGCAGCTTCTCCACCTCCTCGCGCAGGCGGCCCTGGGCCCAGGCGGCGGGGGAGGGGGACAGGGAGGGCGGCAGAGTTGGGGAGAAGCAGCAGAGTGCCTCGAAAAGGGCCCGGGCCAGGCCCACAGGTCACACCCGAGACAGGCCCGACAGCCGAGAGAGCAGAGGGCACTGGGCAGGCGGGGTCCACCCGGGAGGGGCTCCGGGAGCGGGCCTGCAGCGCCTGCACCCCAGCCTCAGAGACACTGCGAGGCAGCCCGGTGGCCGACCCCCCGGGATCGCCACGTCCTCTGCGGGGCCTGGCCGGGCCCTGCGCCCCCACCGCTGCCCACTCCGCGCCCACGCGGGGCTGCAGCTGCCTCCGTGCACGAGGGGGCGAGGCACTGGGTACCTTGTGGTGCTGCTGCTCCTCGACCTGCCGCTGGGAGCTCTCCAGCTCCTGCATCAGAGAGTTCTGGGGGAGGGCGGCCGTGAGCCAGCGCCCCCTCCGGGACACCGCCCCCCCCCCGCCCCCCCAACCCTCCCACGCCACCCCGCCCTGCCCCGCAGCACCTTCTCCCCCAGGGCCGCCATGCGCTCCTCGAGGTGCAGCTGCAGGCGCTCGCTGGACTCGCTCAGCAGCCGGTGCACGGTGTCCGACAGCCGCTTGTTGTGGTCCTCATTCATCTTCTCCCGCTGGCGCACCTGCGCGGCCGGCCCGCGTCGCACCAGGGCACCCAGGCCGCCCCACTGCCCGCCCCGGCACCGGTCCGCCCGGCCCACGGCCCCACGGTCGCCCCCGGCGCCCTCGCTCCGACCGCCTGCGCGGGCCCCTCTACGGCGCGGGCCCCGGCCAGGGCCTGGCGCCCACCTGCTTCCTCCCTGCCCCGGCCACAGACCACCCCAGGAGCTGGGCTGGGCAGGGCAGGAGGGCCCTCACCCTTGCCAGCTCCTGGTTCTTCTCCTCCAGCTGGCCCTCCAGCTGCCGCAGGTGCTCCTCGATGTTGCCGTGCCGCTCCTCGGCCTGGGGGCAGGGATGGATCAGTGGCAGAGCAGACTGGGTCCTGGGTCTCCGGGGACAGCTAGGCTGCAGGTGCCACCCCCAGGGCCCGGAAGCTGCCACACAAGCAGAGGCCCTGGGGCCAGAGGCTCATGGTATGGGCTTCCTTCTCCCCATGGGTCGGGGGTCCGTGGGCGAGGCCTGCCGTCATGAGCAGGAAGCAGTGGGTTCATGCAGACCCCCGGGCCCCACTGCTCGCCTTGCTGAGGGCTGCGATCCGCTGCGCCAGCTCAGCCTCCACCTCCGGCAGCGTCTCCGCCCTCCGCAGCGTCTGCTGCAGCTTCTGCTCCGCCACCTCCAGCAGCTCCTGCAGGTGCCGCGCCTTCTCCTCGCACTGGTGGGAGCAGCAGGAACCCAGTCGGGGGGGAGCCCTGCAGCCCCCCGGCCTCGGCAGAGGCACGGGCAGGACAGGAACAAGAAACCACCCTGGTTCTTGGCTGCCCCAGGTGACCTGCAGAACCCCAGGGGCTCCTGGGCCGCCAAGGGGAGGCTCCCTGAGGACGGAGGCTCCGGGGTCAGCCGAGCGTGAGGCCTCCGCGCCCCACCAGGAGCAGGTACCTGGCGGTGCAGGGACTCCTTGTTGGCCAGCTCATTCTCCAGTTTGTCGTTGAGGTCGTGGATGGATGTGGCCTCGCGCTGAGCAGCCAAGTAGCGCCTCTCCAGCGTGGTGATGCGCTCCTCCATGTCCTCCTTCTGGGCCAGGGCCTGGGCGGGCGAGCAGGGGGCACGTGGGAAGGCCCCCAGCCTCTCGGCAGCCCCCTCGCCGCGCGCGGGCCGCACTCAGCGCGATGGGCGGGGGGCCCGGCTTACCTCCCGCAGGTCCCGCTGGTGCTTGCTGCTCCGCTCCTCCGACTTGAGGAGGTCCCGGCGGGCGGTGCCCAGGTCCCCCTCCAGCTCGGCCACCGCCGCTGTCAGAGTGGCCAGCCGCTCCCGGGCCTGGCCCAGCTCCAAGCTCTGCTTCTCCAGCAGCTCCTGCAGCTCCTCCAGCCGAACCGCGTCGTCCTTGTGGACGGCGAGCCGTCGGTCCGTCATCGGAGCCCAAGGCACCCCCCTCCCCACTCCGCTCCCGGGGGGAGGAGGGGAGGACGGCTCTGCCCCAGCTCCTGAGCACACCCCAGGCACGTCTGACTCCCGCCAGACAATGACCAGCACCCCCGCTCTCCTGTGTATCTCTTCAAAAGCAACAGTTTCCACGCCCGGCGGGCGCCCTGCGGTCCAAACGGGCGCCCGTTCGATCCCCAGTCAGGGCACCTGCCTGGGCTGCAGGCCAGGTCCCCCGTGGGGGGCGTGGGAGAGGCAACCACGCGTTCATGTTTCCCTCTCTTTCTCCCTGCCTTCCCCTCTCTCTAAAAATGAATAAATAAAATGTCTTATAAAAAAAGCAAGACTTTCTAGCGGGACCGGCTATCTCGGCGTCTTGTAGCCTGGAGAGGGGATGACAGACGAGCAAGGGCTCAGCAAGAACAGGGGTCTGGCTCGGAGCAGACACACAGGCAGACGGGCAAGCTCATCCCGTGCCCTGCGAGCGCGGGACAGCCGAACGGAGACCTGCACGTTTCTCTGGGGGGGGCGGGGGGGGCGACGAACGAGAAGGGGGATTTGGAGAAGGCCCCACATGCAATTCCAGCAGCCGCTCTACTGAACAGGGCAGGGCAGGCCCCCCCCTGTCTGGGGACGACGTGCCCCGCGCTGCGCGGCCCCCACGGCCCACCTGCCACAGGCGTCGCAGGCCCAGCTCCGCAGCCCCTTCCTCTTCGGCGGCTCCATCCCGAAGCCCCGCCCCCTGCCGCAGGGTGGACACCTGTCGGGCACAGCCCCAGCACAGCGGGTCAGAGACAGGAGGGCCTGCTGTGCGTTCCGGACCTTCCGGGTCCCCCGCCTCCCCTCAGCCGGCAGCCTCCGGCCGAGGCGGCAGGACAGGGGGGAGGCCTGGTGGGGAGCCGAGCAGGGCCAAGGGGCCAGCCGGCCTGGGCTCCCGCCTCCCGTGCAGCAGGAGGGTGGGCCGGTATTTACCTGCTGGTGGGCGCCTGCCAGCTGCTCCTCCAAGGTGGAGACTCGCTCCAGCGCCGCCCGGAGCCGCTCCCGCACCTGCCAAGGTAAGAAGGTGAAGGGCGGAGGAAGAGGCAGAGACCCCCTGGACGCAGGCGGGGCAGCCAAGGCTCGGCCCGGAGCACACTTCCTGGGGGAGCCTAAGAAGGGCACCTGGGCCCCGGGCAGCGGCAGGGGAGCCGGCAGCGGAGCCAGAAGGCGGCTGCCCTACCCTGTGGGGGCCGGCGTCGCCGCGCTGGCAGCAGCGGGTACCTTCTCATCCAGGGCCTTGTGGTGCTCAAACAGCGACTTGAGGGCCTTCAGCACCTCCACCTCGCTGGAGACGCCCGACGGCGACTGGGCCTGGCGCTTCACCACCGTCACCCGCAGGGACCGCTCGTGGCGGGAGACCAGGCACTCCAGGTGCTCCAGGAGCAGCTGCGGGGCCGGGAGGCGGGGGCCGCGTGAGCGCAGGGACACACCGGGGCAGCCGTGCGTGCTGTTACCGTGGTGAAACGCTTGCACGTGCGGAGCGGCTGCTGTCCCAAGCGGACTCCGCCCCGCGCCTGCGGCCCTGGCTCCTCCCTGCAGGCGGCAGCCTCGCGCGGAGCGCGGCGCTGTCCGTCGGCCGCCCCGGCCGCGAGGCAGGGTGTGCCCCCGCGCGCAGGCCGCCCCGCTCACCCTCGTGTTGTTCCGCTCCGCTTTCAGCTCCGATATCTCCTCCTCTCGCTCCAGAAGCTGCTCCCGACACAGGCTCAGCTCCCGGGTTAAGGTGGCAAATTCCTGGAAACCCCACAGCAGCCCCTCGGTGCCTGGGCGCCTCGGACCCCGCCCCCGGATCACTGCCTTTCCCCCCGGGCCCCGGCCTGGGGGCCCAGCGTCTCGCACCCCGGCAGGCCCAGCCCTGCTGCTGGCTCACTCCTCTGCTCTCACGCGGTCACCCACACGCCGCGCCGGACACGGGACTCGACGGCAAGCGTGACCCTGCTGCCAGCGGACAGGCGCTCTCTCCTCGCCTCCCCCCACACCCCGCGCTGCCTGGCTCCCCAGCAAAGGCGGCCTCCCGCCTGCCTCCCCGGCTCGGGCCCCTGGACACGAAGCACAGCGCTGGCCGAGCGTTTCCAGCTTCTGTCTCACAGTCCCCGGCCATGCACCCTGAGGCCTAGTCGACCGGAGTCACCCGCAGGCTCCACACCTCTGCTCCGTGGGCCTGTTGCCCCGGAGAGCCCAGCCCTCTGTCACCACCGGAGGGGACCACACGCCCGCAGGGCCTCCGTGGCCCCCCCAAGAGCCATGTGGAACGGTGGAGGAAGCATCCACCTCAGGCCAGGCCTGCGCTGGTCGCCAGGACACAGTGACCAGAAAGGCAGGACCCCGGCCCTCACCGAGCTCCCGGGTGGGGCTGGGGCGCAGCCTCTGCTCCGCCCCGCACGCTCTGTGACCTCGGGCGGGCCACCCAACCTCCTTGAGCCGCCTCCCTCTGGCCTGTCAGGCACTGGCCCAGCTGAGTGTTGCTACAGGACCCAGCAAGACGAGGGGAAGCGCTCGGCACCGGCCACCAAGCGGCAACCTGGCGGCGCGTCCTGTCGAGCAGCCCGGGCCCTCGTTCACTGCTCTTCTCCAGGCGCTCGCACCGCCGGCCTCCGCCCTGGCCCGCGCGCTCCGGGGGCGGGGATGGGCCGCCTGCCACCGCGGCTCGGCTCCAGGGCCCCATCGTCCCCTGACAGCGCGGCACCCGGCCCGGAGCCCACGCCGGCCCCGCACGGGGTCAGGCCTGCCGCTGCGCCTCAAGCCGCCTGGCTCCTCGCAGCCCGGCCAGCCTGGGCGGCCCCACCGGGGGCGGCCACGAGCCGCTCGCTGACCTTGGGCGTTGGTGCCGTCCAGGGTGAGGCCGGCAGGGCGGCAACGGCACCGGCAGCAGAGCGGCGAGGGCCCGGGGGCTCCGCAGGCGCCAAGCACGCAGAGGGCACGACACGTGCTGGCGCAGCCGGCGGGGGCACTGCTGCCCCAGGAGCGGAGCAGGCGTGTGGCTCTGGCCTACGCTTTCCTACGGGACGCCTCTGGGTTTCTCATCCGAGCCGTAGGAGGGGGCACCCGCCACCTCCGAGAACAGCAGCCAGTCTGGGGCGCCACCTGCTGGCTTCATGGGCTCACTGCAGCCGGCCGCCCCCGCTGGTAACCTTCCCGCATTTCTCCAGGCGCCCGACAGCGCCCGGGGGCACCCGGCAGGGGCTGAGGGGCAGGGCCGCCTCGTGGACTCCATCTGCTGATGCAGCTGAGACGCCCTGAGCTGGGGGCCCCAGGACGCCGGGCGCAGCAGGGCTGGGGCAGGACCGGGAGGCGCGCCCGGGCAGGCCTCACCTGGGGGAGGGCGGAGTTCAGGTGGCGCTGCAGCTGGTCGCGCTCGTGCAGGGCGTCCTGCAGCCGGCCCTGCGTGGCCGCCAAGGTCTCCTGACTCTCGCGAAGGGACTCCAGCAGCTTCTCCCGCTCGTCCAGCATGTTCACCATCAGCTGCTCGAAGTTGGCGTCCGCGTCGGCGCCGTGGGGGGGGCCCAGGGGGTCTCCCTCATTGATCGTGGGCATCACCTCACACATGGTGGGGGTGGGCAGGGCCGTCTCCCGTGGGGGACGGGAGGGGTCACAGGACTGGCACCTCCCGGGGGCCCTGGCACGCGGGTCTCAGGGTGGGCAGTGCCGGGCGAACGTGTGGGCGGGCTTCTTCCATGGCATCAGTTGCTTTTGCTCGGAACGGGGCCAGGTGCCCGAAGCACCCCTGTGGAACGGAGCCTGAGGACCTGGCTTAACCGGTCAGGCCTGGGGCTGGGCGCCCTCTGTCCACAGGCAGGCGGGCAGCAGCCGAGTGTGGCCATGGCAGGCGGCGGGGGGAGGGTGCTGGAAGTGGGCCCTTTGCTTAGACGGAGCACCAGAGCCCAGCCGAGGCCCAGCTGGGTCCAGCGACATCCATGGTTCCGGCGGGCAGTGGTCTGCGGGAGAAGAGACTACGGTGAGGCCCAGCGGAGTGGAGAAAGGCGTCCAGGCAGCGGAGGGAAGGAGGGGAGGCGTCGGCCCCTCTCGGCTTGCTCGGTCCCCGAGGAATGCTCTGCCCACCCACAGCCTCTGCCCCTGCTCCCGCACCTCAGCTGTCAGAGTGCAGATGCAGTGGAGTGGCTTCCCCACTCACGTGGCTCCCTGGCCAAATATAGAAATGATTCAGTTGGCGGCAGGCTGCCCAGAGCCCTCCTGAGGCCTGGGGTGGGAGAGAGCGAGGGGAGGAAACAGGGTCTCTGACCCCTCTCCCCCAGCTTCTGCCCCACGCTCTGGCCGAGGCAGGCACAGAAGGGGCGACAGGGCTCCAAGTGGCCCTGGGTCCCACCCAGGGGGCGCTGCCCGGACCACTGGTGCATCACGGCTCCTTGGAGCAGCCCGGGCTGGACTGAGGCTCGACACTCGCGGAGGAGGCTCTGGGTCAGGTCGCCCCCACTCCGAACCCGGCACGCAGCAGGCGCTCCCTCGGCATTCACGGCTGGGTGATCGAGCGAACCCAGGGTGGATGTGGGGCCGGGCCGTCCCTCTCCTGGGGCACGGCTAAGAGGTGGGGGCCCTGCTCAAGGCTTGGCACCTTCTCCCTCCACAGAACAGCCCATTGCTGGTGTTGCCGGAAGGCACAAGCTAGCCCGGTTGGCACGTGCACAGCGGCCCCAGCTTTGCTGTGAGCCTGGCACAGACATGCCCAGAGGTCAGGGCACAGGAGGCGGGACGAGGAGGGCAGCGTGCAGCCGGGACTTCTCTGCCTGCAGTGGCTTCCAACCTCCCCCCGGGTCCGGGCACAGAGAGCCGTCTTCAGGGCCTGTCCCGTGAGATGACGGTACGGCGCCCCGCTCCGCGAGGCCCCGAGACCAGCACCTTCCTCCCTCTCCCCCTCCCCACGTGGGAGACACAGGGACAGCTTCTCCTCCATCCCTCGGGAGCAGCCAGGAGAGGACCGGGTGCACGGGGAGCCAGCGTGTGGCCCTAAGTCGACACTGGGCTGAACCCAGCAGGAGAAGCCAAGAGGGGCCAGGCCTCTTCCCTCCGTGCTCCCCGGCTGCCCCCCAAAGCGCTGACGACGTGGGCAGACACGGGGGCAGCTGCGGGGAGTGGGCCTGGGCCAGAGAGAGGCTGGGGAGCCACGTGAGAACCTCAGGGCTCGCTGAGCAGCCACGCCCGGAGGGCCCAGCGGTTATGGCAGGCGTGCGGGTGCCCGCGCACAGGCACACGGGAGCAGACAGACTAGGACATACACACACATGGCCACACACGTGCTCCCAGACACACTCGATCCCAGGGGGTCCTGTCCCCAAGCCGACTGTCACCGCGGAGGCAGAAAGCAGCTCCCTGGCCTGCACCTGTCCCTCCCCGTCGCTCCCCTGCCCCCCAGCACAGTGGGAGCCAGAGCTGCCGTCTCGCTGATGCCAACAGCCATTCCTCCCACCCCCCCACCTCCCACTGTGCCCGCGACCCTGCACCCTGCAGGCTCCATCTGTGAGGCCGAAAGGCCACAGGGCACCCCACACCTCTCCAAGCTCCGCACAGAGAAGCCCGCATTCCCTCCCCTCTCCCACACCTGCCCCAAGAAGAAATGAGGGAACAGAGGAGGAGACCAGGCTGGGGAAGGGGCCCTGCGTGGCAGAAAGCGTGCCAAGGAGCTCAGGGACGCTGACCCCGGCAGCCCGCAGTGAGCGTCAAGGAACCCAGGGCTGGCCTTGGGCCGGCCACCATCTGCCGAGGCCGCTGCTGTGAGACAAAACCCATGACCTGCTTTGCCCACCTTAGAGGGACAAACTCAAGGATAAGCAGAGCCTGGAAATGCAGAGAGCACTGGCTGCAGGGGAGTCGGGACCCCCAGCGGCGGGCGAGGGTGGACCTGCCGGTGGGGTTTTGTAGCTCCTTACAGGAAAGGGCTGGGAAGTCCTCAGCCCGCCCACTGTGACATGCTGACTGGTCCAGTTTGGCCTCCTCCAAATCCTCCTGGTCATCCTGGCAAATGAGAAGTGCCACCAGCCCCTCCCCAGCCTCCTTCCACACCAAGTGCCAGCCAGCAACTCCGCTTCCCCCAGGGACGCGCCATCACGTCGAGCCAGGTCTCCCGCGGAGGGCACCGCGTGGCCCCAGGTGGGTCCTCCTTCTGGCTCCCGGGCCGTCCTCACACAGCACGGTCATCCCTGGGCCTAACACGGCCCCTCAGCTCCTGCACGTCCCATCGGCACCTCACGCAGGTCCTGATTCGGAGCGAAAGCTACCCGCCCCCAAAGCAAGCATTTGGGGGGGTTGTGGGGGAAACAGCAGAAGAGGCTCCAGGTGAGCGAGGGCGCGTGTGTGAGGTGGGAGGGGTTGGGGGAAACCAGGCCTGTGGCTCATGACCAAGGGGCACGACAACTCTGAGCCCCTAGGGCTCCCCAAACTTAACCCCGTCTTTTCCTAACAAACAGGAGGGATGGGTACTTGGGTCTGATGCTCTGGCAGGTCACACACACAGGCTGGCGCCCTGCTGTCCCCCCAGATGGCACGCCCGCCACTGCGAGGGAGCGCGGCCAGGCCGTGCTGAGGCCACAGGGCCAGCACCTCCTGCCGGCCGGTGCCCGAGCCCCAGCGCCCACGAGCCGGGCCAGGAGGGAGCCTCAGGGCGGGAGCCCCTCTGAGCAAACAGAAAGAAGAAGGTCATCCACCTGCTGCGCCACTATGCTGAACTCCTAAAATCCTGGTACACGGTGGATGTTCGGGTCACTGATCTATACCTGCACCATATCCGTACATTAACGTATTGCTCAGAGTGAAAGGCCTAAACCCGTACAGCAAGCTTCCTGGGACACTTGGGATTTTCACTGGACCTGCTGCCGCAGACGCTAACTCCCCTGCTGAGAGGGAGCACCACTGTCCTGGGTCCCCAGAGGACCCTCTGCTCCAGGGTGAAAGTTCTGGTTGCAAGGACGCCCCACCTCTCTGAGTGCAGGGGGTCGCAAGGCGGGCCCCTTTGGTGCAACGCAAGGACGATGCGCTGAGCAGATTTCCACGAACACCACACTGAGCTAGGCCTTATTAGGGACACAAAAGGCCTGTAAAAGGTGACCCCAACCCTCAGGAAGTCCACGTCTGCTTGAGGGAGCACAGCTACACAAGTAATGGCTGGACAGCTACCCCGGCCGAGGCGCACAGGACCAAACATCCAGCGCCTGGTACAGCCTGGGGGTGGCCTGGGGCCTGCGGGGCCTGACCCGGTGCATTCACGCCTCCTCTCGCTCAGAGCGAGGCAGCTCCAGCCAGGCCTGCCTGGCCCTGGAGCCCACTTCACCTGGGGGAGCAGGCGCTCCTCGAAGAAGGCGATGCCATGAGTCCCCGGGGGGAAGGTGACATGGCGGCCAGGTGGGTTCCTCGGGCTCTGCCAGCTCTGGGGCTACACCATCCCAGGCCCGGGGAGCGGCCCTTCAGAGCTGGCCTCCAAGTGCGTTTCCGCTGACAGCCACCCAGAGGGCCGTGCCTGCTCCAGTGAGCCAGTGCCCGGCCTTCCAGGGCTAATTTTAGGCCAGGGAGCCAGCGGGCCGGGGGCACCGAGGTGGCTTCCTGTGGCCGCGGAGCTCCACTGCCCCCCCCCCCCACAGGGCTCCTGGGGCTCCACCTGGGTCCTGGGGCAGCTGTCCGGCCCGTCCTCCCCGCTCCACACCAAACCCTCCGCTCAGCACACACACCACTCAGCTCCTCAGCCGGCACCGTGTTCCCACAGAGACCCACCTGGGAGCCTGAGCCCCGCCTGGAGCAGCCCCGGCAGAATGTGCTCCCCGCTGTCTGATCGCTCCTCTGGGCCCAGGCCCCACAGCCTGGCCCCTCGGCGCCACCCCAGCTCCCTCACCAGCCCGCAGAGGCCCCAAAAGGGCCACAGCAGCCCTGACGACCCTCTCCAGCTCTGACACTGGAGCCGCCGGCCCCTCGGACCCTTGCCCGCCAGCTGCCAGGCCACCCGCGCTGCGGCGCTGACATCTCTCAGGGGCAAGCGTGCCGTCCACACCCACTGCCCCCGCACCCCGGTCGCCCCGACGGGGCTCCCGCGGCGCCTGGCGTGGAACATTCCAGCCCCAGTGACCACTGTGCTGGGCGCCGTCCCGTTCGTCCCAGGACCACGCAGCCCCAGCAGCCTCCTCCTCAGGCCTCAGGAGAAAGTCCTAGAAAACAGCCGCGGGAACCTTCCTAACGGCGCCCCTCGCTGGGGCAGCATGTCCCCGGGGCTCAGCAACGGGGGGCTGTCGACAGGGTGCCCGTCCAGCCGTCCCCGGCCTCACGTCACCTTCAGAAGGCCCAGCACCGGGCGCGGTGCCTGGCCTACAGGAGGTGCCCAATGACTGCCGAAAGCCGAAAAGTACTGAGCACCAGCTCCATCGTCTCCGGAAGGCGGAGGAGTCCCTGACGCCCGGCTCCCGAAGGGCCCTTCAGCTCCCTCCAGGGCAGCGGATCCCCACCCGAGCTCTGCCTCCGCGAACTGCAGCCGAGCCGCAGCCCCCACGCCGCGGCCCCGCTGACGCCGCCGCCCGGACGCCCCACTCGGAGGGGGCATCGGCCCCTGCTAGCCGCTCGCTCGCCACCCCATCCTTCTCAGAGACAAGCCGCCCCCACCGCGTCCCCACACCCGGGTCGCTCTCGGGCCCCCGCCCCAAAGGCGCAGGGCCTGCCCTGGAAACGCGCCGCGCGGTGGAAGGCCAGCCGCGCACCCGGCCCTCGCGGCCCTTTCCCGGCGGCGCCACCCTCGCCCCCGCAGCGGCGGCCCTGCGCGGCCCCGCGGGACGGCCCCGCAGGCTCCGCCCGCACCCGACAGCGGGAGGACGAGGAGCAGCAACACTGAGAAGCATGAGGCGGGGAGGAGGGACCCTCACCCCAGGAGCCCGAAGTCTGCGGCCCCCCGGCGCCGCCGGAATCCCGGGAGCGGAGCTGGCCCAGCCGCCGAGAGGCGCTTCTTCCCGACTCGCCCGGGACCGGGACCGGGGCCGGGGCTGGGACTGGGGCCGGGGCAGGGGCGGCACGGCCCGCTCGGCCCCCTCCTCCGAGGCCGCCCCGCGCACACCGGGCATCGCCTCCACGCCCGCCCCAAGGGCACGGGGCTGCCGCGGCCCCGAGGGACGCAGAGGGGCGGAACCTCTGCCTGCGGGGACAGGGACGAGGGGCTGATGCAAAAGGCGCGCCAGACACCCCTGCCGAAACGGCGTGGAGGCTGCAGGGGGGAAACGGACATCCACCCCCAGCCGGACTCTGGACGCCCACCTGCCCGCAGTCCGCGAAGACCAAACGCCGGCAGAGCAGCTCCGCACGGAGCAGCCGGCACTGCGGAGACCCCGCGCGTCCCCAGCCAGCGGCCGGGCAGCTGAAGCCTCCAGGGCAGGCGCCCCGCCTCCTCGCTCGAGGCCACGCCCCTCCCAGACACGCCCCGCCCCCACGTGACCAGAGGCCGCCGCTGCCTTCGGGCTCAGAGCCCCGCCCCCTCCGCGGAAAGGCCTGGTCCCACCCCCAAAGGCGGGGCGACCAGAGAGCGGCTGGGAAGCTGCGCGCGCAGCCTCCGCTTGGCCCGCAGCCACCCTCCCAGGCGGCCCTCCCTTTGAAGCCCTAGTCCCAAATCTAGCCGCCTGCTCCCTCCGTCGGCCGGTCCTGGCCTCGAGGCCAGTGGTTTGTCCCCTCACTCCCGCTCCCCCGAGCCCATTTATGACTTTTCCTTTGGTCACATCCATTTTTCAGTGGAGACACTTGAAAGCCAGATACATTCCCCTCGTGTGCACTTAAGTGATCTGTCGCTTGCCTCCACTCAAGCCCCTGGCGGAGGCCACACTGTTACTATGAAATGAGACACCTCGCCGACTCAGGCGCACAGCTCCCAGCAACACCTCCGCCCCGCCCCAGCCCCGCCCAGGCCGCGCGTGCGCACTGCACTGCGGTGGTGAGACCCCCGCAGGGACGCGCGTTTGCGGGGTTGCGGCACTGGCTGCGGCTGAGCTCAGTTGTACACGCAACCTGTCTTTTTATATTTTCTCTATCTTTGGTAGAAGGTGGGAAAATGTAACTATCATTATTTGAAGGGTGAGAAATGAAGCTGAATTTGTTTTGTCTGACCATCAAAGCAAAATCAAAGTTAAGTAATTTGTAATCAAATTACAAAACAGGTTTTACAAAAGTAGTACAGAAGGTCCCAACTCCTCCCGGTGGCTTGAGTGGGGGAGGTCTCATCAAAAGGAAGCTTCACATCCTGATACACTTCACATCATCAATAAAACCGGAATCATCTAGGAAAGGCAACTCACCCCCCGGAGAGGGAAAGCCGAAGGCAGGACGCACTTCACCAAGTGTCGGTATCGCCCGGAGGGAACAGCAGAGGCGATGCCTGGTATTTTACCCACCGTGACGCCGCGAAGCCTGACACAGAACTCCAAAGCTGAGTCAGAACGCAATGACTAAGCCAAATGCATTTTTGGGGAGAGTACTTTTGTTTTTGTTGTTTTTTCCTAAGCGGCGCGGGGGGCGGGGGGGGGGCAGCAATGCACCAGCACAGCCCCTTCTGCTCCAGGGAACTAGGGGTCTGTACTTCTCTCCTCCTACCTCGGAGGTAACTTTTTTTTTTTTGAGATTTTGTTCGTTTATTTATTTTTTGAGCAAGGGGAAGGGCGGGATAAAGAGAGGGAGAGAAACATCAGTTGGTCACCTCCCCCAGGTGCTTGCCCTGACCAGCAGTCAAACTAGTGAACCCCCGCTTAGCGGGGCGACAGGCCACCAACGAGGCCACACCAGTCAGGGCAGAGGCAACTTTTGACCGTGGACAAGGTTTGCAAGGTGCTCACTGTCTTTGGGTTTTGCTTGTTGTTATCACTTCAGTGCCGAAATTCTGTTTCTCATGGACCCAGATTCAGTTTCTGAGTGAAGAGCTTCAGTTCCGCCCTCAGTGCGGGGTGAGGAGAGCTGTCAGCAGGGGTATCAGCAGATGCTCCCTAAAAACAGTCCTTAAATAGCAGGGGCAGAGCATGGTAACAAAGAATCCACACACCAATTTAGCAGGATGGTAGCAGCTGCCCCCAAAAAGCGACTGCGGTCGAAGAGCATCATCCGAACGCCCACCTTGCGGCAATGCCCAGCTGTCCGGCTTCTTTGGGGTGTGAGAGGGGGCAGGAGGAAGCAGCAGGGTTATCCTGTCGGCAAAAACAAAGCAAAGCAAAGCACCCCGGCCCCCGTGCTCTCTGCTCCAGGCGCCCCAGTCCAGCAAGTCCTCTGACACCACCATCTCCGCAGCAGCCACAGGCCGGGCGGCAGCCCGAGGACAGCAGCCGCACGCTGACGGGGAGGCTGACCTTGCAGCGGGAGAGCAGGGCCCCGGGGCCTCCCTTCCTTCCACCACAGGGCGAGGGCAGGACCCCCAGCGCACAGGACTGTGGAGACCAGAGATGCCACGCAAAGGTCCCACACAGGACCAGAGGCCCAGTTGTGACCATCACTGCCCTCAGCCTCATGCAAAAACAAACCTAGACCCAAAATTGACAAAAGAATATTTATGTAATAAATGCCCAAAAATTACTTTTAAAGAAAGATACACAAGTCAATCTTATAAGATTCTGAAAACCCTGTCACCTGTTTTATTTCTGGAGAATGGGAAAGGGAAAAAATATTCACTTGAATTTGAGGGGCAGCTAAATTGAAAGCAACAGTAGCAACAATTCTATGCCTCTAAGTTTCCTCTGATCCGTAGGGAATGCTGAAGCTTCCTTGATTGGAGATTCAAGAGTCTAATTTTTTCCCAGAGCAAGACCATTGGGATAAAAGAATAAAGAACAACAAACTCAATAGCACCAAGTGGGGTTGAACACAGAAAATAGGGCCTCGTTTCTCCTTTCAAATGAAAGTTTTACATTAAAGTATGTTCAGAAGTCATAGTTGTGTTTCATCTTATGTCCAGAGAACATGGGGCGCAACCTTTGCCCTTCCCCCAACAGGAGCATGTGCATCCCAACCAGAGCACCCACCCAGCCGCCCCTTCACCCAGGCCTCTGATGACCAAGGGGGTGGGCTCCTCAGCCGGCCTGCGGGGACAGGGCGCAGCGCCTACGCTCGGAGGGAGAACGGGTACTGAGGGTGCCACCAGTCGAAGAGTCGAACGCTGTGCACCGGGTCCAAGATGACTTGCACACCCTGCTCGCTGCGCAGCTTCCGACCACCGCGGACGGGGGAGTCTTGGAACACCAGCCTCACGCGATGATGCCGCATGTCCGTGCTCACATTGATCGTGAACTAGAGGGAAAAGCAAATTCCATTAAATCCCACACCCCAGTGAACAACCTCGCTTCCTTCCAGCCCACGCTAAAACGAGACAGTCAAGACAAAATTTGCACTGGCAAGACCACAAGATAATCTCTAAATCATACCAACACCTTTGCAAAAACATAAAAAATTAAAGGTGATTTTATAAGTTCTTAGCTTTATATATTTAAACGACGCTAAAGAACACCTCTCAAATGGCTGACTAAACGGGGACATGCACACAGTAAACCACCACAGCCGACTTTAAATACGGGGTTAGAGCCGTAAGGAACGACGGGAAGGGGTTTTGATGAGATACTGTGGAGGGAGTTGGGCAAGATGCATGAAACACAGACCCGACCCCAGCCCCTTTTTTCATAAAATGCAGCACAACATCTCTAATACATTCGTGCATGTGCACGCCCCGTGGGGAACGGTATGAGCCTGAGTAGGTGGAGCCTGAGTGGTGTGGAACCAGGTCACCCGCGTGGCCTGGCGGAGAGGAAGGGCGGGGGCAGTGCCCACACCCCCGTCAGCAGGCGTGGGAGAACAGGCGCGAGGGTGAACTGCGGCTGCCGGCTACCGGACGTCTAAGTCACCTTCTCTCAGTCCATGTGGCATTATTTAAATTCTTTACATGATGAAGGTATTATTTATTTTACCATTAAAACAAGAATAAAGCTATTTTCAATGTGGAAGGAGAGACCCCCATGTTCTCTGAACATAAGCCTAAAATACAGAGAAGACATATTACATAAACTCTACAGGTGCCAATCCAGTTAAAAAATTAAAAAACATGCCCTGGCTGGTGTGGCTCAGTGGACTGAGCACCGGCCTGTGAGACAGAGGGTGGCCGGTTCAATTCCCAGTCAGGGCACAAGCCTAGGTTGCGGGCCAGGTCCCCAGTTGGGGGCGTGCGAGAGGCAATCACACATGGATGTTTCTCTCCCTTTCTCTGTCCCTTCCCCTCTCTCAAAATATTAAAGAAATAAGTAAATCTTTAAAAAAAAATTTAAAAACCTAAAACATACGCCAGAGGCGTATTTGTTGTTTACTTATCTCATTCTTAGCTTAGTCTTAAGGGGTCAGAGCACACCCCTAGGACAGAGATGGTCACCCTACACTTTAGTATTGCATGTATTACACTGGCTGGGTAGCTCAGGGGGTCAGCGAGGAGCCCCAATATGCCGAGGGAGCAGCTCCATCGCTGGTCAGAGAATGTGCAAGAATCGACCCAAGAATGCAACACTGAGTGGAACAACACATCAACGTCTCTCTCTCTCAGATCAATTTTAAAGATGCTTTGAAACGTGCATGGCACGCATGACACCGCATGTGCCCTCGAGGTCCCGACAGGCAGGGCTCCGGACAGCCTCATCCCCGCCCCGAGCGGGACGATGCTTCTCAGACATCACGGGTCACTCCACAGGAGGGGCAGAAACGCTCCCTTCACTGCAGAGAAGGGAGGCAAAATACTCTGAGACACGAACGACTCCTCCGCGAGTCTCCGTTCCAGAGCCGCAAGTCTGCCCGCAGGCTTGCCACAGCCTTCGCCAAAGGCTGCCTCTTTGGTGGTGAGGTTTAGACTCCTCTGAGACCCAGGTACCATCGGGTCTGTGCAGGAGCTGCGGAGCCACCCTGCCCCCACTTACCAGGGTGAATATCATCCCCATGACGATGGGGATGAAGATGAAGTTGAGGGTGGTGACCTGCAGGAGGCAGCAGTCCTGGTCAGGGTTGGTGTGGACGTCCTCGTACTGCACAGGGGGCTGCAGCGCCCCAGTGCACTTGCTCTTTAGTCTAGGGGACTGAGGGGACAGAGAGTTCACCTCGGGCTCAGCGGACACCACGAGACCCATTTTCACGTCACCGTTTTATGGACATGCTGGTTCCCAGAGCTCGAGGAATCCTGCCCTCGGACAGGAGGGGCCCCCAGCGGGCAGCGGGGCGGCAGAGGTCAGGCTGCGTTCGCAGGGCCCGCCCTGGCCCCTGCGGGAGAGGGGAGCCTACGCTGCCAGGGGCCCTGTGGCGTTGGAGACGCAAGGACCCTCTCCCACGCTTTTCTCTCCCCTCCCATTTCACACAGACGTGCACGCGAACAATCGCACGCACGTCCGGACGGGACTGCACGGCCTTGGCAAGTGGCAGCGACGCTGCGCCGTCCTCGGCGTCAAAGGAGACGCACGCGTACGACCGTGATGCCGCGATCCCATCCGGGAAAGCCCAGGAAAGGCACACAAATTCCGCATGATGTAACATCCACAGCACAGCCAAACTGAACTGCCCCCAAAGTATCTCGGGCGGCTCTGTGTTCACGGCCCCCGGCCCCACTGAGGGGCCCTCTCTGCACCGAGCTGTGGCGCCCGGCGGCCTTCATCCAGGACCGCTCCTCCCTCACTTCTCTTCAAGGCATCACTGCAAGTTTTGACCCTGAGTTAAAGCAACTTTACCCTGAGTTAAATTTATTAGAACAACATAGCATCTGAAAAATAAAGGCGAGCTCCAACTGCATACCTGTTTTTTGAACTTGAAGTTGAATTCCCACATTGGCTCCTGTCTGTTCCCAACGATCTTTCTGCACCAGAAAAGTAAGCACTGTGAGAAAATAAAAATAATATAAACCGAAACTAAATAAGAGAAAAGAAAAAAGTCAGAAGGAGATAACAAAGAGTAAGCAGTAGAACCCTTTCTGTTTGCCGCCTCCGAAGCCAGCGCAGTCCAATGCTGCGAGTCCACTCTGGCCCCAGGGCAGACCCCCGATCTGACACCGGCGCCACGTGGAGAGGCTCCCAGGGCTCTTCGGTGAGGGTAAGAGGGACCGAGGGAAGTCAGCCCCCAAGGCTGTGAAGGCAACCCCTCCTGTTCTCATCTTTAGAGACGAAACATGGCCTCTAGGAACCGGGGCAGTCTCTGGTTCCGCAGGCCACTCCTCTCCATTGAAACAGAAGGAGCCGCCAGGCAGGATGGCACAAAGGCCGGCAGAGAGGGCCGCCCTGTAGTAAGGAGGGGCGAGCCGCTCAGGACCCTCTGGGAACAGACGCTGCTGCGGACCCTACGGAGCTGGCTGAACTCAGCGCACCCCTCAGTGAAAGGCAGGCTACAGCGAAGGGTAAGCACAAGAAGTCAAGTACCTCCCGGGGGCAAGGGGTGGGTCGTCCGCCGTGCCAGCCGTCCTGCCCTTCAGACGTGCCCTGCACGTCCTGATGTTCCATCAAAAATGATGGGCTCGGCTTTAAGGGGCAAACACTCCTGCTGCCATGGCAACGGCTCCAGTGTCCCACACAAGCTATGCTACAAAGAGAGAGAGGGGGAGAATCGCACACGAGGCTGCAGTCCCGGACCCGGGGCCGCTCCTTGGGGTGCGCCGGCGCCTCCCAGAAGGCCATGCACCTTGGCGTACAAGTCGCAAGGCCGTGCGTGGGACAGCTGCCCCTGCAGGTCCCTCCTCTCCTCAGGTGACCTCTGACAACAGGCGCACAAGCAGCAGCCAGGTGGGCCAGGCTCATGATCGGGATTCACCCTTAGCTATCGTGCCGCGCCGGCTTTTGGGGGCCCCCTATGAAAATCGCTGTGCGGTAGTTAGTGGGAGCAGGCACAGGTCCCTGAGGCCTGGGCACTGGAGCCGCTACGATGTGTCAGCACGAGTCTGCCTGGCGCCGACCGCTGCCAGCAGCCCGCCTGCGCCCACCAGGCCGGCTCGGGGCGGCGCCCCATCCGGCCCTCTGACACGGCCACCGTCCCCGCGGGCGGACGCTGGACACGTGACCCGACGCACTGCCCGCTCGCGTGGCGAGGAGCAACGGCCGCCGGGGGAAACCCTACGCCGGCCCTTGCCCAGCAGCGGGCGCGACCCGACGCTGAGCTCGGCCCACGGCCCTGACCACCAGCGTCGGCGACCCTGGGAGGGGCCGGGACAAACCGCCTCAAGACGGGCGGCGCCCTCGGGTCAGCAGGCGTCAGGTCACGTGTCCCTGCACTGGGCCCACGCGAGCGCAGAGGGGTCGCTGCGACATCCGAAGCTTGAAAGCACGTCAGAAAGAAGCCAAGTGCTGAGGGAGACCCTATTCTGTGTGGACAGGGAGTCATAAAACCGCCCGCGGGCTCCGAGGGTAGAAAGGTGTGAGCTCGGCGCAGGGAGAGGGAGCGAGAACGCAACCTGCCCGAGTCGTCCCAGCGGCCGCGCGAGCCCGGCTGGGCACAGGCGCCCCCCGAGGGTCTCACTAGGGAGGAGACGGAGGAGAACGGGCCAATGGCTAAGAGACCTACGTGCGGACCAGGCGCCAGCAACGTGACCACGACGCGTGAGTGCAAACTGCTGGGGAAACGCCAGCGCACGCGGAGCCTGGACACGGGAGGGCTCAGAGCGCCAGGGTCTCCAGCTGGGACCCTCCGGGCCTCCGCCACCACCTGCCGCAGGGCCCGACAGCAGCGGGCGTGCAGCCGACGCTGAGGGAGCACGGTCTGCGCCCGGACCTCGACGGGGTCCCCGAGAAGGGGGAGCCCAAATGTCCAGGTCACACAGAAAGAGAAAACTGGTATACTGTTCATGACTTATCTTGCATCATGACTTAAAGCACTTCTTAAGGATTTTAGTTCTTAAGGATTGAAGAAAAGCACGTCTTCAGCCCCAGCTGGTGTGCTCAGTGGACTGAGCGCCGGCCTGCACACCAAAGGGTGGCCAGTTCGACCCCCAGTGAGGGCCCAGGCCTGGGCTGCGGGCCGGGTCCCCAGTGGGGGAGCGCACGAGAGACAACCACGCATCAATGTCTCTCTCTCCCCGCCCCCCCAAAAATAAGTAAATAAAATCTTTTTGAAAACATCGTAGCTCAGACCTACCATTTGAGTTGTGTTTTTCCTAGCTCAAACCATCCCCGCCACCTAACACGGTACAAGGCCCACTGCACAAAAATAAATTAAAAAGGAAGAGAATAAGGAATGTGGCAAAAAGCACAAGGCAGCCAGGCTCGCACAGCAGGGACGTCCTGGAGGAGAGCAGGCCTGAGCCCGGGAGAGCGCCCGGCGCCCCGGGCAGGAGGCCCCCCCGAGCCCAGCACCCCGCTCACTCACCCTGGAGTTGCTCACTCACCCTGGAGTTCCGCAGCGCGCTGGACGCGCCCTCTGGGACGGCCGGGCTCCGGGAGACGCGAGCCGCGAAGGGCTCGTACATGTGATACAAGGAGCGGATCACGCGGGCCCGGAGGCAGCGCAGCTTCTCCATGGACTCCGGGCGCAGGCGCAGGGGCAGGGAGGCGTCCAGCGTGTAGTGCCTGCAACACGACACAGGGCTCCCACCAGCGTGTGGCCCGTCTCCTGCTCCAGGCCAGCCTCCTAAGGCTCCGCGGCTCTGTGTGCTGTCACCGACCAGCGGTCAGCTTGTCCCCAGCGCTCACTCACGCAAACCGCATCTCCTCCACTTCTCCGCTACGTCTGCTTCCTTGCTCTGCGAAGCCCAATTCACATATACCTGACAATCCTGTGCTTCTCGGTCCTTCTTAAAATTTGTAATCCTCAGTATTTCGCTATAAAGAGGGCGAGTCTTTGCCTTGACAAACAGACTTCAGACCGTGTCCCGGGGAAGAGTCACCAGGTTCTCCTGTCACGTGTCTCAGCAAGGCCTCTACTCCCTTCCTGCCACGTCACCGCTGCCAGGTCATCCTCTCCGCTACACGTCTGTACCCCTCCCGCCCGTCACGTCACCCGCCCTCTCCTCGCCAGTACGACCGCACACGTAGGGCGGCCTAAGTATGAAAACTACACGATATTCCAGGTGAGTAGGAAGTCTAAGAACTAACCCCGCTGGAAAGGCAGAGAGAGGGCATCTGCAGCTTTTGAAAACCGTAGCTAGAGTAACCCCGAGGAAAAGCCAAAGACCAGTCTTCTGAAACCTGAAACAAGGCTTTCTGCTGCGAATGGACACCGGATAAGGGCAGCGGACTATCACAGGGAAGACACCTGGCTGAATTAATACTATTAATTTTAAATTAGACACGGGCCCAAGGAGTCCAAAGTCAGGCTCACGCCGGGCACGGAGTCGAGAGACTGCAAAGTCTGCCATCCTGGGAGCACAAACAGCAAAAGATCAGCCACACAAACAAGAGCAAGCTCCCTGTGGCCGCACCTTCGGTACAACCTGGTCCAAAAGGCAGCCGTGCAAGTGACAGTCCAGGCCTTCTTACAGATCAGGGAGAAGCTCGCAACGTCCTCAGGGCGGATGTAGGAGGCCAGCAGCAGCCAAATATCCATGGGGTACTCCTCTCCGCCAGCCCCATCCAGGTCTCCTGAAACAGGAAAGGGCACTGCGACCTCTGACCTCCTGCTACGCGCGTGTCGAAAGAGTCCCAAGCACCGTGACTCTCCCCAGGCTTGCACCACTAGGAGAAAGGCTTCCCACAGGCCCACGGTAGCCTCTCAAACCCATCGCTTCCTGCTTATTCGAGCTGCGGAAACTTTGGCTTGCTGTTGCCCAAGTGAATCAATCTTGTTTCCTAAAGCTTTTATCGAACACATTTATATGTTATTTTGAAGTTTCCGAAGTACCTTTGCATACATTAAGTCATTAATGCTAATAATTCTTCAACAGAAATAAGGAAAATATCACCGTGCACATTTCACTAACAAGAAAGCAGACCCTTGCCGCCCAGGTTTTCTGACACCAGAGTCCAGCTCTGCCCTTGATTTTCCTCTCCACCCCCACCCACCAAACGTGTTCTTCAGTTCAGTCATTTAAGAAACAAAACCGATTTTAAGACGGTATGAGGAAAACCTCAAAGTGCAAACCGAATTAAAAACCAGGTAAGTTACAGTGTTATTTTCATTACTCAACAGGCACCTGCAAACCTGTTCCTTTTTCTCCAGTTCTTCCTGGCTGTGTTGCCAGGCTGACCTATGGGCGCCGCCACATGCACTTGGTATTCAGGGGCACCGTTTTAACGCGCCCCACCTCCGCCAACAGACCTCATTAGTGTCAGTTCTCTCAGCTCTGAGGTCAGGAAACGCCACAGGTCCAAGTGAAAACTCACACTCCATTCAGAAACCTAAATCGGGCTAATTTTAACTCTAACCTTTAACTCAGACCTTGCCATATAGTAATGCAAAAACTAGCTTTCTTTCCTCTCTTTCCAGGTCAAAAAGCCCCTACACCACCTGCCCAAAGCTGCCCCTGCTTTTCTGGTACCTGCTTCCTGCAGTTCTGGGACTCAGTCAGGTTCCTGTCACGTCACAGACCAACGCCTCTAAAAACAACATCCTGCTTCCTGGGCCCTGTCCTGTTCTAATCATTTACGGCTCAGGCTACAGGCTTGGGCCCGCCTCACCCCACACTACACCTCCCTGGGCAAGAGAAGCCAAGTTTCCGTCACTGAGACGACCCACCGGGACCTTCACAAAGCAGGGCGCTGCTGAAGATGTTGCCCTTACAGTCCAAATTCAGTAATTGCTGAAGACCTATATGCTAAGCGCAACTACTGAGAAATTCCACAGTGTAGGAAGTGAAGTTAGCAAAGCGAAGTTCTGCAGGAGCTCCAACCCTGCCCCCTACCGCGACCCAAACTCTGATTCCCCACCACTGTCCCCGCTGGGGCAACGGAGGAAGTGGCAGCTTCCAGCTGTCACCACACACAGGACACAGGACCGGCCAAGCAGCAGAGAGCGAGCCCTGCACCTCTGTGCCTCCTGGTTTTCTTTTTCCTGGAGACGGGCCTCTCCTGGGTGCTCCCCTCCAGGGTGTCCCTCTCGTCGCTGCTGTCGGTGACGTCGCAAGGCTCGCCAGCCCCCGAAAGAGCTTCCACTGCAGGGACCTGAGAGGCTTCCAAGCCACAGAGAGATTTTACTGGAAGGAAGTAAGAGAAGAGTGAGAAGGCAGAGTCCCATCCAGAAATGCAAACAGTTTAGACAGGGTATCAGCATCCCTGAGGGGAAAAAAGGATTAAAAAAAAAAAAAGCATGAGCGTCTGCTAAAGCAAGCGGAGACTCTAAAAGGAAAAAAAACTGAGTATCTTAAAGACAAAAAACTGGAGAGTCACGGGCAAACTGACTCCTGCAAAGTGCCAAATTCCCACGAAGAAAAAGGGACCGCATTAGGCGCCCACCACAAGCGCCGCCGAAGGGGAGGGAACGCTGTCCTCATCTGCACGGATTCCGAGGACCAGCGCTTGAGAGGCACTGAGTCCAATTTAACCACGCTGCTGGGTAGGACGGTGACAGTGGGTGTCCTAAACACAAGTCCCGGGGATACGTGAGGAAAAAGCTCGTAAGTAAGAGAAGCATGGATGGAGGAGGGGACTTCAAGGCTCGCGCACGAGAAGCAAACGGCAGAGCACGGGCAGGGCACGCGTGACCCGCAGGGAAAACCAGCAGCCAACATGCGGTGGGCGCCGCGGCGCACGCAAAGGCAGGCGGTCCTGCTGCAGAAATCGCTGGCGCCCCCGGCCACCCCGCGCCCTCCTCGAAGCGCACAGAGCGACCTCGGAGTGGGAAACGCGTCCACGGGCGGTGCCCGAAGGACTGCAGGGGAAAAGCGGACGGGGCCCCAGGCACAGCCTCCGCGTGGACGAGCCGGGCACAGGCTCGGCGGAGCCTACCTTCCTGCTGAACGGCGTTGGCGACGGCTTTCTTGACCCGCCCAGACCTCACGACGGCCGGGTCCGAGTTGGCATAGTCCGCCACGGTCACTGAAACCAGCAGCAACCCTCAGGGGGCGGCCTTGTCCCGGCGGCGCCCCCGCCCGCCCCCTGAGCCCCCAGGCCCGGCCGCCGCCCGCCGCCCGCCGCCCCGCCGCCCCGGCCCCGCACCTACCGCGTCCAGAGCAGGCATCGTGGGCCCGGAACTTGAGTCGCTTCCCTCGCTTGGGCATGGCGGCCGTGTCGGGGCGAGGCCGGCCTAGCGGGCCGGGACCGCGGGCCATGTCTCGGGCCGCAGGGCCGGCTCCGGGAGCCGCTGGCCAGCTCCGCCCGGCTCCGTGGCCATCCCACCCCGCAGCTCGCGCCTCTCGCGATGACTCAGTCCTGAGCCCCGCGTCGCGTCGACGGCTCCGTCCCCTTCGGCCGCCAGTCACCGCCTGGCGTAGGGACACGTCATCATCGAGCGCCCGGCGCCCGCCTGCTCCTGGGTTGCGCGAGCGGAGCGGGTTTCGGGGCGTGCGGGTCCCCGCTGTTCGTCCCGCCTGTGAGGGGTTTGCTGTCTCGGGCCGGCGCCCACGCCGCGTGGGTCGCAGCTGGGTGTCCGCGGGGTCCTGTCCTCACAGCCCCGCGCCGCTGGGCTTCGTTCGCAGAGTTCATGCATCTCCCGTCGGGCTCTCCTCCGTCGGTAGCAGCCGCCTGTCCCACCCAGGGCCGCCCGGGGATCGTGGTGGGACGTCGGGACTGGAAAGGCAGACGTCCGACCAGATGGCGGGGGAAGATTTTGAGGGAAAAGCGTGTCCGGGGTACGTGGGACCCGGACGCTGCCCCAGGAGCCTGAAAGCGGTAAGTTGGCGGGGCTAAGGCTTCCTGTTCGCCGGGCGCCGCGCGTGGTGGCTCTCTTGTCGTTGACTCGGTGTTTTATTTACGTTGAACCCGTCGCGTACTTATTGTTGGGAAAATGTCAGTAAAGCTGTTTTTATTCGGAGAAAAACGTGGCCCGGTGCGGCCCGCGCCTTTGGATCCTGGTCGGAATCCAGGCAGCTGCCGCGGGACCTCTCCCGCTCCTGGGGCCCCTCCGCCAGCGGCGGGCGGGCGGGGAGCGCGGCCACCGCGGTAGAGAGGACTATAGTCGTCAGGGACGTGCCCCCGAGAGCCCTCCGGCTTCTGGCCTCAGGATGCACTTCGGCCCCATCGCAGCACACACCCTCTCCCCGGACACTTTCTGCTTGACTTCGGGGGTCCGGAACACTCAGGATGTGCGGGGTTTAGGCGCCGTGTGCCCAGCAAACAGCGCCCTCGGACGGAAGAACAGCTCCCGTCGCGGTGGGGACTTACGAGGTCACGCGAAAACCTTTGCCCGCTTATGAACATCGTTAGTCGGCTTGCCGCGTCCTCGGAAGCTCTGGGGCGTGGAAGGTCCTGGGAGGCGTGGGAGGGGCGGCCTCCTGCTTGTGACTCGGCCCATTCGTCGATCCTTCGTAGTAACCGCCTGCGTTAGGGTCTCCGGGACACAGCGTGTTTAGCGAACAGACTTACTGCGGGTCGGCTTCCCGGCCTTGCGCTGCGCGAAGGCCTGGGACGCGGGGCGGCCACGCCTGGGGGCGGAGAAAGCGCTGTCCCAGCTCCAGCGGAGAGCGGCCAGCAGGTGCGCCCATCGTGGTGGGGCTGAGAGAAAGGGGCCGAAAGGGTGTGTGACGAAATAGGGGTGGAAGTCTTCCCAAATTTTTAAAAGATTTTATTTATTTTTAGAGAGAGGGGAAGGGAGGGAGAAAGAGAGAGAAACAACGTGTGGCTGCCCTCTCTCGTGCCCCCACTGCTGGGCACCTGGCCGGCAGCCCAGGCACGTGCCGGCCCGGGAATCGAACTGGCGTCCCTTTGGTTCACAGGCTGGCACTCAGTCCACTGAGCCCCACCAGTGAGGGCGAAATCTTCCTAAATTTGATGACTATAGACTTCCAAGAAGCTCAACAAACTGCAAATAAAATGAACTCAAAAAGACCCACACTAAGACACATTATAATCAAACTTTCAAAAGGCAGAACCTTGAAAGCAGGGAGAGAGCGGAGCCCTCCCGTACGGGGGATCCTCAGTAAGATCTCCAAGACAAAAGAAGTTGAAAACATATGCCCATACCAGACCTGCCGACAATTACTTATAGTAGCTTCATTCATAATTGCCAAAAACTGGGAAGAAACCAAGGTGTCCATCAGCAGAATGGATAAATGAACTGTGATACATTCATGTAATGGAATAGTGTTTAGCACTAAAAAGAAATAACCTATCAAGCTATAAAAAGACATGGTAGCACCGTATATGCACATTACTAAGTAAAATAAGCCAATAGTGAAAAGCTACCCAGTATACAATTCCAACCATGTGACATTCTGGAAAAGGCAAAACCAGAGGCAGTAAAAAAAGACCAAGGGTTGGGGTGGGAGGAACAAATAGGCAAGCAGCTCAGAGGATATTTAGGGCAGTGAAGATACACGTATCACACTGATGGCTACGTGGCCTGCCCAGACCCATAGAATGCACCACATCAAGAGCGAACCCCAGCCGGGCTGGCGTGACTCAGTCGATGAGGCATCACCCCACGAAGCGAGAAGTCGCCAGTTCGGTCCCTGGTCAGGCTGTGTGCAAGAAACAAGTAATCGATGCTTCTGGCACATCGATGCTTTCGCCCGCTCTTCCTCCTCCCCTTCCCCTCTCTAAAAAAAATAAATAAAGTCTTTTTTCAAAACCGTCCAATGAAAACTCCTCTCCGCAGTGTGGCAGTGCAGCTCTCCTAGAGCACGCCCTCGGGCCTCCGACGCAGCGGCACCTGCACCGGCACCGGCTGGCACCATGAGGGAGTCGCTGTGGGTGCTGGTCGTCCTGGCGGCGGTGGTGCTCTCGGTCGTCGTATTCATCACAGAGAACCCCTTCGACCCTTCAAGCTTCCTGTCCACGGTGAGGGCCAGAAGCTGGGGGTGGGGCAAAGACGAAGCCCAGGGCTGAACAAAAGCAGACCTCAGCTAAGTGTCTGTTAGTGTGAAACTCACTAACCGCCCGGGCTGGGGAGCTCTGTCGGTTCGGGCATCTTCCCGATGCACCAAGGCTGTGGATTCGATCCCTGATCAGGGCAGGAACGAGAAGGAGTCCGTGGGTGCTTCAATAAGTGGGACAAGAGATCTCTCCCCCTCACCCTGCCTCCCTCCCTAAAGAAAATTAATAAGTTTGAAAAATTGTCACTGACATCATAGTGAAAGGAAGATAATAAAGCCTGAGAACTCAATGTCTTTTTCTTTGACGGGGCAGCAAGGGATGTGGCACTCTGGAAGAGAGAGACTTCGGGGAAGAAATGACACTTGTTTCCTATGGTTTCAAAGTTACACATTTTATCCCCATTTTATATTGTAGGATCCCGAACCTCAGCAAAGTTAAGTCATTTCTTCAAGCCAAGAAAAATTGTAGGGGGTTGAGAAAATTCCACCAGAACCCATAAAAGGCAAAGGAAGGGAGAATGGTGAATGAGTTTGGAGGGTGAAGTGCCACCAAGGGGGAGGGTCCAGAAACATCCCGGTCTCGCTCACATGCGCCCTTCCTGGGATTCAGAGACTCGTCCGACGAGCAGAGAGGCGACTGGTGGGGCGGGGAACGGCCGGGGCGGCAGCCCTCCATTCCCTCCTCGTGGCCCTGAGAGCTAGCGGAGCCCCGCTCCCTTCAGCCCGGCCCATCGCCCATGTAAGGGCCCGCAGCGCAGAACTTTTCCAGAAGGTAAGGAAGAAACTGAATTGAGCCTTGAGCACCCTGCCCCGTAGCCTGGCGATGTTTTATTACGTGATGCAAAGGGGAACCCACCCAGCCCCTGTTCCCAAGGGGCACGATTCAGAGCTGAAAATCAGTCTTTCCTCAGGAGGAAAAGGAGCTGGTAGCCTGGCAGAGAGCCCGGATGCAGCTCAACCCTGGCAGAACACACCACCTGGAAACCTTCAAGGAGATGCAGAAAAATTCAGAACCGCTCAAAAATGTGCACTCCCGCATCTTGATTGGAGCCCCTCCTGGGGAAAGAAGTGAGTATGCACAAGGTCTGGACAGTGAAGGGCAGGTCCGGCAGGTGGCAAGCAGGGGCCGAGAGAGCATCGGACACACACACCTGTCCACGCTCCTCAGTGGCTCCCAGGACCCCAAACTCCTCTGGCTTTCCGCCAGCCTCACAGGCGGCTCCTCAGTGTCTTTTGCTGGCGGATCTTCCCTCCCCGCACCCAAGTGCCGGCGAACCCCGGAGCCCCATCCTCGTCTGGGCCGCCTGGGGCCCCTACCCGCTGTCACAGCTCTTGGTGCGTCTGTCACTGACCAGTCTCAGGATCGCAGCTCCAGCGGGGCCCTGCCTGTGGCCCTCACCACCCCCTGCAGCGCCCTCTTCCCCATGGGCACCGAGCTGGCACCTGTGCTGAGGTCTGTGTCTAGGTGATACGTGGCCTTCAGCCTGCAGCTCCGTGAGTTGTCTGGTTCTCCCTGCTCAGCAAGCTTCCCATTGGGAGCAGGGAGAACTGGTCACCCTCCCGAGGCCCAGCTATGACACACGTTTGGTGCCCAGAAGGTGCGGTGGTACTTGATAAGAAAAAATAAACCTTAAGACAGTAAAATTTTCTGGTTGAAATAGTTTAAGAATTCAAAGGACAGGACTAAGCTGTCATGTTTAGAGTTAAGTTCAAGGGGGCTCAGGTGTGTCGGCCTCAGCACTATGAGAAGTGCCCCGGCCAGGGGCTCACTGAGTTAGTGGTGTCCCGATGCGCCAAGGCTGGGGGTTCGATCCCTGGTCACGGCTCATGCGAGCATCAACCAGTGGTGCATAAACGGGTGGAACAACAAATCGATGTTTCTTTCTCTAAAATCAATTTAAAAAGTAAAATAATACAAGAACTCTGAATAAGGAAAAACTAGCTTTTCTGTAAGTCTAAATGTATTTTTCTAAATTAGCAGTACCCGCCCCGCCCCCGCCCCCCCTCGCTAGGCCTCACGGCCCCTGTGCTGCACTGTGCAAAGCCAGCTGGGTGGCTTTCCATTCGGTGCTCTGCCAAGTGTCAGCACAAACTCAGGGTGTGTTTTATCCTTTAAAATGTTTTAGCTCTGTCCGCCGGCCTGGAAATGACCCGCTTAACAAGTGAGCGCTTGTTAAGTAAGTACCGTTTCCCACGGAAAAGAAAATTAAAAAAAGACTGACTCCGGGTCCAGGAGACGCCATAGCAGAACAAGAAAGCCTTTGAAAATAGCCAGTTTCCAAAAGGCTGAGCACCCGACTTCAAAAGGCTCTTTGCCAAAACAGAAGCGCTTGCGCACCAGCAGGTTGACGTCTCAGGGGTCTGATCGACGCCTCTGCGCGTCCCCGCGTCGCCGGCAGGGGGTGCGCGCCGCGCTGCACCCTCGAGGCGGACGCCCTGCCGGCCATGCCCGCTCCTTCCCCGCCGCCGCTGCCGCCGCGGGCCCTTGCCCGTGGTTCGGGCTCCTTCCAGGCCCAGGCCTCACTCGCCGCGGGGGTGCTGCGGGCAGACCGTCCACTTTGCTAAAACGGGGGCTGCCTCTGCCGAGGACGTGGCCGCGGCCTGCCCCCCGGTGGTCACTGGCCCGGAGGTTCTGGGAATGGCCCTTGGACTGGTTGTCCAGGTGACCGTCCCAGGGCTTGTTCCTGCCTTTTGGAGGCTTGCCCTGAGGATTCCTCCGAGGCGCTCGGTCGGAAGGTGCATCTGCGCGTTTGTTTCCCCTCTGTGTCCGCTGAGCTACGAATCCTTCTTAGGCTCCTTCCCCACCCTGTTCCCTTTCACGGTCTTCCAGGAATTCTGCAAATACACGGTCTCTAACGGCCACCTTTCTGATTTTTCAGTGGGATTTGCGGGGGGGGGGGGGGGGAGACCCAAATGCAAATTTTTTTTAGCTTATCATCTTTCTTTCTTCTCCCACAATAGTTTCTGAAAGGTAGCGATTTTTTAAAAACAACCTGTGACCAGATATTCCCTCCTAACATAGTCCATACTTAGGCCTGGGGGAGAGAAAATGTAAAATAACCCCAGGAACTCATCAGGTTGGCACATGGAAAGACTGGAGAGTATCGTAACCTCATCGGTAGCAACTGTTTTCCTCACTTCCATAAGGGGAGAAACACCCTCTTTTCTCCCGCCCCCAGGGCTGCTGACCATAGGGATCTCCGCGGTGCCGCCTCCCCAGGGGAGCAGCCTTGTGGACACTCTGCAGTCCCTCTTCTCTGCCGCCTCCTCGTCTGAGCGGAGACACTTCACTGTTCTGCTACACGTGGCAGGTCCGGACCCCAGGTGGCTTGCTCAAGTGACCCGCAAGCTCTCGGCTGTGTTTAAACCACACATCCGGGCCAGAGACCTCGTCGTGATTGCTTCTCCGCCTGCAAGCCTCCTTCCCTTGAAGGACCTTAAGGAAGCCGCGCGTGACCCTCCCGCCCACGTCGCCTTCCGCTCCCTGCAGAGCGTGGGCCACGCCTTCCTCATGAACTTCGCTGCCCAGCACTCTCCCTACTTCCTGATGGTCGAGGAGGGCGTGAAGTGTGCCCCCGGGTTTGTCACCCAGATAGCCACCACCCTGTCTGCCTGGGAACACCGGCCATGGGTGACGCTGGAGTTCTCCCGGCGGGGGCTCGCCGGGAAGCTCTTTCACGCTGGAGACCTGCCCCGCATCGCTCGCTTCCTCCTCCTCTTCCACCAAGACGTGCCTTTCGATGGGCTCCTCTCCCATTTTCAGGACCTCGTGCAACCCAGGCCGATCCGCTTCCTGCCCGCCCTCTTCCAGCGCGTGGGCGGCCCCCGCTCCTCCCAGGAGGAAGAGGCCGGCTCCCCCAGCAACCCTGCCGCCTCCCTCCACACCAGCCTGGAGGGTGCCAACGGCTCCGTTCCCTCGAGTGCCTACAGCCTGGATGAGAGTTTTTTTTACGCCAAGTTGGCAGAGGCTGGCAGCCACCTGACCGTGGTTTTGGACACGCCTGCCCAAGTGTCCCGAGTTCGCGTGCAGACTGGCTCTGACCTAGGAGACGAGAATCAGCTGAAAGAGGGACAAGTGGAACTGGGCTACGACGCCACGAACTTGGTCAGCGACTGTGACGACTATGTCCTGCTGGGGCTCCTGGTAGACGGCAGCCTGGACAGGCAGGTGCTGTCCCACGAGTCGGGCCGGAAGGTGAAGTGTGTGCGGCTGCTCGTGACAGCCCGCGCGCCCTCCGGGGTGGTGCTGCGGCACATCGGCCTCTGGACCAAGTGAGATTGGCGTCTTGGACGGAGGAGCCACCGGGGTCCAGGGAGGGTTCGGGTTGGAGGGTAGAGTCTGCAGGGGTTAAAAAACAACATTAAAGTGTTGGAACGGGTCAGGTGCCTTTCGTTGTAGGGTCCTGTCGGGACTGTTGGTACGGAAGACGCGACTCGCCGAAAGGCAGGGTGAAGGTAACGTGCTCTGGGTCCCAGAGGTGCTGGCGGGCGGGGGGGCTGGTCGAGCCCTCCCTGGTGTCCCCTGCAGGAGGCCCACCACTCGGACTTTTCCCCGGGGGCCGGAAGACGGTTCCAGAAGTGGCAGGAGCGAGTGTGTAGGACCGGAAGGCCCCCATGCCCCAGGACTAGCCGGGCACGAGAGGAGACGGGGTGGGAGGCGCCCGGCGTGGATGGGCTCACGGAAGGCCGAGCATCCCGGGCGGCAGCGGAGCAACGGGCCTGAGCTCCCTGGGGGCCCCCCATTCCGCGGCGGGGGGCCGTTCGCCACACTCACTGATCCCTTCGCGTCAGGTAGAGGCCCCTTGCCCGTGACCACCCAACACGCCCCGGGGGGGGACCTTTTTAAAGCAGCCTCAAAATTACTGAAAATCGTCTGCTCTGATTTCTGGAAGCTCCTGCCTCCAGCACAGTCTCATCTCTGGGACCAGAAGGCAACATGGGTGTTTCCAATGGGAAAAACTTTGGCTGTTTTACTAACATTTTTTTAGCTCAGTTGGGTTATGAGATCTTCGTTTCCAGAAGTCCGAGCCCTGAGCTCAGCTACTGTGCAGGGTCTGGTTTTCACTAGCTGGGGAATCGTGACCCCAAGGCGGGGAGAGGAGCGAAGGGAAGAATTCGAAGAGGGACATCTGGGAAGGGCTCCAGTCCGAAGCCGGGTGCTGTGTCCACGCGAGCTGTCCTCAGAGTGGACACAGGAGCAGGAGAGTGGAAACCCGGCAGCGGGACCGAGACAAGGACTGGGGTGGGGGGACCGAACAAGCGTGGGAGGGAGCAGCTCTGGGAGCACCGGCCTGGAGATGCCCCCAGTAAGCCGCAACCCGTTGCCCTGTTCCTGACCCTGAGCCGGTTTTCAGGTCCCCGGGCAGTGATGGGAGAGGGGGGCAGGTCCTAGGAGGGAGGACCTTGCGACACACAGGTCCTGCGGTTCCCCAGGGGCCCCTGCAGACACTCGCGTGGGTCACTGCACAACACCCAGACGTTTTGGGAATTTAGACTCCATTTGGGAACGTAGGTTTGGGTCACACCACCAGGGAAGCTACAGAACCCTCTGGGGTGACACCTGCGGGTGACAAGGGTGAGCCCGCTCCAAGGGCACCAGGACTCCCCGCCCGCCTGTCTGAAGCTTTCTGGGGGATGCGCCGATGGGTACGGCGGCTTCAAAGGCTGTGTCGCGCCGGCCCCCAACAGCCCCCTGCAGGTCGGATCCCGTCTTGGCCTGGGACTCGGAGCGGACGCGGCTGGGCCGTGCCGCTGCGCTCCCTGCCGACCAGGGGAAGACACGCCCCGCCGTGGCGGGGGGGCCCCTCCAGTGCTGGTTCCGCCCCCCCCCCACTCCCCTGGGCAGAACGCAGCTGCACGCGCACGGGGGTGCAGCTCATGGGTGGGGAGAGGTCCTGCTCTAATTTTTTAAGAAGAAACATCGGCCTGTTTTTCCGCTGGTAGATGCGGTCATCGTTTGCCGCTCGTACCAGGTATTGAAGCCGCAGCCTTGGCATATTGGGGCGATGCTCCGACCAACTGAGCCACTGAACGAGGCTGGGGCAAATTCCCGTGTGAAAAACGGGGTCACTCCACCGACTCTAAACAAAAAGAGGAACAGATCGTAGTGATTTGAAGAGGGTGGGGCTGTGTCTCGCAGGGGCAGCTGCCTGCTTGCCCTGCACGGCGCAGCGGGAGACCCAGCCCGCTGCGGAGGGGCCCACGGCCCGGACCGAGCGATGAGCCAGACCTCCGGCTCTGGTCCGGAGCGGGCACAGCAGAGCCCCCAGCAGACGACGAGTCGTGGGTTTACGGGGACAGTCGGCCGCCTGCCGTCAAGAGCCTGGCCACCAGGGCCACCGAGGCCAGGGCCCCCCACGGGCAGGAGGGCGGCAAGCTTTGCCGAAACGGCGCCTCCTTCCCGCCACGCGGTGACGGTGACGGAACAGCCGAGGACGGGGCGGGCCCATTGGGGAAGGTGGGCTGGCTTCTGGTTCGAGGGCTCCTCAGGAAGGGCAAGCCAGGTCAGGACTGGGGCGCGGTGCGAAGAGGGTGACCCTGGTTTAAGACTCGTCGTACCCAATACACTCTGTAACCAAAAAGGAATGAAAGTGGAAACAGAGAATTTTATATCCAGAAAACCCCCGTTTGAAAATCGAACAGCATTTCTAAGTAGCTAATAGGTCAAAGAAGAAATCACAGTGGAAATTGGGAATTATTTTGAACTGAATGGTGATACTTATTTACCCCGTACCCGGACAGCCCGTAGATATGGCGCGTCCCCTTCTTCTAGGGGAGGGTCGTTCCGTGCCCGCCCTGGTCAACCGGATTCGTACGGAAGCTGACTTCCAGCTCCTGGGTGGGAGGCGAGACCGGAAAGCTGGCTGCCAAGTCCCGTTCGCACCGGGCCCAGGACGGGTGCTTGAGGTGAGGCCGGGTGGGGAGCAGCCCCATTCAGGGTGAACAATGGTTGCCAAGCAGGGTCTCCTGGGCGGGGGACTGGTGCCTGCCACCTCAGAGGAGCCACTCGGGGCAACACGGAAGTTTCTCTCCTTGACTTCAGAGAAACCCCTGCTCGCTGATGATTTGTGACGTGACATTCTCCGGCAGACAAGACGGCTTCGATGGCCGCGGCTCCACAGACAGGGCCAAATCCTCCACAGCACAGCAACTTCTGGCCGCTCGCAGGTTCCCGTCCTTCCTAGCAGGGAGTGGGGGACACAAGCCTCTCTCTTGGTCCCTCCGACTTGATTCCAAGCCCCTGACCTGTCCCACACAGTCCTGGGGAGGCCCAGGCACAGAAGCACACGAGGGGCTGCCAGGCGAGGCCGGCCAGCTGGCACCCATGCCCGAGCGTTGGGAGCTCGGGGTCGAGCTGGGCGAGCGTGACCAACGCTCCTCACCCCGAATCTCCTTCCTCTCCTGTGGGGCCGCTGCTCCAGCCTCCCCTGGAAACCCTGGCAGGAGGCGAAGGCAGAACCAAACCCCACAACCTTCCCCTCTCCTTAGACGTTGGCGGGGGGGGGGGGATGTCGACGGGGCCGGAGAAGCTAAGGAAGTCCAGCAGCAGAGGCGCCCGGGAGGGAGGGCCAGGGAAGGGAGGGAGGCCCCTGGGCAGCAGGACGACCTCCCGGCCTCTCGCGCAGGAGGCTCTCGGGATCCAGGCCCCGCTTCCTTCCCGCCTCGCGGCCCAGCACCATGCGCCGCCACCCGTGGAAGTGCACCCTCGTGGCTGTGTCCTTCCTCTCCCTGAGCTTCCTCCTCCAGGACAACAAGGAGGAGCCCGCGCAGCCGGTGAGTGCCGCCGCCCCCGCTGCCCCTGCGGGAGGACCGCCTTCCGGCCTTCCCGCCGCCCCGGGAGCGCCCAGCGGAGGGCGTTTCAAGATTCAGCGAAGGGTCAGAATGAGAAACTCCAGCCCTGCCCAGAGCGGCTCCGTCGTGGGCCGCAGCGCCGTCCCGTAACCGAAAGGGTGCGCCATCTGCTCCCAGTCAGGGCACGGCCGCGGGGGCCGGTTTGCTCCCCCAGCGGAGCGCGGAAGGGAGAAGACCCAACCCATGCTGCTTTGTTACTGACGAGCCGGTCTCTCCCGGTCTCTGTCTCTGTCTCTAAAAGATAAAATTTTTTTAATAAGTATTACACCAGTGTTGGATCTGGATAGGATTTCAGTAGCGGAGGGAGGGAGGAGGCACTTAGGTCTGGAGCAAGCCTCGCACAGGCCGTGTCTGGAGGGCCCTGCCGTTCCCCGTCAGGGACAGACCCAACCCTACGGTGCCGCCCCCACGGGCACAAGCGTGCAGCGGAGGAGCCCACGTTCTGGGGCCCATGGCCTCCCCACGAGCCTCCGACCGGCCAGAGCAGAGCCTGAGGGGTGTGGGAGGGCGGGTCGGCCTCGAGCGGAAGGGTTTTCGAGTGGAGGCAGCCGGCGTGCCTTCCAGGGACAGGACAGGCTGGGTCTTCCGCAGCCGCCACGGACCCGGCACAGTGCAGGACAGTCAGGGGCCCTGTGGGCCTGTGATGGCGGAGAAATCAGATGCACTTCGAGGCGCGGCGGGCAGGCTCCTCCTCCGCGCAAGCCTGGGGCCTTCCAGGGCGCTCCACACGGAACGGGAGAGCGCCGCTGCCCCGACCCCAGGGCCCACCGCCCCTCCCGGAGCCACGCGTGTTCTCCCGACGAGGTGGGGACAGCGCCTCACGGAGCCCGGACACTCGGGCTCCCCGGTGACTGGACCTGGGGCTTGTCCTAGAAGGGGGATCTGTCCTCAGGTGTCTCCATGGGAGCTGGGGTGAAGCTCAGGGTTGACACCTGTCCGTCCTCAGCAGGAAGAAAAGAAGAAAATACTGCAGCAGCTGGAGCAGGAACAAATCAGCTCCGAAAGCAAGAACCACATGGAGACCTTCAGGGAGATGCAGAAAGCGTCCCCTGTCCTCCGGCAGGCCACCTACCGAGTCCTGGCAGGGGCCCCGCCCCGGGAGAAGAGTGAGTGCACGGGGAAGGCCAGCCCGGGCGGCGGTGGCACAGGCATCCGGCCGGAAGGTGGGGGGTAGGTGAGGACGGGGCCGAGCTGGCGTCTCAGGGGAGGAGGGAGCCCCGGGGGGGCCGTGCTGGGCACCGGGCGCAAGCTCCAGTCCCTCCTGCCGCCCTGAGCACCTCACATGGAGGGCAGGCTGGTGACCGGGCCCCGAGGGAGCCGAGCTCAGCTGGGTGCCGCCTCGCTGGACTGCCGGCCCCTGGGGCTCCTCGGTCCCTGCAGACCCTCCCGTCCAGTTCTGAGGCCAGGACCAGACTAATCTGCCACACCGGCAAATTTACTTCGGGCTCGCGGCAGCCTCCCACCAGAGTGCGCCTCGGCCTTCGTAAAGGCTGCCCCAAGCCTTGCAAGAGCCGGTTAGGGAGAACCTATTCCCCTCCTCTGGCCAGAGAGTGACCGCTGACCCGACCGCTTCCTCCAGGGCAAAGGGGAGGTGAATCTGTCCCAGGTGTTGGCGTGAAGGGGAGAGGGAGGAAGGTCTCATCACACCTTGAAGTGCTAACAGTGTCCTCTGTCCCCTCGGCCCCAGGGCTGCTGACAGTGGGGGTCTCCTCAGCGCGACGTCCTCAGGGCAGCGGCCTCTCGGACACCCTGCGGTCCCTGTTCCAAGCCTCCTCGGGGCCCGAGCTGACCTGCATCGTGGTGCTGGTCCACCTGTCAGATCCTGACCCTGAGTGGCTCAGCCAAACGGTCGCCAACATCTCCAGCCTCTTCCAACCCCACATTGCGGCCCAGAGGCTGCTCGTGGTCCACGGGCGTCTCGGCGGCTCCCCTGTGCCGGGAGACCCAGGCGGCGCTGGGGCCTCCTCGCCCTGTGCGGCTGCGTATTCCAGGCAGAAAGCGGATCACGCCCTCCTCATGAACTTTGCTCTCAACCTCTCTGAATATTTTCTGATGATGGAAGACCGTGTTCGGTGCACCCCCAGATTTGTCTCTACCATCTACTGGGCACTGTCAGCCTGGAAAGAACGACCCTGGGTGACCCTGGAGTTCTCCAGCCTGGGCCTCTCAGGGAAGGTCTTCCACACCAGCGACCTGGCCCGCCTGGCCGAGCTCCTCCTCCTCTTCCCCAGGGACACGCCCACGCACCTGCTCCTCTCCCAGTTCCGCCTCCTCTTGGCCCAACAGGTTCCGATTCGCTTCGCGTCCTCAGTCTTCCGCCCTGTGCCCAACGATTCGGTGCCTGAGGACGCCTGCTTTCCCGTGGAGAGGGAACCGGTCTTCGGTGAACCAGACAACCCCGTCGCCAGGGTCCTCACCGACATGAGCGCAGTCTCGAATGTCGTTCCCGAATACGCTTACGTCCTGAACAAGGAGAGCTACTCCACCTTCGAGCCCTTAAGAGGCAACTACCTGACAGTGGTTTGGGAGAGGCCACAGAAAGTCACCCGGATAGAGGTGCTGACAGGTTCCGACCCACAGGGGCGGTACCGCCTGCAGCAGGGCCAGGTAGAGCTGGGCTACGACCCCTTGGCGCATTCCGAAGGCTGCGCTCGCTACACCCTGCTCGGGCCGCTGGTGGAAGGGAACTTGGACCAGAGGGTCTTCTACGAAGAGGATGCTGCGGAGCAGCTGAGCTGCATCCGGCTGCTGGTGCTGGCCCCGCAGGACTCCTGGCTCCTCATCCGGCAGATCCGGGTGTGGACGCAGCCGGAGGAGGAGCAGAGCTGGCGGCACCAGGGGAGGCCTGCAAGGGGTGGTCCCGGGCATGCAGCCTCCACGGCCAGCGAGAAATAAAGCGAAAAACTGGCCGCCACCTGTGGACGCTGAGTGGGGTGACACGTCAGTTACTGTCCAGACTGGGGTACTTTAGGGGCTGAAGGGAGGCGCCATTGACAATGACACGGCAGCCACAGGTGCCGGCCAGTCTCCCCAGGCAAGCAGAGCTGCGTGCTCACCCCGCTTCCCATCTCCTAGGCCACGTAAGGTACGTCGTAAGACAGTCGGATGAGGACAAGAGGCGAGACGGTCTCCTTTCGGCTTCCAAGGGCCGGGGAGAGGGAAGGAGCTGTGCACTGCCTTGGTTTCAATCTGCTCACAAGTGTCACACCCTCAGACCTCCCTGTGAAAAAGCTTCTGCCCCTCCTAGAGGGGCAACAGCCACACCATGATCGCAGAGGTGGCCCTGAGGTTGGCTCACCTCCGTGCGTCCGTCTTAGTCTGTTCGGGCTGCTGTAACAGAATTCTGGGAATTGATTTCTCACGGTTTTGGAGGCTGGGGAGTCTAAAACCGAGGCGCTGGCAGAGCGGCGTCCGGCAGGGGCCCAGTTCCTGGCCCACTGAGGGCTGTCTTTTTGCCGTCCTCACCTGACACAGTGGGTGAGGGAGCTCCTACCTATCGTATCGGTAAGGACACTGATGCCATCCACGAGGGCTCTGCCCTCAAGGCCTAATCACGTCCCAAAGGGCGCACCTCCTGATACCGTCAGCCTGGGGGTTAGGATTTCAGCATGAATTTGGGGTGGGAGTGGCACATGCCGACCACAGAACGGCCCAAACCTGCAACGTGCCGAGGCGGAGACCCCGCTGGAGCAGTGTGCTCAGCCGTGCTCCTCTGCGCATATGCTGCCTAGGGCTGCTTCCGCGCTACGAGGACAAAGTTGAGTAGCTGCTAACCAGACCGCAGCTCACGAAGTCTACAGCACCCACTGTCCTTTCCGGGGGCCGCAAACCCCTTCTGGCCCGGTTGTTGCCAGGCCCCGCCCTCCTGGCTCCAGCCCCTTCCGGCCCCCTGCTCCTGTTAGGCCCGCCCCTCTAGCCTCCCCGCCTCTTCCGGCACCAGACGTTCCAGAACCCTATGTTGCCAGGCCCTGCACTCTTTCCGGCACCGCCGCTGTCGGTCAGGCACCGCCCCTTACGGCAGCGACCCCTTCGGCCCCACGTCCCTTCGGCCCCTCTGTTGCCAGACCCTGCACTTCCGGATCCCTGCTCCTATCATGGCCGCCCTCTCCGCCTACCCGCCCTTTTCGGGCCCTAGGGTTTTCGGCCGCACTCCCTGAGAGGCCTCTTAGCGAGGCCCCGCCTCTTTTGGACGCACGCCACTTCCGCTTCCGCTTGTGCCAGCCCCCCCCCCCCAGCTATTCCGGCCCACCCCTCCGGCTCTTTCCTGGCCCCGCCTCCTGCCCGCCCCGCGGCGAACTGTGGGAGCGGTGCGGGGCGGTCCCGTCCGCGGGCGCGGCTGCGGCGGAGGACGCAGCGCTCGGTCATGGGCTTCCAGCCGGTAAGACCCGCGTCCCATGCCCTGCCCCGGGGGACGCCGCTCCATCCGGTTCTGGCCGTTCAGCTATGCACCGCGGGGTCTCACCGCCGCCCCCGCTCTGGGTGCCGGGGTCCCCGCGGGGTGCTGGCCGCTGGGCGCTTCCCCCGCGGGGCGGTCATACAGCCTCCTCTCCCCACAGAGCCCGGGCCTGCTGGCCTCCCTGGGGGCGGGTCTGCTGACTCTGCTCGGCCTGGCTCTGGGCTCCTACTTGGTTCGGCGGTCCCGCCGGCCACGGGTCACTCTCCTGGACCCCGATGAGAAGTACCTGCTGCGACTGATTGACAAGACGGTGAGTTGTGGGGGAAGGGGCGGGGCGGCAGAGGCACCAGGCTCCCGTCCTGCTAGGAAGCGACGGCATTCTCTGTGGTTGGGGCGTCCTGGTGACACGTGGTCCTCCGTCCTGCAGACCGTGAGCCACAACACCAAGAGGTTCCGCTTTGCGCTGCCCACCGCCCAGCACGTTCTGGGGCTGCCTGTGGGTAAGGAAGGGGTGGGCGATCCTCCTCCCAGAGTCTGCTGAGATGCGCTGCTTTGGTCTGTTCTCTCCGCAGTCCGTGCCCCTGCCCACCTGGCTGCATCCTCCAGGCCGCGAGGTGCACTGGGCCATTCTAGGGCGTGGCTTCTGTGCCCCAGCCCACACACCTTTAACACTCAGCAGTTCTCCCTCCCTCCCGCAGGGCACGCTCGTACCTCCCCCTGAGCAAACAGTCCTTTTTTTTACCCGTCGCCAGACCCCCCCCCCGCACTCACCTGCAGCAGCTGCTGCTGCTGCTGAGGTCGCGCAGTAACTGATGAGAGTGTCTCCAATGGGGCACCATTGGGTCCAGCTGGGGGCTCCAAGGGGTGACCCCTCCCTGCTTGGTAGCTCTTTGGAGCGTCCCACCGCAGTGGGAAGCCAGACGTTCTCGTTCTCTCAAACCTCGCTGCACGTCTGCAAGCCACCGACACGTAGTGCTCTGCGTGGTCCCCAGGCAAACACGTCTACCTCTCTGCCCGAATCGATGGCAGCCTGGTCATCAGGCCATACACTCCCGTCACCAGTGACAAGGACCAAGGCTACGTGGATCTTGTCATCAAGGTAGGGGAGTAGGAAGGAGCCCCAGGAGCTCCCTCTTGTACCCTTTCTGGGAAACTTCCGAGTTTTGCTGTGTAGCAGGGGATACGTGTTCTCTGTGGATGTGAAGACAGCATGCGTGTGTCCTGGCCACTGCTTAGGAGGCTCCGTCAGCGGGGGCTCAGAAATCAGTGAGAGTCCAAATAACGTGTTCTCCACTTTGTTTTATCAGGTCTACCGGAAGGGCGTGCACCCCAAATTTCCTGAGGGAGGGAAGATGTCTCAGTACCTGAACAGCCTGAAGATGGGGGACGTGGTGGAATTTCGAGGGCCGAGCGGGCTGCTCACGTACACAGGGAAAGGTAACAGCCTGCCCCAGGCCTCCGGGCCCACAGCCCCCTGGGCTCACGTGCGCGTGGGCGAGGCCCACAGCCGCCCGTCCTGTGCACAGAGCCGTGCCAGTCTAGAGAGGCAGGCGTCTCAGCCCCGCTTGCCACTGGGGCCGGCTCCCCACCCGCTTGAATCCGCCAGCCGCGCCGGCCATGGCGCCAGGCGGGCAGCCCTGGCTCTGGGACTCGCCCCGCCCCGCCCCGCCCCCGCCCGGCTGCGCTGCGTGGGCAGCCGGAGAGAGCTTTCAGCCCTTCCCGGGGGAGCAGCTGGGCCCTTAGCCAGCCCCTGGGGCTGCTCTGCGCACTAGGGAGCGCAGAGCCCCACTGGCCGCGGGCCTGCCGCCTTCCCTAGGGGTGACACTCTGCCAGAGGCAGCTGCTGACTCACGCTGTGGCCCTAAGCTGACTGGTAGTAATGACATGGGACACGCGGTGCAGGCCCCATTGTCCCCTGCGCGTTATCAGAGCTGCTCAACTCGGATGTCCAGCCGGCCCCGGGGTCAGGTTCCACCGCAGCTGCTGCGCTGGCCTGGGACGCGTGTTCAGTCCTCGTTTGTTCCCTTCGCTTCCCATGGTGACTTCACTCTCCCATGCCCTCTGCCCTTGACCTCTCAGGGAACTTTAGCATCCAGCCCAACAAAAAGTCCCCAGCGGAGCCCCGAGTGGTGAAGAGACTGGGCATGATCGCAGGAGGGACAGGTGCGTGTCGCCTCGGGGGCTTCCTCTCCCGCCGTGGCTGGCGTTGCGGTGAGAGCCCCCGCGACCCCCGGAAGGCCCGGGAATCAAGGCCGAGCCGTTTACTGGGATCCCCAGCAATGCCTAGGGCTCCCCGCTGCCTGACAAACAAAATCACCATCGGGTAGAAGCCAAGAAAAAGGGTAACGGACAGAATGAGAACTAAATCGTGTGCATTCTCCCAAGACCGCACCCTGAATGGGTCTTGTAATTTTTAGGCGAGAATAGGGAAACAGCTAGAGATAGGAGAGTCACGAAGACACAAAATTCACACGGGCATTTCTGTCTGCTGGACGCTCTGTGGGCCTCTTTATGTTCGTGTCTGTGAGGCAGGTACTTGCCTTCTCCTTCCACAGAAAATGCAGGTTCAGAGGGGTTAGGTCACGTCCTCAGGCTTCCCACCCCCCTCTCCCTGACTCCAAAGCACACGCACTCACCCTGCCAGTCTGGTGCCCAGGACCCTCACACTGAATCGGCTCCCGTGACATCTGAGTCCTGGCCAACAAGGGACGTTCAGAGGAAGAGTCTTAGGAGAATCCCAACAGCGCGAACTCATGCGATTATCGAGCATGACGGCAGGTCCCCCAGCAGATAGGCATTTCGTGGGTTTGGGGTAAGAGGCGCGCCCACCCAGGAACGTGGGCGCTGAAGGACACACGGGGCGGTGGGGGAGGTCGACGCTGGGCGCGGGCGGGGTGCGGGGTGAGCGGGCAGCGCTCCGACGCGCACGTGGGCGGAGGAGCCGGGACCGGTGGCTGCGGCCGCCACCTCTCACGGGGGCGCCCTGTGCAGGAATCACCCCGATGCTCCAGCTGGTCCGGGCCATCCTGGAAGATCCTGAGGATCCGACCCCGTGCTGCCTGCTTTTCGCCAACCAGGTCGGCTTGTGTTTCTGAGCCCTGGGGCTTGGCGGTGGCGTGGGGGGGCTCTGCGGGCGGCACCGACGGGCGGACGCGGGCCAGGGCCTGTTGTGGCCTCTGCCCACGGTCCCCCCCGTGTGTGGAGGACCCTCTGCTACAATAAGCGGACGAGGCCCAGAGCCACATTCCTTCCCTGGCCTGCAAGGAAAGAACACCACGTTTCGGGGATCCAGTCCTGAGCATAAAAACTTGCTCCTTGGCTTTTCTTTGTTAAACATCCCACCTTATTTTTTTGTGCTCTGTAAATAAAGGCCGCTCCCCTCTTGGGAACAACCTAAAAGTCGCGTCTCTTCCTAGAACTGTAGCCTTCTTTTTCTCTTGTGATTGGAAAGTGACATGTAGGCCTGAGAAGGTTCCTGGAGACTCTGCTTCCCCTTTTCATTTCAGACTGAGCAGGACATAATCTTACGGGAGGACTTGGAGGAGCTGCAGGCCCGGCATCCCAGTCGCTTCAAGCTCTGGTTCACTCTGGATCACCCCCCAGAAGGTACCGCCCCACTGGGGTACCACCCAGTCAGGGCCCTACCCCCGCTGGGCTCTGGTTTCAGTGGAGCCAGCCCTCCCTGGCGCTGCGGGACTCCCAGGTCCGAGTGCAGGGGCGCAGGGGCCTCCCGGCCTCCCCGTCAGGCTCCTGCTCGCCGGGTGGGCTGGGCGGCGGAGACGGCTGTGCTGGGGGACAGGCTGCGCGTAGCCGCCCGGCTCGGCCCCTGCTCACCAGCCTTCCGGCTGGACGTACCTTGCCAGCAAGGGCCTGGAGTGTCAGTTCTCTTCCCGCCCTTCAGGTTGGGCCTACAGCAAGGGCTTTGTGACTGCGGACATGATCCAGGAGCACCTGCCCGCCCCGGGGGACGATGTGCTGCTGCTGCTCTGTGGGCCTCCCCCGATGGTGCAGCTGGCCTGCCACCCCAACCTGGACAAACTGGGCTACTCGCAGAAGATGCGCTTCACCTACTGAGCGTGCCCTGGGGTCCCGGTCCCTGCGGCTCTCCTGGTCCGTACGCACGGGCTGCCGGCCCTAGGTTTCTTTCCTGACAGGACCACGCTTTTGTTCTTCTCTGGAGCCGATGCCTGAATGCTACCTGCAGGAACAGCATCCCTGTAGCCCTGGGAGAGGTCCAAGGCTGAGTCATTCCCTGGAAGGCCCCCCAGGTCACCAGGACACAAGGTCCAGGTCAGGCCATGGGACACGCTCTTCCACGGGTCAGGAAGAAGGAAGCGTGTGTGTTAGGTCCAGCACGAGCGAGCTCCTGGACAGCATCACCCTCTTCTTCGTGCCTGAGATGACGGGAACGGTCTGAGTAATGGTTTTCCTTCCTCCTCGGGGCTTAACCCGCAGCAGGTTGTGTGTGTGAGTGCAAGTTGAGCAGACTTCTAGAGCTGGTCTGACACAGATGGCAGGAGAGGAGGAAGTGGCTTTTTTGCGGATCTCGAGAGAGGAATCTGAAACACGTATTTGTGTGTCTGTCTCTCCCTGCCCAGCCCAGGCTGGAGGGAAGTGGCTCTCCACAGTCTGAGACTTCTGCTTGTGGCAGGAACCTCTGGCTACGTGAATAAACGGGGTGAAGGCCCCAGTGTGACACCTAAAGGCCTCCTGTGTCTAGAGTCCTTGTTCCAAGGCTTTTCGTGCCCGAGAATTTTGGGAGGAAGGATTTCCCAGCACAGAATCCCCAGGTCGGCCAGAGAGCCTTGGAGCAGTTTTGCCGTGTGCTGGACTGTGAGCGGCCACCACGCACAGGCTCATCGTAGCAGCTGTCTCAGCAGAACCAGAAGCTCGCCTTCTCCCGGGGGGGCATTTAAAGTGGGGAAACGGTACGGGTCAGCGGCGGTGCCCTCTGGGCCAGGTACTCCTCAGGTTTTCCTTTGGTTTGGCTACTCTCCTCCCTTCTCTTGACCCTTCACCCTGTTCATCCTTCAAGGAACCTGGCAAATAAACCAAAGTGTTATCTTTCTGGGTGGGAGGGCACCCTCTTCTTTTACGCAGGAACCTGCCATCGCCGGCCCCAGCCAGCCCTGTTGGTGCCTGGACCGAGCTGGCCTCCCCGGCCCCCGCGTCCTGACACCCTTCTCTGCTGCTCTGACAGCGTGGCCCCGTCCGTGCCTTCTCCCTGGCCTGCACCAGCGCAGCTCCCTGAGATCTCTGTTAGTCCCCCTGGGATAGAGCAGTGCATCGGTCTCGGAGGAAGGTCGATGTTGTTTTTCTGCATGTAACTACGTAGTGCTTTCTGGGGGGCCCCTACATGAAGGACTCTGAGGATTCACCCCTCCATAGGGCAGGGTCATTAGGAAGTTGTCACTGGTATTCTATCAGCCATTTCTTGATCAGCTAGTATGTATATACCACTAGCTGTGTGTGCAGTAGGAGACGCTTGCTCCCTTACCTCCGAAAAGGAAAATCTTGCTTCGCGTTGTTGGGCTCAGATAGTAAAGCATCCCAACCGAGAACTCCCACACAAGAGCACGACTCCTTGTTTTGCACAGGTTTCTGTCTCACCCACTCAACATGCAAATGCACTAAAGACCTGCCTTGTGCTAAGCCCTGTGCTCAGCTCAAGATACGATTAGACTCCCGGAGAGCTCATAGTCTGGAGAAAGACAGACACAGGATAAGTAACTACAATACAGCGTGCTTAATACTTGGGTAGTGCGATGCAAGAGACGGGTGGGGAGAGGATGCAGAGGCGGGGGGAGAGACGGACGGTACCAGGTCAGCAGCCATGGATCAGGCACTGTGCCAAGTCCATAAAAGTGTCCGGACGATAATCCTGAGTCTGAGATGAAGGACTGGCCAAAGGCCACACAGCCGGTCCTGCTGGAGACAATCCAAGTCAGCTCTGTGGACAGCGAGTGTTTCTGACGGTTTCATGCAGCGCGCTCGGTTCATAGCTCACATTTATGAAGCATTTGCCGTTTGTCTGGCTTCATAGCAAGAGCCTGATCATCTTACTTGTTCCTGACGAAGACCCAGGGAAGTGGTACCAGTTTTCAAGGGTGGTTGTCATCGGGAGGGAGGGTTCAGCAAGTACTCAAGGTCACAGGCTGGCCCGGCGAGAACCTGGGACCGTGCCTCCCGAGCCCCCGCGTTAGCCAGCGCCGAGATTCAGAACGAATCCCTCGCCTCAGCACTTCGCTTCCTGCGCTTAGAATGACACCAGCACTGCACCACCCTCCGGAGAACCGAGAGCGGGGTCCCTCTGGCCACTTTGTGCGTCGTGGGCTTCGGGGGAGGGATGCGCTGCCGGTCGTCCCCAGACGTGCACGCAGGCCGCAGCGTGGGAGCGCGGGCTGGAGCGGGTAGATCCCCAGCAAGACAAGTAGCAGCAGCTTCGCCGTTTCCTACGAGAAATACCAGGCGGCGACTGAAGCCTAGCCCCGCGACTCGCAGGGGCCGGGCTCCGCAGGCAGTCGTGGGCGGGGCCAAGGGGTGACGTCAGGGGACTAGGAAGTGTTTGGAAGACGGCAGAGCTGGCGCTGGTCGGAGGCGGGGGGCGGGACACGCGCCGGCGCGGGGGGCAGGTGCGCGGTGTGAGGCTCCGCGGCCCGCCGCGGGCGCTCGCACCGGGGTGTGCGACTCGGGGTGTGGCCCGCGCGAGGCCGTGCAGGTGGAGCTCGGGCCTGGAGCCGGCAGGGGCGTGGCTCGGAGGGGCGTGGTCTGGAGCAGCGAGCGTGCGATTGGTCGGCGGGAGCTCCGGCAGCGGGGTCGCAGCGCGGAGGTGACGTACGTGTCGGCGCCCCTTCCGGCGCGGAGGGCATCAACGTCGGGGCCGCTCGGCCGCAGGCCGCCTGCCGCGCTGGGGGATGTAGCGCTGGGTCCGCGGCCCCCAGCTGAGCCTGTCGCCCGACGGTAAGCTTCCGGGGCTTCTGCGGCGAGTGAGTGGGCGGGGGTCGGTGGAGCGCGGGGACCCGGGGCGCCTCGGCCGAGTCCTGCGACGGGCCGTCCCGAGGGTCTGAGACCCCCGGTCCGGAGCCGCCCGCACCTCCCGACTTCTCCGCGGTTCGCATCGTAAACATTTCCGGCCCCTCCCATTGCGCGCCGCCGCGGAGGCGACCTCTTAAGCCACTTAAGGGCGGATAGGTTCCGCGTCCCCCGGCTTCCCCCAGCTGCCAGCCGTCCTGATGAGTGCGCGTCTCCCCAGCCCCGCCGGGGGTGAGACGCCTGGATTCGGGCTCTGGCCCGGGACGGGACGGGCCCACAGCTAAACCAGGCGGCCAGGCCGCCGCGCGGGGCGAATAGGGGGCGGGGGGCGTGCCGGCCAGGGTCGCAGGGCCGCAGGGCCGCCTGCCCCAGCGGGGAATACCTGCCTTGGGTGGCCTGGGAGCCCCAAGGTTCCTCGACCAAGACGGTGCCCACACCTTGATGTTGGAAAGGGGAGCTTAGTGGGCTGTTTACCTTTGATTAAGCTAATCCCCAACGCTGAAATGTGAGCAAAATCTGAACTACTTTGGAGAAAACGAAATCCCACTTCCTCGGAAATCCCGCGTTGGTGTTTGCCGGCTTCTGTCTGAGACGGACGTGCGCCTTCCCTCGGCGTCCCTGCCTCGCAGGCGGTGGGAAACGGACAGGCGCTTGTCGGTGTCGGGGATCGGGCGTGGGCGCGGCAGCAGGAGGCCCGCACGGTCTGTTCCGGGGTCGCCGCAGTGTTTCCCCAGGCGGCGAGGAGGTAGCCCAGCACCCAGCGGGGTCTGGCCTGCCGCCTTAAATCAAACGAGCACTGGAGGGACGTATTGGGGTCAGCTCACTGCTTTGCCCCTTGGTGGGGGCCGGGCCACCCAGGACGGGGCAGCTGCTGTTCCTCGTGTGTTGACAGCGTCTGCACAGCAGCCGGAATCTGGACCAGACGCTGCCGGACAGGTCTGAGCGTTCCCAGCACGCGTTCCTGGCCGCGGGGAGTGGTTGGTACTTGGGGAGCCTGTCCTCAGACCCAGTGAGCCACCTGTGCAGCAGGTGCATCGTGGAGCCAGCGCCTCCGCCATCCGGAGTTGCGGGGTAGACTCTGAAAGCATGGCTGTCAGTGGCCGAGAAATCGTGGGATTCCCAGGGGATGGGGAACGGTCGTCAGCCCGGCAGCGCAGACTCTCGGGCAGGCTGCAGGAGCGCCTCACGCCCACTGCTAATGGATGGAGGGCCCCGCCCGGGAGCGCTCAGGCTTTCAGGCCATTTCTAGTTTCTTTCCTCTGGCCTCACCTCACCTTTCTAAGCATCCTTTATGCAGGAAAAAAACTTCAAAAAGGAGGAAAAACAAGAAAAAGAAAGCACAGGAATTATGTTTCTTTCCAAGCCAGCAGGTGTGTTTTCTCTTTTCCTGGGAGGCCTCCACCTCTGGTAACACCAGGCCCACCTGGCAGTCCTAGTCCCTTGTCCCGTGCCGTCCCCTTGTGATCACGCTGGCGAACTACACTGCCCCCCGTCAGTCCAGAAACTTGATTAGTTCTGGTGGGTTTTTTCCTGGTGCTGGAATTTGTCATCATTACGTTTTGTCTTTAGCTTCCGTTGGTCCCTCCTGCGCCCTTATTGCGCTCAAAGTCGGTTCCGTGGTTGTGCTCAGAACTGCTGGGGCGTGATTATTGTTTATAAGACGTGTCGCTTTCTCGAACTGAAAGGCCCCTGCGTGTGCCCCCTAGACAGCCGGTTCTCGGGGGCGGTCTGCGGGGCATGCACCTGTTCGCTCCCTTTCATCGGGGCTCCTGGGGTGCCCAGAGCGAAGGGCGATCACCATGCTCTGCAAGTAGTGACCGTGCGGCTCCTTGACGTGCTCGACAGCCAGGTACTAAAAACAGGGACTGGCGTGAGACTCCTCCATGTGTCCGTGTGCCGTGTGCCTTTTTATTTAATGGAATTTGAAGCTTGTCTGTCTGGAATCAAAGGACCTCTGGTGGGACCACTTTGGCGAGGGAAGAACTAGCAAAGGACCGTAGCTCTTGGATTCTGCCTCAGCGTCTGCGGCGGCGACTCCGCCCCAGGAGGCCAGGCTGAGGCCCTGTCGCGCAGTTTGGCGATCTTCACGCAGAGGCCTTGGCTGAGGCCCCGTTTCCCCAGAGGTGCTGCGGCCTCCTCTCGCAGCGGGTGTGCGGGGAGCACGAGTCAGTGCCCAGCGACTCCGAGGGCCCGGGGACCCTCGGTGAAACACCTCTCGAAGCCGCGTCTTGGCCTCCAGGGAGGGGTGTGCTGTAGCCTGGGACACCTGGGAACCGGATCGAAGAATCAACGCCTCAAAAACCGTGAGAGAAATAAAGTCTCCCGCCCGCTGACTGGGGAGGAACGGTCCGTTCTCCCCGAGGTCGGTCCCGCCTCCGCGGCCTCCTGCCCTCCGTGGGGCCCCCAGTGAGGAGGCTGGGCGGGGTGAAGAGATCCCATCAAAACTGCGCTCCTAGGACTTTGGCTCAATCATAATTTGCTCCTTCGGGAGTGGTGCGTTGGAGAGGAAGTGCGTTTGCCCCCAAAATACACGAGGGTACAGATGGCTGAAGTGTGCTTGCTCCCCCGGGTCGGCAGGAATCGGCCCCAACAACTTAGGAGTTCACGCTGACTTCACGTCATAGAGGCGGAAACGCCTGCAATCGTCCCCAGGTGTTTGTGAGCGGCCAGCCCTGCCCGACGCTCCGTTTTCAACCCCAGTGCTGCTCCCACCTCCTGCCAGACCTCTGATCCCTCCCTCTTCCTTCCCTGTTCCTGTGAACACCAGAGTGGACAGCAGATTTTGCTCAGGATGACAACGCATCTTGTACAATGAGTGGTGGCTGATGGCGGGTTTGTAGGGTCACTAGGGTGTTACGTTTGGTGACTCTGAGTCCAGGCCACAGCGCGGGGGAGGGGGTAGGAGCTGGTGATAGGGGAGCTGGAGGGAACCGGAAAATTTGCAGAAAACAATTTGGATGGAAGAGGAGGGGACTTGGACGATGGCCAAGAGGCCAAGGCCACCCTCCAAGGGCACTGGGGTGCGGCCCAGAAGCTTTTCAGGCCGAAGGAGTAACAGGAGGCCCGGTTCTGCATCTGATCTCTGACCCTGAGTGCCCAGCTCAAAGTTTGTCTGTGTTATTCTCGTTGCTCCTGGTAAAATAGTTGCACAGTGTTCAAAATAACTGAAGTTGGTGTGCGGCCGTCCCAGCTTTGGGGCGCTCTCCTTCCGCTGCCCCCCTGCGGCAGTGAAGTGGGATCGCTGGCTTTGCCCACACCACACGGTGCCTTACGTAGGCTCCGCAAGCACAGCGCTGAGCTGGTTCAGGGTGGTGGTTGGCAGAGCACCTTGACTGAGGGACGTGTGTCAGTTTGCCACCCAGGCGTGTTGACCCCAGGCCCTGACGTGGTGTTTGGCCTGCGCCTGAAGTCCTGGCCGCGGGGTTTTAGCCTGAAGTGTGTCCCCCTTTTGAGGCTGACTTCCCAGGGTGCCCGAGGCAGTTACGTTTTTCTCTGGCACAATCACTTCTCAGTGAAGCCGTCGACCGGGCAGCACTTCACCTGGAGGAAGAGTGCTCTGTGGTCAGCCTATCGAACAGGACTGCCCGGCGGCCCGGCGTGGACGCCTCCCTCCTGAGGCCTCCAGTTTCCGGTTCTCCGGGGGCTCTGCTGTCGTCGGCCAAGCGGCCTCTGTCTTGTCCGTCTCGCACCATCGGCGCCACGTGAAAGTCGGCTGTGGAGAGAATTCTTGTTCGCTCTCTTGGACTAGATTTGCCTCTTGCTTTCGGCCGCGCTCGCCTTGAGCGCAGCATGACTCCTGGGCCTTGAGGGTCGCCCCTCCTGGCTACGGAAACCCAGGCACCATCCCTGAGGAGAAGCGTGGTTACTCTTGGATTAAAAGGAAAAGGGGGACGCGACGTCAGAGGCGTCGGGGAAGGCGTGTGCGGGGCAGACAGCGCGGGACGCGCCTCCCCCGCGGGAGCAGAGCCAGCTCAGGGCAGCCAGGCCCCCGAGCCGCAGCCACCGCGCGTGGCCGCTGCGGGCACAGGTGTAGCCAGGCCCGGCGGCTGCGGGCACTCGTCCTGGCGGCAGCTGCTGCTCCTGCTGCTCTGAGCAGTGAGCTTCTTATCCCTGGAGGGGGGAGAACGACTCCCTTACAAGGTAGTGGAAACCGTCGGGGCCTCGTCGCTGCTCTGCCTCCTCCCCGAGGCCTGAAGAAGACGCCCCCTGCGACCCAGCGCAGGAGAAGCCTGGAGGTCTTGGGCCTTTCCTTTCCTGGAAGGCTGCGTTCTGGGTTTCTCCGGTTCTCCCAGAGGACCTGCAGGCCCGTCTCTGGTGTCGGGAGACCTGGCCTGAGCGGCGCGTGGGCCGTGCCCTGCGGTGGCTGGCCGAGCGCTCGCTGAACTGGTCGTGTGGCATGTGGGGCGCAAAGGGCGGGGCCGCGCCTCGTCCTCAGCTTCCTGTTTGCTGGCGAGTCACTGGCACCCGCAGGGAAGGCTGCGATGGAGCCCATTTCCCCGTGTTGAACCCGGCGCTCACCCTGAACAGGGCCAGTAGGCCTGGCGGGGAGGCTGACCACTGGCCCCCGGCGGGACGGCTCCCTCTGCTGCTTGCGGGGCCCTCGCGTCAGCGTTCGGAGAGAGAGCCCAGCCGAGCCCAGTGGGCGCTGGGCTCCTTCACAAGCGCGGGAGGTCTGTAGCCGGGGCCAGGTGCCAGCTTTGAGCCAGGTCTTTGCCCAGCAGAACAGCTTTGGGGATGATGGGCTTTGCCTTTCGCCGAGCAGGCTCCACGTCTGGGAGGGAATGGGGGTGGGAGCTGTTTTCCTGTGGGGACAATTTGGTACAAAAACCACAGATGCTTTGAAGGCAAGCAACGAGGGATTCTATTTTGAGCCTTATCTGTAAGATTAGTGCGGTTCTGAGTAAAGGGTAACATCAAAGAGATGGAAGGAGAAAGAGATTGCGTGGTAACAACTAAGGGGCCTTCAGAACTGGAGGCAGCGGGCCCGCGGGAGCTCAGGTCTGGCCCGCTGCAGCGGGCCTGCAGGGGCGCTGAGTCCTCGCCGCCGTGTTCGCGTTTCCCTCCAGGGTCGTCCGTCGCAGGGAGCGCCCCGTCCCCTGGGGTCGAGGCGCCCAGCCTTTCCCAAGCCGGAGCTGCAGGCCTTGAGGGGCCGGCCGGATGTCGTCTCACAAGGGACCCGCGGGGGCCCAGGGCAGCGGGGCCCCCGCCAGCGCCCGGGAGACGGACACGGTGGAGCTGGCGGAGCTGGGGCCCCTGCTGGAGGCGAAGGGCCGGCGGGGCGTCGCCAGCCCCGGCAAGGTGGGTCGTCTCCCCGGGCTGAGTCCCCTCCACGGACGGGCGACCGCGCCCTCCCCGCCTGTAGGGTCCCGGCCCCCTCCCAGAAGAGGAACCAGAGCTCGGGGGTGTCTCGCGGCAGCCCTTCCCGAGCTGGGGGATGGGGGTCCTCCTGCCGGCCTGGGTCTCCCGCTGCTAGTTTCTGCGTGTTCGCTCGTCTTGGTGGCCCCAGCGCGTCCATGAGGCCTGAAACCCCGTGGGCAGGCAGTGCACGTCTGGGGGCACGAAGGGCGCAGTTGGGGTCGGCCTCACGTAACAAGCCCTGCCAAGACGGGAGTCTCTCGGTGTGAGAACTCGACGCGGAACCGGGCCAGGCTGCACCGCCGTCAGGCGCCTTGCCACGCGCCCTGCTGCTCCTCCAGACGTCGGCCGTCGCCCGCACGCGGGCCACCACAGGGAGGACGGGGCGGGAGAAGGCCCGCCCTCTCTGGGGGTGCCTGGTGACCCTGTCGGTTACGTCCGCTGACATCCCCGGGGCCAGAGCGGGCTCTGAGGCACATCCCCACCCGGAGCAGCCCCACGGGCTCTGTTACTGAGGGCGGGAGTGTGTGTCAGGACGGGGGGCGGGGGGCGGGCGCCCCAGGGCCCGTCAGCAGGAGGTGGGGGCTCGGGGAAGGAGCCGTCGCGCGGGCGCAGGGCGCGGGGCCTGGGTGCCCCTCGCTGCGCCGCGACTGCCAGGGTGGGTCTGTGTGGCTCCCGATGCAGGCGGAGGAGGAGCAGGCGGGCCCGGGGCCCCAGGAGGAGGAGGAGGAGGTGCGGGTCCTGACGCTCCCGCTGCAGGCCCACCACGCCATGGAGAAGATGGAGGAGTTCGTGTACAAGGTGCGGCTCCTGCCCCGGGGGCGGGGCTGCGGGGGGCGGGGCGGGGGCTGAAGGGCTTTGTTTTTGCTCTAGTGTGAGAATTAAATCCAGGGAAAGGCTGGAACACTTTCGCTGCCTCATGTGTTAGGCCTCGTTCGAAACACGGGGACCCTTTTGGCAGCCGTGAAAACGTGCGCGTGCGATGCCGGTGCACGGGCTCCTTCGCCAGCACGTTGAACGCGCGTCGATGGCCGTGACGTGTTTCACTAAAACGTATCAGCTAGGCAGCGATGGATAGAAATAACAGTTTGGCATCTGCAGAACTCCTGTGTAAAACTCTCGGTGACTTCCCTTGGTGACGGAGTCCCAGGTCTCGCCTGCTGCGGCTTGTCACCCGCAGTTGTCATTGCGGGAAATGGCGGTTGAGTAAAAGTGAAGGCAGCCTCCCTCTGCTCCCAGGGTCCTGCCCACTGTCCGTGTGTCCCAGGCTGAGATCGCAGCGCCTGGTGCGGACTGGCCGGCTGTACGGAGGGCGGAGCCGGGAGCAGCCAGAGTCTCGGGAGCGGAGGGGAGGGGAGGGGTGGGGAGGGGTGGCTGTGCAAAGCCACGTGTAGCATATGTTTCTTTTTATTCACTGTATTTCCTTAACTTCGAGATTCCAAGCAGCTTCCAGGAGGTCCCGCCTTGTCCCCTTTAGCGTGTCCAGGTGGGCTGACCTGGCACAAGAGCAGAGGCGTCGGCGAAGGGGTCAGGGGTCCGTCAGCACTGCGAGCGCCGCTGCGTGCTGCGTCCCGGGTCTCGGGGTGCAGGCGGGCACCCCTGCCCCGCCCGCCCTCGTCACCCCAGCCGCCCAGGGCCTGCCGGGCGCCCCCCTGCACCCCTTGTCCTCAGGAAGGCAGTGTTCTCTAGGGCCCTGCCTAGCGGGCGTGTGTGCCGGGAGCCTCGGACAGCGGGGCGGGGCGCCAGCCGGGCACGCGGTGTAGGCACCCACGTGTCGGTGGCGGCGCGGCGCCCGCCCTCAGCGCTCAGGGCTCGGCCGTTGCAGGTCTGGGAGGGACGCTGGAGGGTCATCCCCTACGACGTGCTCCCCGACTGGCTGAAGGACAACGACTACCTGCTGCACGGCCACCGGCCGCCCATGCCCTCCTTCCGGGCCTGCTTCCGCAGCATCTTCCGCATCCACACGGAGACCGGCAACATCTGGACCCACCTGCTCGGTGAGTGCTCTGCGTGGGCGCGCGTCCTCTGTCCCCAGTGCACGGGAGGGAAGAGGCGCCGGGGCGTCTGGTGGACTGCAGGCTGGCGTCGCGCCTCTGCTCCGCCGGTCAGCCTGCTGGCCCGGTCGCTGCCCTTGAAGACGGGCTGGGGGAGGGGCTGGACGGGGAGGAGAGAATGGAGAAGAGGACGGCGCGGGGCGCTCCTGTGACCCCGGAGGGCCTGTCCATCGTGGAGACGTCCCTTCCCTTTGACAAAGTCCCACGGTCACGGCACTAGGCCGGGGTCCTTTCAGCGGCCTTTCTGTCTGCGATGGTGGGGCGGGCACCCCCCCCACGCCCGGCGCCCGGCCTGCAGCCCTCGCGGCGAAGCCCGGCCGTGTCTGCCGCCGTTTTACCTGCCGTCACAGTGCACGTTCCTTCTCCTCCTCCAGGTTTTGTGCTGTTTCTCTTTCTGGGGATCCTGACCATGCTCAGGCCAAACATGTACTTCATGGCCCCCCTGCAGGAGAAGGTGGTTTTCGGGATGTTCTTCTTGGGCGCAGTGCTCTGCCTCAGCTTCTCCTGGCTCTTTCACACCGTCTACTGTCACTCAGAGAAAGTCTCCCGGACTTTTTCCAAGTGAGTGAGAGGCCTGTCGTCCGTGGAGCAAGGGCGGCCCCGGGGTCAGGTCCTGTGGTCCGAGTCCAAGCCCCCAGTGACCCTCCCGCCGCCCTGCCGGCCAGAGGAAAGGCTTTCGGCGCTGTGGGTGCAGTGGTGCGGTGAGGCCCTTCTCGTAAATCCTTCGTGGCACGACTCACGCAGCCTCCCCGCAGCCGCAGCCCAGCCGTGGGGGGTGCCTCCACCTGCTCGGCACCCCCTGCGTGAGACTGGGGTGCCAGGGGGCCGCACCCCGAGGCTGAGCGCCCGAGCGAGGCAGGGCGTGCCTGCGGCCGAGGAGCTTATCTCCGCTGCCCACGCGCCGCTGGGGGCCCCGGATGCCCGTCCTCGGGTGCCGCCCGCGGTCCCCAGCCCCGAGCCTGGGCCTGCACGCCGGCTCGTTTTTGTTAGTTGGGTTTGGTGGTCTGTTCTCACCATGTAAAAGTCCGAACAGGGCGGTCCTCCCTAGTGGGGCTCCCGCGTAAGGGCTGTGCTCTTCGAACTCAGCCTGTGAGAACTGGGGCCGCTCAGCCTCCCTGAGCGTGAAGCCGGGAACCAGCGCGCTCTGACCGAGCTCCTGTGTCCAGGGCCCCTGGGGGCCGTGGCTGTCCCCGACTTAGGGAGAGCGAAGGCTCTCGCTGCAAAGGGAGGTGCTCGACCTTGCGGGATTTGCGTCCCGGGTGCAGGTGGGAGACGGGGTGGTTGGAGGGGGGCACAGGCAAAGGACGGGGGCCCGTCACACCTCCCACTGACGCGTCTCGATTTCTGTGGCTCCTCCAGACTGGACTATTCAGGGATCGCCCTCCTGATCATGGGGAGCTTCGTCCCGTGGCTCTACTACTCCTTCTACTGCTCCCCACAGCCCCGGCTCATCTACCTCTCCATCGTCTGCGTCCTGGGCATCTCTGCCATCATCGTGGCGCAGTGGGACCGGTTCGCCACCCCTAAACACCGGCAGACGCGCGCAGGTGGGGAGGGAGGCGGTGGGAGCCTCGTGGGTTGGGGCCTTGACCCCGACGGGCTCGGCCTGGGCCCGAGAGTTGCAGTTTGAGGGCCCCGCTCAGGCCCCAGTCTGTGTGTGGAGCCCTCAGAACAGTGCGGGTGTCTGAAGCGCGATTGTCCCCTAGGTTTCACGCTATTTTAGTAGAATGCTCACGGGACATGTAACGACACCATCGGTCAGTTGGATGCTGTTACCTTTGGTTCGAGAGAGTCAGCAAACGCACCGAGCACAGCCTTTCAGGGACCCGAGTCCCACGTGCCCCGGGGCCTCCTGGAGCTGTTCCCCGAAGCAGCGGGAGGCTTGACCTGAGCGGGGGCAGTCGTTGCCGTTTGGGGGGTGGGACCCAGACTCTCGGGTTTCATGACCGGCAGCCACACCCCGCGCACTCTTGAGATTGCCTAGGGCCTGGCGTGTTGGAGCCTTCAGGTAAAAGAACTGAACGCGCATCAGGCGTTGAGCCGCCGGGGCTCAGCCAGGGCGCCCGCAGAAGCGGAGACGGTGGCCCTGCCCTCCGGCCGAGCGCGGGGGTGCCGGGCTGCTGCGCAGGCGTCCGCCCACGCTCCCTCCTCCAACCTCGTCTGGCCCCGCAGCCACCACGGCTTCTGCCCTGGTGTGTTGGCCTGCTCCGGAGTCAGAGTCTGGGCACTTAGGTCTTTGGTGATGTTCCTGGGAAACCTGTCCCCTCCCCTCCGCCTCGAAGCCGCCTGGAGCTTCGCCATCCGTTCCCGAGTCAGCCACCGGAGGGCTTGGCCTGGCCTTTTTGCCTGGGCTTCTCAACCAACAGTGAAGGGCGTGAGACGTTTGTTCTCGGTGCTCCTTCGAGCGTGACGTCTGTGTGGGCACTTTCGCAGCCCTCTTCCCTTTCCGGAAGAGAGACCCTCTGACCACTCTCCATCTTGTGGCCAGATTTCCTGAACACGCAGTGAGTTAGGCGTAGGCGACTGCAGCCCACGGCGAGGCAGCGGTGTGCTGCACAGCTGCGCGTCCCCGCCGACGGCCTCGTGTCTTCTCTGCGCAGGGGTGTTCCTGGGCCTGGGCTTGAGTGGCGTCGTGCCCACCATGCACTTCACGATCGCCGAGGGCTTCGTCAAGGCCACCACCGTGGGCCAGATGGGCTGGTTCTTCCTCATGGCCGTGATGTACATCACCGGGGCCGGCCTCTACGCCGCACGCATTCCGGAGCGCTTCTTCCCGGGGAAGTTCGACATCTGGGTAAGAGGCGCCTGTGGGCGGGGACCAGGGCCCGCCTGGCAGGTCTGAGTCGCAGGCAGTGACAGGTGGCTCCTGCCGTGTTTGGGGTACGTACACAGGCAGTTGCGGGGGCAGTAACCAATGTGAACGTTGTGTATTCCTGACGTGACTTCTAGAAAATTTCTCTACAACAAATATATCACTTTCACGATAGTAAAATGTTAAGGGGAAACCAGATGAGGCGAGAGATTTCTCCTCCTCGGTCCCGACCCCTCCTAAGGGTCCTCTCTCGCTTCCGCAGTTCCAGTCGCACCAGATTTTCCACGTCCTGGTGGTGGCGGCGGCCTTCATCCACTTCTACGGGGTCTCCAACCTCCAGGAGTTCCGCTACGGCCTGGAAGGCGGCTGCACCGACGACTCCCTCCTCTGAGCCTCCCGGCTGAGGCCAGGAGAGGGCCTTCCCAAGTGCTTTTAAAAATAACTTCTTTGCTGAAGTGAGAGGAGGCGTCTGAGTTGTCTGTTTCTAGAAGAAACCTCTTAGCAAATTCAGTGCCAGCCGGGCTTCAGCCCACCTCCCCCCAACCCCGGGCCGGGGGCAGCCGCTCGAGGGGCGAGGGGTCCCTCGCTGAGGCGGGGGCCGTCGGCCTGGCCATGCCCCTGAGCAGCCCCACTCAGCGAGGCGACGCGGCCCCTCGCGCAGAGCACTCGGCGTTCCCGTTGGGAGGCGGCCCCCCCTCCAGCCACTCTGGGGGAAAACGATGGACTGGGACTCTTCAGAAATTCTGTTTCTAGGAGAAAGTGTCCCCTCCCTTAGCCCATCCTCACTTTGTAACCTGGCTTAGCACAGGCCACCCGTTTTGTAGCACACTTTTCAGAAACGTTTGTGCCCCGGTCCCATCTTCTGGGGCCTGAACCTGCGGGCAGCAGGCGGGACAGTCACCACCTGGGATGCGGCCTGGCCAACCATGGGAGTGTGTCTAGGCTACAGGTGTGTGTTAATTTTTTTCTTGGCAGAGTAATGTAAAATTAAAATGGGGAAAGATATTTAATATTTAATACTAAGCTTTAAAAAGAAATCTGCTATCATTGCTATGTATCTTGATGCAAAGACTATGATGATAATAAAAGGAAGTGTAGAAGACGATGAGCATTCAAAGATGTAACGTGTGTGGTCTCGGCCGTTTGCACAGGTTTAGAACCGGGAAGGTCATCTGGGGTTCTGCCGAGGCCCAGGCCTGAGTCCCGGGCACGGACAGGCTGGCGTGTGCGCGCCCGCACCGGCTCCGCCACAGCCTGTCTCCTCGCTGCACGGAGTTTGACTAGAGGGATCGCTGTGCTGAAGCATCTCTTAACGATCGCTAGGTTCTCCCAGGAGTTGGGACCCATCCCTGCGAGCGTGAGGTCCACTGCAGGTCACTCCAGGCTTCAGCTCCCTCCTCTCAGCAGGTGGCTCTTCCCTGCCTTCCTGGGCCTTTGCCACGTCCAGCCCCGAGGCCTCCTAGCGCACGGCCCGCAGCGCTTCCGAGCCACTGCGCGGTCTCCTCGAGTTACAAAGATGGGTTCCTTCAAGGTAGAGTTTGTACAACTGGGAGAATGATCACTACCGGGTTGGCACCAATGAAAGTTCCAGAACGTTGTGCAGACCGGGAAGTACACTGGTGGGGCCCATGCGCGTGGCTGTGCACAGGCCATGCACACGCGTGTTGCAACCTCCCAACGTTTTGTGAAACACCTTACAGTAGGAGGCATATCTGAAATTCATCTTAAATGACTTCATTTTAAAAAGTGCTGGTTTGACCCACTAAATTGTTTCCTAACTCATTAACGGCTCACAACCCACACTTTGAAAACACTACCCTTGAGAAACAGCTTGTATCAGAAAACTCATTGCAGCCGGATGTCGTAGCAACGCACTGCGATCCAGCCAAGTGTCCAGAACTGTTGGATGGGAGAGAAATCTTGACTTTCTCATACAACGAAGCACTATTGTGAAGTAAAAATTCATTACAGTGACAAGCAACTTCCAGGACATGTGTGGTCTGATTGCATTTATGTAAAGTTCAGAAATTTGCAAAACTAAGGATACTTTGCAAGCATGGTAAGAATTTAAAAAGGAAATATTCAGGAAAAATGATTATCTCAGAAGGGGTAAGAGCAGGAGAGGGAACACACAAGGATAGTTCGGAGCCACAGCTTATGTTCTTTTTAACCAGATGACGACTACCTGGGTGTTCTTTAGGCCAGGAGTATACTTGCATGTAGGTAGTGTATTTAATAAAAAAACTTTAAAGTTTTAAAAAACTTTTAAAAAGTTTTAAGAAAGACGTGAGCACATAGCAGAAGCCACAATCCCTCAAACAAGCTCCGTTTGGCCTGCAGTGGGGGGTGGGGCAGCGGTGCCCTCTGGGGCGGGTGTTTGCTCCGCGCCCTCCTGCCTTGCCCTGCAGGCATCCGAGTGGCAGCCACTCATCCGGTCTGATCGGGGTCTGGTCCAGCCGATCCAGCAGGGTGGGAGGAGGAAAAGCCAAGAATCTGTGTCTGCCCCTTTCCCAGCTAACATTTCTACCTAGAAAGCACCCATTTTCAGTTACAGAACAACTTTGGGAACATTAGTAAGTTCTTAAATTATGGCAAATGGGTAATATCCAAAGAAATTGTTGAACTCGGACAGTTGGCTCTTCCGGGAGCACATACCAAAAATAAAGGATTTTATTTAGGGGAAACATGTAGGAAAGAAATACGAAGGGGGCAGAGACACCTGGGGGAGCCTTTGGACTCTGCCCCACTGGTTCGCAGATTCGACCACGTACTCTGCGGGCCTGACCCAGAGTCTGAGGCAAACTGATTCCTCCACTGGAACCCTTCAGCGGCTCTGACCACCCAGGACCGGCCCCTGGGCATGTCTGTCCTGGGGGAAGGTCTCCGCCTTTTGTTCCTGGACAAGCAGTGGGCACGGCCCAGACAAAGCCTCCTTTACTAAGTTCCTTCTCACGCTGGAAAAAAATGTTTTGATTTAGCATTCACATCCAGAAAACAAGGATTACTTTCAGATTGTACATACTTTTAATTTACGGAAAAGTTCAAAAGGCACAAAGGGGAAAATCTCCCTCCTGCCCTGTCTCCCAAGCCGCCAGTTCCTCCCGCGAAAGACATGTTACCACTTTATTTTGTATCCTTCCAAATGCACTTTATACATATACAAGCAAATATGAGGGTATTTTTCCAACCTTTTTATTCAAATGATAGCGAACTACACGCTCGCTGTTCACAGCCTCACGGTATTCCACGGACGGATGTACTTAACAAAACCAGTTCCCTACTGACAGACACTGACGTTTTCAATGCAACCTACGAACGACCTGCACAAACATCACTGTCCATGTGCAAGAGTAGCTTCGAAGGATAAATTCATCAAAATCGCTGAAAAGGGATGTCGGCGTGCATAATTTTGGTGCACTTTTGCGAACTGCCCCCATAGAACGTGTACCGATCCTGCACTCCCGCCCACGACGTCGGGGGTCCTTTTAGACAAGAGACGACTGGAATGATGGAAACAGTGAAATGAGGCTGCTACTCCCTCGGCCACGGTTTTATTACCGTAAGGCATCAAAGACCCCATGGAGGAAAAGAACCTCGTTCCCCCCGAGCCACTAGGGTAAGTGCACCCAAGTCAAAGAGAAGAGGTGCCACATTCGCAAGCCGAGCGCCGGGAGCGGCGACGTCAGCGCTGGCGGAGCGGGGCACCGAAGACCTGGCGTCCACCTTGCAGGGCCCGCGGGTGCAGACGCACGGCCGGCTGAGCTCAGGCCTCAGCGTCGGCGGGCTCCCACGCTGCGGTCCGCCGAAAGGCCACCGTGGGCGATGGCTACTGGAGCGAGGAGCCTCGTGGCTTTTCTCGACGGCAGCCGGTTCCCGAGTCCCTGGCGGGGAGGACATCCACGCCCTCAGCTTCGAGGATCGGGAACCGCCGGCGTCCTCCGCTCGCGAGGCCGCGTGCGCCCCGGCGACCTTCCCAAATCTGCCGCTGCCGCGTCCCGGGGTGCGCCCCGGCGACCCACCGTCCGCCTCCCCCCACCGTCCGCCTCCCCCCACCGACCTTCCCGAATCTGCCGCTGCCGCGCCCTGGGGCCTGCGATCACGTGACGGCGTCGCATCACGTGGCGCGACCCGAGCGGAAGGGGCGGTCCTCGCACTGAACGTCATCACGTCGCGCGCCCGCGGGGCCGGTGGGGCCGACGGGGTACGACGCGGTACGACTCGCGCGGGGACGGCTCCCGAACCTCGGGTCGGGGCGGCGGCGGCGGCGGCGCCTGGGCTCCCCCGCCTCAGCCGCCTGGGCCGCGCCCCCCTCGTCCCCGCCCCGCGGGCGGGCGCAGGTGAGCCGACGGGAGCGCGGCGCTCGGCGCGCTGTCCGCGTCCGCCGGGCGGGCCTTGCCCGCGTCGCCTTGCTCCAAGCGAACGGCGGAGGGGCCCTCAGTCCCGCCCCCGGGGCCTCCGCCGGCGGCGCCGGGCGTTGTCGGCCCTTCCTTCCCTCCCCGCGCCTGGACTGGAGCCGCTCCGGAACCGGACGCCCGGCCGGAGCCCCGCAGCGGGACCCTGCCGGGTGGTTCGTAGTCCTGGGAGGGGTGCGGGCTGCGTCCGGCGAGGGTGCCGCTCGTCAAAAACGGCGGTTGTGTTCTTGAATCATTTAAGAAAGTTTCGGGTCCCCAGTAAGACCGAGTCTCTAAATAGCCACCCCATTTCACCCCCCCACCCCCCGCGACGTTGTCGTTGAAGGAAAAAAAGTGTGACCGAAGCTGGTCGATAGTCGAGAAAGCACTTCTCGCGTTGGTGTTTGAATACAGGCCCTGTTGTAGTCTTTCATACACAATCTGTCACGCGTGCAACTGGCCTTTGCGAGTGCCTGGCTGCGGCGGAAAGTCAGTCGCGAGTCGGACAGTCTCTGCCCCGGGGAGGCCCTAGTGTCACCGCGGGGAGTCTCCGCAGATGCGGAGTTGCTGGCGGAGACGGACGGCTGAGCGGCGGGGGCCGGCGGCGCTTCCCCGGGGCCTCGGGGCGCAGCCCAGCGGAGCCGCGGGCCGGTGTGGGGGCCGCCCGCGTCCAGGGCCGCTTGGAAGTGTTCGGACGGGCCCTCCGCGCACTTCCTTAGGAAAAGCGTCTTCACTGCTCTAAGCTGGACACGTAGCTTTTCTTGTGTTCGTTTACTGCATTTATTGTATGCATGCCGAGGTAGAAAACACGTAAAGCAGGATCCCCACCCTCGAAATACACACCGTACACACCGGCGCGTTTAGTCCACGGACAGTTAGTCAATGACACTGGCGCCCTGGCCGTAGGCAGTTTCGCCTTTGCCACTTGACCATTTCCAGTCTCGGCCTCAGCAGAGCCTCGGGATGCGCGGCGTCTCCGTGTATCGACGGCGAGCAGCGTCGGTGTCGGGCACTCGGTGCTGCTGCGATTCGAGGTGGGAGATGGTTCTTGGGACCGTTCATGGCCGGGTGATGGCGGCGGTGCCAGGATCGGGTGGTCTCCACCCAGTGTCTGGTTCTGAGGAAGCGCCCTTCGTTTGCAAAACGACTTGAAAATATTCCATTGCTCCCGTCCTTCAAACGTGCTTGCTGCGCGCTGCCGACTGCCCACGGGCCCAGCGGGTCGGGCGGCGGCCCGCGAGCTGGAAGGTCGCCGGCTCCGTTCCGGTCACAGCCCACAGCCGGGTGGGCATGCGCAAGAGGCAACCGGTGGATGTTTCTTTCCCCCTCCTTTCCCTCTTTCTATAAATAAATAGGTAAGTCATAAAACCTTCCAAGAAAGATAAATATTCACCTGTGCTCATTGTTTCTTCCTCTTGAATTGCCAGAATCCTAGGACCCCTTTCGTCGTTTGATGGGAGGCATTATGGCCCCCAAAGACATCATGACAAACACGCATGCCAAGTCCATCCTCAATTCGATGAACTCGCTCAGGAAGAGCAACACCCTGTGCGACGTGACTCTGCGCGTGGAGCAGAAGGACTTCCCCGCCCACCGCATCGTGCTGGCGGCCTGCAGCGACTACTTCTGCGCCATGTTCACCAGCGAGGTGCGGCGCGCGCCCCGCGGTGGGGCCCTCGCCTCGCCAGCGGCCGTAGACGTCCGAGGGGGTGGTGGGCGATGGGCAGGCCCCAGGCACGGTCTGCCCCTTGGCCGCGCCCCAGTGGCGTCACCCCTAAGTTAGGGATAATAGGACCGCGTGCTGGCATTCAGTTACTGTGACAGTCATTTGACAAAATCACACACAAAAAGCTAAGGACAGTGCCTCGCATGTGGTAACACACACACAAACTCAGAGTTGGGTTTTGCTTGTTGTTCTTTTAAATGTTTTTCTCCATCTAGTGTTTAGTATTTTAACGTGCATGCAAGGGGGACATGGGGTTCAGCCCTCACCCCCCTCCGTTTAACAGTACGTGAAGCAGGTGAGCGTTCACCCTGCTGATACGGACCTGAGAGCAGTTTCCAGCAAGAGGAAGAGGACCAAGCGGGGGCTGTGCAGGTGTGGGGAGCCGCGCCCGGAAAGGAGCTGGCTCTGGGGATGCGCAGTCGGCGGGGGGTCCGGAGGAGGTTGGCCTGACTAGAGAGCGAGCCGCGCTCACAGAGCAGGACGGAGGCTGCGCTGGGGACTGGGGACACGCATGCAGCGTAGGGCAAGGCTGGTGAGCGTGTTACGAGCCGCCCTGAGAGCGCGGGCAGCGGCGGGCGCTGGCGGGAGGGTCTCCGCGGCCTGGAGACCGAGAAACAGGCCGAGACCCGCCCTGTTGTCAGCGTATGTTAAGGAGCAGGGCAGGCGGGACTGGCGCCGCTGCCGGGCAGGGCCCGCGCCTGGTCCAGGCCCACGGGGGGGGGGGGGGGGTCATCAGAGGTCTCCCTGCAGCTTGCTCTCAAGATCTCAAGTCTGATTTTTAAGTAAATTACCTTGATTTTTTTACCTTGATCTTGAGAGTTGAGTACACCACCTACATCTATGCCGGAAAAGTGGTAACACTTAAAAAATGTTTTAACCACCAGTTTTCCTGCTGTTCATCCCGTCGCCTCGGTGAGGATGTTGCTGGACTGTGCGAGGCGACGGCCACACCCCGTCCGCTCAGGGCCGCCTGCTGCCGCCTCGCTGTGCAGATGAGGGAGGGAGCGGGGTCCCAGTCAGAGACGCGCCCCGAGCCCCGTGGCTTGTGAATGTGCAGAACGGGGTCTAACCCTCACTTTCCTGGTGGGAGCCCGAAGCGCTTTTCACTGCTGTGCCCTCGGCCTCTGGAGTGCGGTCTTGCCGCCCTTGGTCTGGCGTCAAGACCGGGTACGTGGCCGATGGTGCTCCGAGCCGGCGCCCCGTCCCGCGCCTGGTGGGAGAAGCGTGGAGACCTGGCAGGTGTCCGGCCAGGCCAGGCGGCGGCGACCCTGTGCTGTAACCTCCCAGGCCCTCGTCCTGTGCGGTCCCCCGAGTGTCCTCCAGGGAGCCTCGGGGGTGGCCGTGGGCTGGGCGGGGAGCGCGCTTCCCGTAGCCGCGGGGCGTGACCCGCTGGGGACGAGGCCTTTCCGCACGGTCAGACGTCGGTGCGGACTTCGTAGGAGAAGCCTCTCCTTTTTGTTCTCAGTGATTATTTTATGGTCCTTTTTTTTGAATTGACATTGGTCAAGAAAACGCCAGGTGGTTTCATCTTCCTTTGTACGAGTAATTACGGCTCGTAGCCCCAGGGAGGTAGCCGCCCCCGGGCGCACCACCAGGGGTCCGGCCCCCCCAGATCGGACCCCACCGGTGCCTTGCAGAGCATCGAACAACTCATTTGCATGTAGTCAGTTCGCAGCAGAAGGCCCCTCAGAGGACCTGCGTGTCCGGTTGCTGTCCCCACACGCAGTCTGGGAACAGGGAGGCCTGGAGGGTCTGGAGCCATAACCCACGGGGTCCTCTGCGAGCATGACATCTTGTTAGAATTTTGTGTTTTGCCTTAAAGCTCATGGATACCAGCGGTGTGTCCGTGGAAGTGTCCATTCTGTGCTGTCACCTCTGTGTGTGTTTTTATACGAAAGCAGTGTTTTTATACGAATTCACTGGTAAAATTGATATTTCAGGAAAGTGTCGCCTCACTGTGTGCTGTGGGTTACACACAGTTCCTCCCCCGCTGGAGCAGCTACAAAATCTAAGCGATGTTTCCTTGATACAAATCAAACAAAAGAGATCATAATTTAAAAAATCAACTGTGCATTCAGTTAACATTAACGGCCCTTCAGGCCCTCGTATGTGAGATGCTGCCTTCATCTCGGGGAGTTCTCACCGCTGTGGCTTCACACCTTTTGCACCCTCAGCTCTCGGAGAAGGGGAAGCCGCACGTGGACATCCAGGGTCTGACCGCCTCCACCATGGAGATCCTGCTGGACTTCGTGTACACGGAGACGGTGCACGTGACAGTGGAGAACGTGCAGGAGCTGCTGCCTGCAGCCTGTCTGCTGCAGCTGAAAGGTACAGCTGCCGCTCTCCTTCGCACCCGCGTGGCCCTGGGACGTCTCACGTGAGGGGTATCCACGCAGTCCCGCCGCGTGCGGCCCCCGGCACAGAGACGGGCCTCTCCCGGCGTGAGCACTCGGCTCTCTCGCGGAGATGCTCTCGGCCGGTTGTTCAGGAAAAGGGAGGAGGTGGCAGGTGCATTTTCCTGCACATGTGCCCACAGCAGCCCTGCAGGGAAGGAAAACGAGGAGCCGGTGCTGCTTCCTGCCCACGCAGAGGGGACAAGGGGGCCAGGGCGCTAGAGGGGCCGGGGCGACCATTCGTGGGGGTGCCTCTGTGCCTTTGGCGTTTGAATCATACGAAGTGTGCGTGGCAGCCTTTCACTGACGCACAGAAATGAAAGGGGGAGGTTTTCACAGCACCAGCGAGGGAGCCCTTCCGGCGCCCAGTGGACGTCCTCGGCCTCCGGCGGCAGGTCCGTTGCGTCCCTTGACGCGTGGCTGGAGCAGCGCGTCTGCACCACGGCGCAGCTGCAACGTCACGCTTGCAGCTGACCTTTTCAGGCAGATAGATTGGAGATAGGTATTAGTATCTCCTTTATTTTTTTACCAAAGCCTTCTAGTAAGTTTTAAAAAATGTTTTTAATTTTTCAATTACAGTTGATAATCACCATTCGATTAGTTTCAGGGGTGCAGCATAGCAGTTATATAATTTATGAGGCAAACTTTCACGTGGAGTAGAAATTAGGTACATTATGCTGAGTTATAGTTGGTTTTATAGCTTGACTGTGCGCTTTAGACATTTTGGCTTAATTCTGCCAGCGTCTGTGGAAGCAACACATCTCGCGGAAGCAGAGGCCACTGTAAACGCCTTGCTGGAGGGCACGTGGCACAAAACCCAGAAGTGGGGTGTGAGGTCCGGAGGCACGGAGTCTCTGATCGGATGCCCCGGTGCTGAGCCAGGGCGCCCGTGGTCCCGTGCGGGGTGGTGCGGTCGAGGGCAGAGACCAGCGCGCCTCTGGCCGCGGGTCCTGAGTGGCCGCCGTCTGCGTCTGCCGCAGGCGTGAAGCAGGCCTGCTGTGAGTTCCTGGAGAGCCAGCTGGACCCGTCCAACTGCCTGGGCATCAGGGACTTCGCCGAGACCCACAGCTGCGTGGACCTGATGCAGGCGGCCGAGGTGTTCAGCCAGAAGCATTTCCCGGAGGTGGTGCAGCACGAGGAGTTCATCCTCCTCGGTCAGGGGGAGGTGGAGAAGCTGATCAAGTGCGACGAGATCCAGGTGCGGGCGAGGCTTCGGCCTGCGGCACCTTCGCGCCAGCCGGGGTCCCGCTCCGTGGGAAGAGCAACGGGGGGTTACTGTGCTGCTGTCCCGGCAGCGCATCCTCGGCAAGCGCGCGCTCTGGCCGCCCCGCCCCCTGGCCTGCCTGGAAGCGACGTGCCCGTGCGCTTGCGTGTTTGCGGGGAGGGGTCACCGCCCTCCGGGATGGAGCGCGCGCCCGGTGGTCAGGAATCGCTGCTCTCCGGAGCGGACGGAGCAGGCGCTGGGAGGAAACGGGCTTCTCTGCCCAGTCAGCCGCGAGTGTCACGCAGCCCGTGTGCCGGATCCTGTGGGCCCAGGTCTTGTGTTCAGAGAAGTCACGGAGTGCTGGTCGCGGCGACAGTGACTCCCGTGGAGTCTAACGAGAGCAAGGAGCCTGTTGAGAGCGAGGACGTCACGTGGCAGAGAGGGCGTAAACCTGGGGGTGAAGGAAACCCAAAAGGGAGGGACAAGAGTTGGGGTCCCTTGGGAAGGGAAGAGGTGGGGTGAGCAGGAGCCGGGTCCAGAGTGCCCTGCGGGGGACGAGGGAGTGGGAGGGAGGGCCTAGGACCCGGGGCCCGGCAGCGCTCAGCGCTGCGCCCAGCGAGGCTGCGTCCGCCAGGGCAGCCCTAAGCCGTCCCCGTGCGCCGGCGCAGCTTCGCGAGACGTCCAGCCCAGGGCTGCCGGCTGCCAGGGGCCCGGGCCTTCGCCTCCAGCTGTCCGGGCCTGTCACCCAGCGAGTGGCCGGGCGGTGGGGTGGAAGTCCGCCCGCTGGTTTTGTTTCCCCTGCCGCGAGAAGGGCGGTTCTCCGGGAAGGCTACGAGTGCCTTTTCTTCCCCCCTTGCTCTCCTTGGATAACAGTAGAAAATGAACCCTGAATTCGTGGGTTCCCGGACACTCGTGGGTCCTCAGTTTCAAGGGCTCCCAGCTCTCATCCCCCCAACCTGTTCCACATGCGGTCCTTGGGGTGGCCCTGACGGACATCAGCGTGGGCAGTTCCCGCGCCCGCCTGGATCCAGCCGCTCCTGAGCCAGCCCCGGCGCTGGCCCGGCCCGCCCTCACCGCCGCCGTGCGCCCTCACCGCCGCCGTGCGGGCGGGCGGCGCTTCGCTGCAGAGCAGCACCGTCGGGCGGAACGTCCAGGAGGAGGGGGCCTGTGTCTGCTGTGCGGCCCCGCGGCCCCGGGGCGCCCGAGTGTGGCTGGTGGGACCGGGAAGCTGACCTCCCTTTAACCCAGTTTTGATGAACGCAGATGCAGCCGCCCCAACAAGGCTGCTGGGCGTGCGGCTGCGCCTGCGTCCGCGGCCTCACCCTCCCCTGGCCGACGGCTGCTCGTCCGTCGGAGTCCGCCTTAGACCTCATGTCGGCGGGCGGCCTTCCCTGGCCCACCAGTCGATCTGAGGGGGATTCGCGCTTTTTGGCTTCAGAGCCCCAGTGCTGCTCCGGGGCCACGGGCAACGGCGGGTCTGGAGGGTTGGTCTCTGGTTGAACCGCGATCTCCCGCCCCCGGAGCGCAGCTCGTGTCTGAGCCGTCCACCGCGGTGTGCCTGGCACTGCGCAGGTGTTCGGAGGAGCCGTCGGATGTGTGGGCGTTCCGGAACGTTTCCTATATTCCCAGGCCCCAGGGGAGGTTCACAGGGTGGTGTCTTGCTGTCACATTCTGGAAGGGGTCTGTCAGGGCTCCCTCGGGCTGGCGGGAGGGCTCAGGACTGGCTCTGCGTTTGTCTTCGGAAGGTTTTGGGTGTCATTTCCCCTGCTGCTGCGCCGGGGGAGTAGGACTGGTTTTTAGGGTGCCTCGCCTTCTGTGGTTGGTCACAGGGAAGCTTAGACCTAGATGGTTAGTGCGTGTGCTGTCTCAGGTAGCTCAGGGCCTGACACCCCACGGTGCGGGGACGGGGCCGCCGGGGGCGAGGCGCGCAGCCCTGGCGGTGGTCGGTCCTTAGACGACACTCGGGGGTGAGGGTCACCCCAGAGCCAGCTTTGGATGGGGCTACGGATTCTTCCCCGGCCACCCCCAGGGTTTCAGAAATGGCCGCGAAAAGCTTGAGTGGGGAAAATTCTGAAGTAAAAGCCAGCCTGTGACTGAGGGTTTCTTGGGCACTATTCGTCTTGAATATTTTGCCCAACCTGACTATAATCTTTTTCCTAGCCTTCTCATCTTGGTGAGTTGTATGTGAAAAGATTGTTTTCCCACAAAACCGGCTGTTCCCAGAAGATGGGAAACGGTGGGGGTGGGGACGGGGACTGGGACGGGGACTGGGCAGGGGCAGCAGCAACGGCCACTTTGCAAGCGCGCACGGCGGGGGCCGAGCGGGCCCGCGATGGCTGGCTGAGTCGTGCGTCGGCAGGTGGACTCGGAGGAGCCGGTCTTCGAGGCCGTCGTCAGCTGGGTGAAGCACAACAGGAAGGCGCGCGAAGAGGCCCTGCCCGAGCTGCTGCAGTATGTCCGGATGCCCCTGCTGACGCCCCGGTACATCACCGACGTCATAGACGCCGAGGCGAGTCGTGGGGGACACACGGGCCCCAAACCTTGCACGTACTCGGTCGCTTAGTGTTGTGGCCTCGTTTTTTCTCATCTTTTCTGGAACCCTCCGGCGTAGTCGCTGCCGGCAGCCTCTTGGACCCGCAGGGTTTTAGAAGCCGGTTTCTATGTGAAGAGGTTAATGACCAGCACAACTTAATCGTGAGCGTGCCGTTCACGCTTGGAGAGCCATCGGCGACCGCGGCTCACCCTGCTCTCCGTGTGTTCCAGCCTTTCATCCGCTGCAGCCTCCAGTGCAGGGACCTCGTGGACGAGGCGAAGAAGTTCCATCTGAGGCCGGAGCTGCGAAGTCAAATGCAGGGACCCAGGACCAGGGCTCGTCTAGGTAAGTTGGCATCTTGGCAGGGAACTGCGCCTTGCCGGGCTGCATGGTGTAGGTGGGAAGGGCGTTCCGTAAAAAGCACAGAGACCTTGTTCCAGACTTGTTTTTTATGTTTTGTTAATTATGTTATCGCAGACAAAGCACTTAGCCCCGGAGCTTTTTTCCCTATTTTACATCCCTGTTTGGAGGATTAAATGGGATAAAGCGTGCGAAAGCACTTTGTCACTTGGCAGGTGCGGTTCCAGCGTATTTGGAGTCTGACCTGGGGATTCCTTCTAATGCCATGTAGCATGGGGTGCCCCCCCCACCGGGCGAGGAGAGGAGGAGCCGCCATGGACACTGGACAGCGCGGGGCGGGGCCCTCGCTGGTGCCGAGGACAGCGACATGACCTCCCTTTCTCCTCAGGGGCCAACGAAGTGCTTCTGGTGGTTGGGGGCTTCGGAAGCCAGCAGTCCCCCATCGACGTGGTGGAAAAATACGACCCCAAAACGCAGGAGTGGAGCTTCTTGCCGGTGAGTCAAGGCACAGGCAGCGGCGCGGCAGGAGCGCCTGTCTCAGCCCTGGCGCTCGGGCATGAGGAGCCCGGCCCGGGGACAGAAGCCTGGTGACTGCCCGGCATTGGCCGCAGCGGCGTCACGCACACCGTAGGTCCTCGGGGAACAGTCACTGCCTCCTGGGATGAGACCAGGGAGGCGGCAGTGGCCCGCCTGGCCACCTGCTGCCTCGCTCCCTGCCGCTCCCCCGGCTGTGCTGTTTCCCCGAGCTCAGCGTTAGGTCACACTGAGCACGGAAGTCTGTGCTTGTCTCCCTTGGTTTGCCTCTGCTTCAGTGGTGGACGAACACTATTAATCCCCAGAGAACGTGCAGACTTCCCGTCATCCCTCTGGACTTGGAGGGCCACTGCGTCCTGGCCCTCCGGTCAACAGCGGGGGAGCCTTCCACTTTACGGGTGGGTCTCACTCTGCAGCCCAGAGCCCTGGGGACTAGAAAGGAGTCGGGTACCGGGTACCGGGAAGCTTGGAGTGGGGCGGACGTGCAGAAGGCCTGATGTCCATGCAGCGGGCAGGCAGCTGGAGGCCGCCGAGGATGCAAGAGCGCCTGCTGGCCAGTGAAGGGGCCGCGCTGCCCACAGGAACGGGGAGCAAGGCTCGCCTGACGGGAGTGCTCTGTGTCTTCTCTCGTGACCCCACAGAGCATCACTCGGAAGAGACGTTATGTGGCCTCCGTGTCCTTGCATGACCGGATCTATGTCATTGGTGGCTACGACGGCCGTTCCCGCCTCAGTTCAGTGGAGTGTCTAGACTACACAGCAGATGAGGATGGGGTCTGGTACTCCGTCGCCCCGATGAACGTCCGGCGAGGCCTGGCTGGTGCCACCACCCTGGGAGGTAGGCTGGGGGCGCAGGGCGGCGCTTCGCTGTTGTGGCTGGGTCGGGAGTTGTCCTTCCCTGTCGTCTGGCGGGAGCACGGAGCGGGGGCACCGGTGAGGACTGGCACTCCTTTTGCTGTGGAAATAGCCGCATTGTCAAAGCTGCTTGGTGGACCGAGTCGTGACGTGCCGAGAGGGAAGTCGGCTCTCAGACACCGTGAACGGCGCGGCTCTTGGAGGACTTCGAGGAGTCTACCCCATTCCATTGTTTTTCTGTCTTGACTGTGCCCTCTTACTTACTGATAAAATTTAAGTGACCTATCCCCCAAGAAATACTTTGTTTTTGCTCCCATTTGAAAGACTTGTAAGTAGTTGGTAGAGAGAAGAGTGATGAGAAATCTCTTCTTCTCTGATAGTCTCCGGTTTGTTCATTCTGAGCAGATATGATCTATGTCTCTGGAGGCTTTGACGGGAGTAGGCGTCACACCAGTATGGAGCGCTACGACCCCAACATTGACCAGTGGAGCATGCTGGGAGATATGCAGACAGCCCGGGAGGGCGCCGGGCTGGTGGTGGCTGGCGGCGTCATCTACTGTCTAGGTGCTGGGGGCGAGCAGGGATGGGAGGGGCCATGAGGGTGCCAGCCTTTGTGGGCGGGCGGGAGTCCCATTCTACCAGAATTAAGTTCCTAAGTGGCCTTCAACTAAAACCCTGGTCTATTCCAATATAGCTCCATAAACTGGGATGAGCTTTTCCTGGAGGCAGACATGGGATTCTATGAGATTTCTCTGGATTATTGGAATTCTTGGGGGAGAGCAAGATTGAAGAATCGGTTGGAACACGAGGAGAAAGACGGGGTGGGAGTCAGCCCCTGGGTTTCTCGTTCTGTCTGGAATGGCCTCTGCTTTGTCTTGCAGGAGGCTACGATGGCTTGAATATCTTAAATTCAGTCGAGAAATACGACCCCCATACAGGACACTGGACTAGCGTGACACCGATGGCCACCAAGCGCTCTGGTAAGACCCGTCAGATCTGCGGGATGGGACGGGACGGCCGTCACGCTCTGCTTGTGGTGGCGGCCCTGCCACAGGGCCGGGCCGATCAGGTGCATTTCCTCCAACTCCGACTCAGGAGGCACGAGTCAGGTTCCCTCCTCCTCGCCTCTGGTTCCTCTGGGTCGTAAGAGTGCAGCCAGCTTGAACCTTCTAGCGGAGTGTGCTCTGGAGGGCAGAAACCTCCTTGTTTTACTCACTTTTATGTCCTTGTTCCATTCCCGCATTTTAAAAAAATTTTATGTTTGTTGATTTTTGGAGAGAGAGAAAGAAAACGAGGCTCTGTTGTTCCACTTATTTACACATCCGCTAGTTGATTCCTGTGTGTGCCCGGACCGGGCAGCAAACCCGCCGCTGTGGGTATCTGGACCGCGCCCCACCCGGCTGAACCCCCCGGCCAGGGCCTTCCCTGCGTTGCCACGTCCGGTGCGGCGTTGTGTGTGCAGCACACGCTACGTGGGCGAGTGCTGACACGGCCTGACAGACGCAGGCGCTCCCTGCGGGGGAAGGGTGGGTTCTGGGTCAGAGCGCCTGCTGAGCTGAGCCGTGCCCTCTGGGTAAAACTGCTCCTGAGCCGCAGCCGCAGCCGCAGCCGCAGCGCCTCTCCTCCTCGCCACCTTGGTTGCCTTCTTTTTTCCACTTCCTCCTCTTCTGCTGATGAGAGGGTCGGGGCCTGAATCGATAAAGGTGGAAGCAAGAACCACTTTGATTCTTATTTCAACCCCCACCAGAGGGTTTACAGAGGGGGTAGCCTGAGCCGGACGGACCACGTCGGCCGTCAGGCCCTGGTGCGCATCCCTGGGCTCCCCGGCGATCAGCCAGCCGTCAGCGGGCGGGCGCCCGTCCTGGAGCTCAGAGGCTCAGCAGTGGTGACTCGCTGTGCCTTTTCCCCCAGGTGCGGGAGTAGCCCTGCTGAACGACCACATCTATGTGGCGGGGGGATTCGACGGCACAGCCCACCTGTCTTCCGTTGAAGCGTACAACATCCGCACCGACTCCTGGGCGGCTGTCACCTGCATGACCACCCCACGGTGCTACGTGGGGGCCACGGTGCTTCGGGGCAGGCTTTATGCGATTGCAGGGTGAGGGCTGAAAACCAGGCTGCAGCCACTCGGCATCAGGACAGTGTGATCCAATCGCGGCTCTGGGTGGGCGCACGGTGGGGGTTGGGGGCATGTCTCCATGGCAGCCTCCGTGTGGGACACGCACGGAGAGGGACAGAAAGCTCATTGCCCCTTTCTGCTTCCTCCCCCCTCAGCTACGATGGGAACTCCCTGCTGAGCAGCATCGAGTGCTATGACCCCGTCATCGACAGCTGGGAGGTAGTGACGTCCATGGGGACCCAGCGCTGTGACGCTGGCGTGTGTGTGCTCCGAGAAAAGTGACCCTTGCTGGACACCACACACAGCGAGTGACCAGCCCGGGGGCCAGCTGGCGGGAGAATCAAGATCATTTCCGGAACGTCCGCTTCCCGCTGTACTCAGGGCGATTACAAGGGCCGGTGTCCTGATGCTGGTCCTTATTTGACACACGGCCCCTCACACTGGAACTTGTCCCTGAGTCGGGTGGGGAACGGACGCTCATGGGAAGAGACGCGTCGAGCTGGGTGTGAGAGGCCAGGCCCCTCTCCTGGTCTAGGCAGCACTTCCTGGGGGTTTTCTAGTTTACCATGTGCTTAGGAGGATATACATGTGCCTCGTGTGTGGCTAAGCATGCAGGTGAGTGTGACCGCCTAGATGGGGCAGTATCGGGCCCATGTCGGGTTAGAAGGACACCAGCTTGAGGCAGCTTGATAAAATCCAAACCTTGTTTTCCAGGAAAAAAGACCTTTCCTAGTCTGCAGGCAGCCAGGGGCAGCATAGTTTCCTCTGGAGGGAAGCACAGGGAGGAGCCCTGTCTCAGCCTCGGCACGTGGGTGACTGCGTGACGCTCCTGTGTGGGGCAGGGCTGCGTGTAGGGGCAGGGCTGAGAGGAAGGGGCGTGGAGTGGCACCGTGGGTCTCGAACTCAGTTCCTTCTGGAAGGCTGTTTGAGAAGCCGTTTGTTAGAAAACTGACTCATACAGGTGACCGGCCATACAGGTAGCATGAAATGGTTTTCAGGCTGAGAACCAGTTTTGCTCAGCAACTGAGATGTTTTCCTGAACAGCTTGGTCAGGAACCCAACTATTTGGGGTAGGAGGCGTCCGAGCGCCGGGGTTTGGCCATGACCTGAATTTGGTGACGTGTGAGCGTCCCCTGGAAGGCGGAGGAGGGCGGTTTTCAGAAGGGCCTTCTGATTCCCCACGTCGCTCTGGACTGCGGTGTGGCCTCTCGTGGCACTGGAGCCTGTGCGCGAGAGAACAGCGGGTGCCGGGCGGGCGGAGTCGGAGTCCGTGGGACGGAGGAGGACCTGTGGTCTCGTGGTCGCCGCGCTCCCTGCCAGGGCCCGTGTCTCCCCTGCGGGTTCACCGCCAGTGGGTGGGAGACCTCCCTTGTTGAAGCAGATGCGGTGCTGCTGTTAACGTGTCCGTCCTATTTATTTGGGGGAGGGGGAGGGGTGCAGCCGCTGGAAGTTCAGCGACCTGGTATTGCCCTGTCCTTTTTAGGGTGCACTTCTGCTAAGGGTGGTTTTTACTGCTGTTTGGTACATTTCATCCTTTTCCTACTATAGGGGTCCCTTACCTGGGTCCTTAGAGTGAATTTCGTCCGTCCCAGGACAGAGTATCAAAGGGCAACCCAGCCAGTCCCGTGCCTGCTCGCGGCACTTCTGAGCCGCCACTCACGGCTCCCCCGTGTCACGGAGGGAGACGCGTCCTGTGCGGGTGCTGGGGGTTGGGGACGTGAGAAGCGAAACAACAAGGCACTTTCCCTTTACTTTGAAATTCCATTTTTTTCCTCCCTGAATTTAAGGGACCCAAAGAGTTTGTTTCCTTTGTATTTTTTTAAGAAAATATTAAAAATCATCTGTCTCAAATGCTTTGAGTTTGTGACAAATCAGCACTGGCTGCAGAGAGTTGGGGGCCCCGGCTCTTCAGCCAGTTCACCTCGTGTCACGTGGCATCACTGTTTCTGTGGCGTTAACTGGTGGTGGCCACGTAACGGCCCAAGGGCGCCACCAGGAAAATGTGTGAATCTGCCGGGGTCGCTGGTCCTCGCACACCTGGCGTGTCCCTGAGAACCTAAAGGGGATCGGGAAGAGGCTCCTTTAGCACCCGCTTGCATTCGGGGGTTTTGGTCACCGCAGCCCTTCCACTTGCTTCATGGCCCGCAGAGCAGCTGTGCATAAGGCCTGCGAACTGCCCGGACCCAGGGTTCCCCGAGCAAAGGGAAAGGGAGCCAGAGGGAGGGCCCGCTGCCGGAGGGGGTCTGCCAGCCTCCCCGAAGCAGCCGCAGTGCCGGCTGGCGAAACGCCGGCCACCGAACGGCCCTGGCGCAGCGAGAGCCCCGGGCAGGACCGCGACGCGGCCTCGGGGGCGCGTTTCAGGCCGGACTCCCGGAGCGGCAGCCGGGGGTTGCGCAGAGGACGCGGCGGTGCCCACGCAGAGCGGCCCGGCTCGGTGGTTCCCGCGCTTCGTCCCTCCGTCCGCCCCTCGCTGAGCAGCCTGTCACGCGGTCGCCCAGCCACTGAGGCCGTCGCTTCTCTCGCGTGCGGATTCGCCGTCCTCAGTCCCAGGGCCGCTCCTGCCGTCTGGCCGTCGCGGCGCAGCCTCCATCTCGGCAGGCTCGTGGCGCGGCGGCCTCCCGGCGCCCTCGCCTCCCCTCCCAGCGCACGCGGACGCGGCCGGCTGTCGAGAACCGTCGAGGTGGTTTCCGTTCTGGAGTCACAGGTTCCTGCCCGGCCGCGGCGTCGGCCAAGCGCCGCGCCGCCCTCGCCTGCTCCCTACGCCCCCGCCCCCCCCCCGCGGCCTGCCTTCCCGGCCAGGCCCGGGTCTCCCCTGTGTCCAGTTCCAGGGTCCGCCTGGTGCCCTGCCGTGCGCCCCGCATCCCGTCTTCTGTGAGGGCCGTTCTCAAGGGCCACCCCGGTCGGCACCCGGGGCCGGGTCAGCATGTCATAGCGCCCGAGCGCCGGGCCGACGACGGACCGAGAGAAACGGCCTCGCAGGCAGGTGGCCCGGGGCCTGGGGCTCCGGACCCAGGCTCAGCGGCGCGTGCGGCGGCGCCTCCAACCGAGACCTCCCTCCCTGCGTCTCCCACAGGGACCAGCGGCCGCCCACAGGGAGGTCGTGACAACCCAGGAGCTCCGTGTCTACAGCGCGTCCGCGCCGTGTCGCGCCGCCGGCCGGACAGACGCCGCCAGCGGGGAGCGGGGAGCGGGGAGCAGCCCCTGCGGGAGCCGGGTGTGCCCCGCGTCATGCTGTCACCTCAGGGGCGCCCCTCGCTCCCCGGCCCTGAACTCGGGTCTCGGGAAACGAGGGGCTTACGCTCAACTGGGACGACTCTACAGTCAGGGAGGCGCGGTGACCCGATGACGTGGAGGGGTTTGTCGTCGCCGGGCAGTGACCCCGTCACAAAGCCGGCCGGCACCTGACCCTCCCCGGACGCCGTCTGTGCATGCGCGCGTGCGCGCGCGGTGCAGTCCGGCTTGGGGCAGAGGGCGCCTGCGCAGAAGGCAGTGGCTGCTTGCGAGCCCCGCGCCGGCGCAGTCCGACAAGACCAAACCGCGCCTGCGCGCTCTGAATCCCGGGCCGTGGCAGCAGCGGCGGAGGCGGCGATGGATCCCGCGGCGCCGCCGAGCGAGCTGGTGTCGGCGGAGGGCCGGAACCGGAAGGCGGTGCTGTGCCAGCGCTGCGGCTCGCGGGTGCTGCAGCCGGGGACGGCGCTCTTCTCCCGCCGGCAGGTAGGGCGCGGGGCGGGGCCTCAGGGCCGGGGGCCGGCGTCTCTGCTCCCAATCGGGATCTTAATGCCCCTCCGCGCCGTCCCCAGCGGGAGAAAGTGCAGGCGACGTTGTCGGGTCAACTTGCCGTCGGGAAGTGCGGGTTCGCCCCGATCCCACCACCACGTGCGGGCTCCGCGCTCGGGGCCTCACGGCTGGGAACGGGGCTCCGCGGAGGACCCTCCCCGCCCCCGGGCCCTGGTGCTGCTTGCCCGCTAGACCGCGCGCGCCTGTCCCGCTCGGGTGGTTAGAGCTCCGTCCCCACGCACCAAGGTTGTGGGCTTGACCCCTGGTCAGGGCACAAACAAGAACCGACCAACGAGCGCACCAGGAAGTGGGACAACACATCGATGTTTCTCTCTCTTTCTGCCCCTGCCTGTCTCTAAAATCAATAACTTAAAAAAAAAATAAGTAAATAAAAATACCGTGGGCAATGTGGGAAGTCAGTTCAGAGCGTTTGCTTGAGGAAGGCCCCCTGACCCGGGAGAAGGAGCCCCCTGGCCAGGACCCGGGGCGGAGCCGGCGCGCGGGTCTGCGGGCCGGGCGGCTGGCAGGGCCTCAAGCCGAGGTCAGGGCGAGGCGGGCCGGGCCCCCTGGGCTCCGTGTCTTCTAAGAGTCAGGGCGGCGGCCTGTGACGCCTCGGCTCCCGGAGCGCGGTCCGCTCAGCCCAGCGCCGCGCGCGTGTGTTCTCTCCGCGCAGCTCTTCCTGCCGTCCATGCGGAAGAAGCCCGCCTTGGCCGCCGGCGGCAGCCCCGAGGGCGACCTCCTGCTGGAGCACTGGCTGGTGGACGATATGTTCACCTTCGAGAACGTGGGCTTCACCAAGGACGTGGGCAACATCAAGTTCCTGGTCTGCGCGGACTGTGAGATCGGACCCATCGGCTGGCACTGCCTAGATGACAAGAACAGTTTCTACGTGGCCTTGGAACGGGTTTCCCACGAGTAGCGGAGGGGAGGGGGCCCAGCACCCCCACGTGTAAGAGCCTCCTGTCACCAGAGCCAGTGCTGCCTGGTGGGAGGGCTCTGCTGCTGCCTCTCTGCCCCAATTACAGTGTCGCACGCCCAGGGGGACGTGCGGAGGCTGACGCTCTGCCTGCGCCCTGGGCCTCTTTCCCTTTGCGTCACGCGTTGCCTGAGCTCCCTTTTGCGCAGGTCCGGCCCGGGACGCTTCGCAGGTCTGGTCTCCTCCTTGCGTCCTGCTGGGCTCTCCCTGACCCAGGAGCTCCCGGGCCTCCTGCTCTGGAAGAACGGGCGCGAGCGGTCCTCAGCCTCTTGGCCACGCTGACACACGACCGACGATGCTCTTGATGCTCTCGTTCAAGAAAGCACACAGGTGTCTGAGAGTGACTTCATTGTGTGGCTGACTTTAACGTACTCTTTTTAACACTCCAGCATTTACAAACTTTTGTATTTAAACCACTGATCAGGAGCCCTGTGGACACACCTCCAGTACCAGGTGTGCGGGCCTCTCCTCTGCGGCGGCGGGGAGCTCGCCCGGCTGTCTCCCGGCTGCCCCCCCCGGCTGCCCGGCCACCGCAGAGGCGGGCGTGGGACGCGGGAGGGGCGGGCCTTCGCGCCTCACCTGGGGTTGGTAGGTTTACCTTCCCTGGACGAGTTCGCGCTTCCCTTGTTCTCGGGAGAGACTCCCTTAATGGACACTGGTCGTTTACTGAACCGGCTGGGCCTGCGCCCCACAGAGTTTCAGTTACTTTGGACTCTTGCCACCAACCCAGACCTAGAAGACGAACATTCCGGCAGCCCCGCGGGGGGCGCAAACCTATGGGCCTTTCGGGAGGACTGTCCGTTCCGTTGCTTCTCTTCTGAAATGAATCCCCTCAAGTAACCAGTGTGAGCAGGTTCAGGGCCTCCCCCCACCGCCCCGCCCCCCCCCCCACCCCCACCCCCGGTCCGGGAGACCTGGAACTGCCGTGAGGCCCAGTGCGCTGCGGCCCCTCACCCCTGCTCCCCGCAGCTGCTCCCCTGCTGGCCAGCGTTGCGAGGAGCCCGCCCTCTCCCTCCCCAGCCGGAGCCCCCACGAGCTCCTGCAGAAATGGGAGGTCTGTTCCCAGACCCGCGGCCAAGTGGCTGTGACCACGGCGTCCGTGGAGCAGCCACGAGACTCGCCCTCGGCTCAGAAGGAGCAAAACCGAGCAGATCCCTGTGGGGCGAACGGGCCCCTCCCAGCACAGTAAGGCGAGGCAAACATTTCCTAAAACTAGGCTTTGACTTACTTTTTAAACTGGAAATAGTACACGTTCATTGCAGGTAAATTCAAAAATGGGTATAAACGTTTTTAATCTCATATATGCACCATCCAGAGACTGCCGATAGGAATGTGGTATATATCCTCAGTGTTTTTCTACCTGTGTATATACGGGTTTTTAAAACAAATACGGGCTCCCACTGTACTCTTTTATAACTTGTTTTTTCCATTTATCAGCACGCTGACTTCTGTCCGTAGGTGGCCACCTTAGGACACGGTGTTCGTTGTATTCCGGTGTATTTCTGTATTTATTTAAACAGCCCGCTCTCAGGGTGTCTCCAGTTTCTTAAACCGTGTGCCGTGACGTGCGGCCTCGCGGCTGAGCCGGTGCGCACAGCCCTCGGCGTGGCCTCGGGAGACAGCGCTGGGAGCGGGGCTGCGGGCGGTCACGCTCCCCAGGGACGGCGGCGCTGACTTCCCGCCGAGTGAGGCAGCAGTCGCATCTCTGAGCCTCTCACCCTGGGTATCTTATCGTTAAAAGGACGTTTGCCACTTCAACAGGAGAAAAAATGCTATTTCATTGTTTTGATTTGCATTTGTTATTTCTAATGAAATTTTTAAATACTTATTGGTCATTTGTATTTCTGTTTTTGAGAATTGCCAAACATTGTTGCCCAGTAGCCAAAAATACCAAGTTATTCTGTCTTTTCTGTTTGGTTTGAAAGAAATAAAGGCATTGAACAGTGGGAATTAGGTTCCTGTATGTCCTTGGGAGGAATAATTTGAAAAACCAGAGGCAGCCGGAGACCTGCTGTGCTCGCCTCGTTCCAGTTTGCCCGACACCCCCCAAGGGCAGCTGCGTCCCCCGAGCGGCTGTGGGCCTTCTTCCGCAGCCTCTGCCTCTGCGAGTCCAGCCAGTGGACATCGGGGCGGGGGTCGGCCCCGATACCCAGGGACTCGGGACCCGAGCTCGGTGCTCGGACGTGCCCTGGTGGACCCCGTGTAGCCCCAACCCCAGCCCACTGCACGGAATGTGAGGCCCGTGGAGGTTCTGGTGAAAGCGGCGACGGCAAACCTGGCCCAGAACCCGGACAGAGTGGACCTAAGCGTCAGGGAGCTGCGCAGCACTTGCCTGTCCTCCCTCCTGGCGGCCAGCAGAGGGCGGGAGAGGCCGGCGCCCACGGGGGGGCTCTGCCTGAGGCCTTGCAGCTGCCGGGCCCCAGGGCCAGGATTCCGAAGGTCTGGGGCGAAGAACATCGGAAATAACCTCCGCAGATCCTTGTCAGTCTCTGAGGCAGGACGGTGTACACAGAGCTCACCCTGCCGGCCCAGAGTGGCCTGGGCCTTCCTGCTCTGGTCCTCAGACCTTCGATGCGAGCACGGAACTCGGGCTGTGTCTCTGCTTTCTAAGCGCCAGCGAGTCTTGGGGGCTGCCTGGAAATGTCACCAGGGGACTCGCGGTCAGCGGTGACCCAGGAACGGACCCAGCATGCGTGAGCCCTGCCCGACGCTCCCCCGGGGGCCTGTGCCGAGACGGCGCTGTGCGGGAGCCCCCCCGGCACAGGCCCAGAGGCGGGGCCGCCCGTGGCGCCGCCTGCCCGCGACGGGGGAGCAGCCTCTGTCTCTGTCGCACACGCTCTGTCACGGCAGCTCCGAGTGTGGCGCTCGGCCTGCCCCCGCCCCACAGCTCCTCCACGTCCCCTCAGTGTTCAGTCCCTTGCAGACAAGGCCCTCGCCCTGCGCTGTCTGTCTGTCTCAATCTCTCAAGAGCCCGGCTCCTCCGTCTGCCACCAGCACATCCCCCTTCCCTGTTTGGGTTCCACATAAGTTAAGTGGAAAAAAACCTTCTCGATTGTATTTCTGTCTGCGATTCTCTATTTAAATGTAATGAAAACATTCCATTTTTAAAACATTGTGATGGCTGATGAAAAGTGGATACTTCACAACAGCTTGCGTCTGTGGGGTACTTGGTCCGTCTTGTTTAATTGTCGAATTAATTTGTGTCACATTGTCTCATCTTTTCATTGCGGGCAGGGTCTGCAGGGAAGTGCTCAGTTTCATTTCTGAGACGGGTAATTCACGGCTTCTCTCTCTCTCTTTGTTGGTCTTGCTGGAGGCTGGTCGGTCCTATTGGTCAATTAAAAAATCAGCTCTGGCCCTGGCTGGTGCAGCTCAGTGGATTGAGCTCTGGCCTGGGGACCAGAGAGTCGCCGGTTCGATTCCCAGGGCAGGGCACACGCCTGGGCTGCAGGCCAGGTCCCCAGCAGGGGGTGCATGAAATGCAACCACACGTGGATGTTTCTCTCCTCCTCTAAAATAAATAAATAAAACCTTTTTAAAAAATTTTAAAAAATAAATAATCAGCTCTGTTAAATTGGTTTTCTTTATTGTGTTTCTGTTTCACGTTTACCAATTTCAGTTCTTTTCTTGCTTTTGCTTGGTTCGGGTTCACTTTGCTCTTCCTTCTCTAGAGGCTTGACATGGGTGCTTAGCTCCCCGAGCTGCGACTTCCCTCTTTTCCCATGTGAGCATTTTAGTGCTGCGAGTTTTCCTCTCAGCGCTGCTTTACCTGCATCCCACAGAGTCTGATGGGTCATATTTTCATTTTTATTCAGCTCAACATATGTGTTCATTTCCCATGAGTTCCTCACTAACAGCTTCAGCTGGTCCCAACCATGGAGCATCATCCAGCGAGAAATCTGCAGCACAAAACTTCGCAGACCGTTCTCAACACATTCAATCAGTCACAGCACCTTCTTCACACACAGCATAAATCTTCTTTCTTTTACGTTTTTACTTTTCTTGAAGTAATAACGCATAATATACCAAAAATATTGCTTATTTTCTTCCATCTTCAATATTAAAATACAAAAATTCACCACTTTTGGTAAGTTTTTTAAAACTTCATGCTGATATGACAGTTGCCACAATACAATCTAACAAAATTGTTTTTTTTTTTATTTATTTTAGAGAAGGGAAGGGAGGAAGAGAGAAACATCAACGTGTGGCTGCATCCCATGTGGCCCTGCTGGGGACCCGGTCCTCAGCCCAGGCCCGTGTCCTGACTGGGAATCGAACCGGCGACCCTTTCGTTTGCAGGCTTGTGCTCAGTCCGCTGAGCCCCACCAGCCAGGGCCAACAGAATTGTTTCAAATGAAATTAAAGGCAACTAAACACCACTAGAGCCAGCTTAAAGAAGAAACAAATGGGGGTTTTTGGCCAACTAAATAAATTTTCTGGCCGCCCGAACGAACTTTCTGGCCGCCCGAACGAACTTTCTGGCCGCCCGAACGAACTTTCTGGCCGCCCGAACGAACTTTCTGGCCGCCCGAACGAACTTTCTGGCCGCCGAACGAACTTTCTGGCCACCCGAACGGAATTTTTGGCCCCATGGCCGGAAATGGTTCTGCCACCGAACGAATTTATTGGCCTGCTGTGTTGTTTTTTTTTTTGTTTGTTTGTTTGTTTGTTTGTTTGTTTGTTTGTTTTGGAGGGCTAACTGAATTTTTTGGCCAAATGAATAGACTCTGTGGTTAACTGGGTTTTGGGGCCAGTTTAATATAACCACATAGGTAGGTCGATCATAAAAGGGGGGAAGAATTATTGTGCAAAATTAATGAAAGGAAAGCAGGAATGACTACTCTAGTTTCAGATAAAGTCAACTTCAGAGCAAGAAAATAGCTGGAGGCAGAAAGGGGGGTTGTGAGAGTTTTTCTAGATTTTGTTTGTTTCTAGAGAAGGGAAGCAAGGGAGGAAGGAAGAGAAACATCAACATATGGTTGCCTCTTGCGCACCCCCTGCTGGGGACCTGGCCTGCAACCCGGGCCTCTGCCCGACCGGGAATCTAAACGCGACCCTTTGTTCGCAGACCGGCGCTCAGTCCACTGAGCCGCACCAGCCAGGGCAGGGACGTTATGTTTGGATAAAGGATAGATCCACCAAGAAGTCACGATCCAAACTGCGCACACACCAAACAAACACGGCAAAATACATGAAGCAAAAACTGGGAGAACGGAAAGAAACAGACAGTCCACAGTGATGGTTGCAGACTTAACACTCCTCTCCCAACACCTGTCGACAGAACAATGGGACAGGAATCAGCAATGGGAGGGGAGAACTCAACATCTGTAGCCAATAACATAGAACGGATGTGTATAGAACACGCCGTCTGATAGGAGCAGAACTAGCATTTTCAAGGGCCCTTGGAACATGTGCCAAGTCAGACCACATCCTGAGTTACGAAACAAACATCAACAAATGAAAAAGAATCAAAATTATACAGAGCATGTTATCTGACTACAGTGAAATGAAACTAGAAACCACCCTGGCCCACGTGGCTCAGCAGGTTGGGCATCGTCCCACAGAACAAAAGGGCACCAGTTCCATTCCTGGTCAGGGCACCTGCCTGGGTTGCGGGTTCAGTCTGTGCAAATCCTTTTCTATTTCTGCGTTTCAGTTGCGTTTTTACCTTTCTTGAAATAATAAAGCATAATATGCTGAAAATGTTGCTTATTTCCTTCCATCTTCAATATTAAAATGGCTACACAGAAATTCACTAATTTTGATTTTTTTTTTAAATGCATGCAGACATGATAGCGGTCACAATACAATGTAACAAAATTATTTTGAATGAAGTTCAAGACAACTAAGTGCTACTGGAACCAGCTACGGAAAACCCGAACGGACTTTTTGGCCACCGAACGAAATTTTTTTCTCTGGCCGCCGAACAAACTTTCTGGCCAGGCGAACGCACTTTCAGGCCAGCCAGACTTTTTTGTTGTGTTTTTGTTTGTTTGTTTTCTTGTTTAGTGAATGACTTTTCTGGCCAAACACATTTTCCGGCCAGCTGGCTGAACTTTCTGGCCGCCTGAATTTCGGGGCCAATTCACTATGACCACACAGGCAGGTTGAACGTAAAAGGAGGGGAAAGAATTACTCTGCAAACTCAATGAAAGGAAAGCAGGAATGACTACGCTCGTTCCAGATAAAGTCGACTTCAGAGCAAGAAAACGACCAGAGGCCGAAAGGGACGTTATGTTTGGCTAAAGGATCGACCCCCGAGAAGTCACGATCCAAACTGTGCGCACGCCCAACACACGCTGCAAAATACACGAAGCAAAACCTGGGAGGATGGAAAGACACAGACAGTCCCCAAGGACGGTTGGAGACTTAGCAGAGCAGAGCATTTTCAAGGGCCCTTGAAACATGTGCCAAGACAGACCACACCCTGAGTCACGAAACAAACATCAACAAATCCAAAAGAATTGAAATTAGCCCTGCCTGGGGCGGCTCAGCAGACTGAGCACCGGCCTGCAGACCAAAGAGTGGCCGGTTCGATCCCCAGTCAGGGCCCAGGCCTGGGCTGCGGGCCACATCCCCTAAGGGGACACGCGAGAGGCAGCCACACATAGATGTTTCTCTCCCTCTCTTTCTCTCTCCATTTTCCTCTCCCTAAAAATAAATAAATAAAATATTCAAAAGACTGGAAATTCCACAGAGCATGTTATCTGACTACAGTGAAATGAAACTAGAAACCGCCCAGACCCACGTGGCTCAGCGGGTTGGGCATCGCCCACAAAACGAAAGGTCGCCGGTCCCATACCTGGTCAGGGCACCTGCCTGGGTTGCAGGTTCAGTCTGCACAAATTCTTTTTTTTTTTTTTGGTTGTTGTTGTTTCATTGCATTTTTAGCTTTCTTGAAATAACAAAGTATAAAATGCCAAAAATGTTTATTTCCTTCCATCTTCAAGATTAAAATAGCTACATAAAAATTCACCAATGTTGATAAAGTTATTCTTAAATGCATGCAGACATGACAGCGGTCACAATACAATGTAACAAAATTATTTTGAATGAAGTTCAAGACGACTAAGTGCTACTGGAACGAGCCACGGGAAAAACGCACGGACTTTCTGGCCAGGCGAATGAACTTTCTGGCCAGGCGAACGGACTTTCTGGCCAGGCGAACGAACTTTCTGGCCGCCGAACGAATTTTCTGGCCAGCAAGGCCTTTTTTTTTTTTTTTTTTTTTTTTTTTTTTTTGGTTGTGTTTTGTGTTTTTGTTTGTTTTCTTCTTTAGTGCATGACCTTTCTGGCCAAACACATTTTCCGGCCAGCTGGCTGAACTTTCTGGCCGCCTGATTTTCGGGGCCAATTCACTATGACCACACAGGCAGGTTGAACGTAAAAGGAGGGGAAAGAATTACTCTGCAAACTCAATGAAAGGAAAGCAGGAATGACTACGCTCGTTCCCGATAAAGTCGACTTCAGAGCAAGAAAACGACCAGAGGCTGAAAGGGACGTTATGTTTGGCTAAAGGATCGACCCCCGAGAAGTCACGATCCAAACTGTGCGCACGCCCAACACACGCTGCAAAATACACGAAGCAAAACCTGGGAGGATGGAAAGACACAGACAGTCCCCAAGGACGGTTGGAGACTTAGCTCCCCTCTCTCAACAACGGACCACAGAACAACGGGCCAGAATCAGCAGAGAGAACTCAACAAATACAAACTGTTGATACATAACTCAGCCAATAGGTACTGGATACTTTTAGTAATTCTAGCATTACTTTAAAAAACTAAATTCATAACCTAAACACTCCCCCAAAGGAATCCCCGGGCCTAGGTGGTTTCACTGAAGAATTCCACCGGCGTTCACCCCACCCGGGCTCTTAGCCTGGGGCCCCCGCGCCCCAGGAACCGGGTGCACACACTCTCAGCAGGAGCGGAAGCGCCTGTGCTCCGCGGTCTGCCTTGGCCGGGTGTCTGGCGCGCCTCCCTGGGGACAACAGCCGTTTCGGAAGGTGCTGACAAGAGGTGGGGGCGGGCGCTGAGACTCTGTGACACTCAGGAAATCTGAGGGGTTTGTTGCCTCAGCAACGGGCGACAGGCCAGCGTGGAGCCGAGGCAGCTGCGGGCCTCGTGGTGGAAAACAAGCCACCTGCCCGGGGCCGCCCCGCGCACCCACCGTCCCTCGCACGCAGCGGGCGCCGGGGGAAAGGCCGCCACAGCAGCCCCGGGGCCTCCCCTCAGGGGCCAGGGAGGACGCGGACGTGCCCGCGTCAGGGCTGCTGACGTCCTGCTTTAGAATCTTCCTCTGCAAAGCTGTTCACGGCACCCGGGCTCGTCCGGGACCCAAAGGGCAGGGCCTGGGGGTGGAGCCGGCTTCCGTGGGGAGGCAGGGGACCAGCAGAGCCTGGCCGGTACACGCAGGGAACCGTCTGCACGCCCGGCCTGCTTGGCCGGTTGCCTCCCCCGGGTCACCCGCCCGTCCTGGCTCCCCAGCAGCCGCCGCGGAGGCTGAGTCAGGTGTCCGTGGGCGGAACCAGCGAAATCATTGTTTGGGCAAATGCATGGAGGCCATTGCCTTCTTTCGGGCCCCAAACCAGGAAACACGTGGTGCCCGGGGGGCTGCTCCGCCTCCTTCCTGGCGCAGGACAGACCCCACGAAAGTGTCCATTGTGCCAAGATTGAAACTCTGAGCCTTGGAGGGTGGCTTGGCAGTGCAGGAAGGCGCAGGGCGGGCGATTTCCCTGCACCGTGCTGGGCAGGGGTGGAGGCAGCCGTGGAGCCACAGGCTCTCCAAGAGCCGGGGCGGGGCCTCGGACGGCCGAGAGGCCTCCCCACCGTGTTCTCCCTGTGCGTTCAGAGGTGGACTCAGCGTTCGGGGTGGTGTCCGGCGCCTAAGAGCGATGACCGAGGACCCCGGTCCGAGACCCAGGGGTCAGCAGCGCTGGGCTCCTGCGGGGCCTCCGTCCCGGCTCTGCCGCCAGCGGCATCCGGGCGGCGCCCTCGCAGAGCCTCCCAGCCTGCCTGTGCCCTGGTCTCCTGCAGGACGCCAGGCACGTGGGAGGCGTCCACGCGGTCTTTTTAAAAACCTTGATTACGTCCTGACAGGCCTTCTCTCTGAGTACGGTCCCATTCCAAAGTGCTAGCGTTGGAATTCCGACCTGGCAGTTTTGTGAGTCGTGGGGACAGTTCAGCCCCCTCAAGGGACGCCGAGCTCGAGGGGCCTGGGGGTGCTGCCCTGGAACCTGGGAGCGGGGCCTCGCGTCACACGCGTGGGGGGCCGGAGCTGAGGGCCGGGCCGAGGTGGCGGGGAGGCCGTGCAGGACGAGGCGGCACCTCAGGTCAGGACTCGCGTCAAATCCGGCGGTGGCAGGCGGGGCGTGGGAATCCCTGGCTTCTTTTACTTAACGGAGAGGATTTCATCTTTTATTCATTCACACGAATCGGAAGAAAGGAGTTGGACGTATTTAAGACTTTCAACCTTCTGGGACAAAGCGTCTCAGGGAGAGAGAACCCACCAGGCGCCCCAGTGGGTGAGTCTGGAAATGGCCAGCTCGCCGGGCAGCACATGCGCCCCGGCCTCGGGGCCTGGGCCCTGGACGCGGCCACTGCCTCACGGGGCCAGGACGGGAGGCCAAGCTGCTGCCGGGCTGCCGGGGGTGCGGGCAGGACCGGAGGGAGAGACAGGAGACGCGATCCCAGCATCCCAGGACGCGCGCGAGTGGACACGTGAGTCCAGAGACTGCTGACGGTCCCCGTGGGGTTGGCAGCAGCCGCCCGGGGAGCGGAGGGCGCAGCGCGGGGCCTCGGAACCCGCCCGGGCGGCTGAACCGCGCGGGGACTCACGGCGCAGGCGCCAGGAGCCGGCCGTGTCCCCGGGCGCCGACGCGCGTCCCCTCCGCGGGGCCGAGAGGCTCGAGCGGGAGCCGGAAGTGGGCGCTGCCCTGTCCGGCCGTGGACGGAGAGGCGGGGACCGCCCGCCGCCTCAGGGGCCCGGGAGCTGGGGCTGAGGCGCGCACCGCGATGAGAATGCGACGTCCTAGCTGCAGACTGTGCCCGGCCAGGCTTGTCCGGAGAGGCGGGGACTGGACGGAAAAGTGCAGGGGCCGCGTGCGGCTGTCGGTCCCCGCACCCACCCGCGACCGTCGGAGAGGGCGCCCCCCGGGCGCCCCTCCGCCCGCCACCCCTCCCGCGTCCTGACCGTGGGCGAACTCCGGATGCGCGTCTGCACGCACGACACCCCTGTTTGTGACTGAACTGGGCTAAGCTGCGTGTGCCCAGGGGAAGGCCACTGCCCGCGCCGCTTGCCCGGGCACAAAACGGGGGGGGGGGGGGGCGGGTCTGCGGGCGCCTCCTCCCTCCGCCCCGCCTTCCCCGCGCCCCGTCTCTCAGGCAGGCGGGGGCAAAACGGCTTCCAGGCTTTAATTTTTCCGATCCTTACCGACCTCTCTTCAACGGCGAGCGGCCTCCCTGCGCAGGCCAGCGCGTTCCTCCCAGAGGTAAATGTGCCTGACCAGGAGCCCGCCGGCCTGGCGGGCGCTCACCAGCAGCCTCACGCAGCTCACCCCCAGCCCCAGGCCTTTCCGAGGCACCTCCTGGTCCAGCTGCCCCTCCAGGAAGCGGCCGAGGGTGGCGAAGCTGGTGCAGTGCTGGGGGGTGCCCTCGGGCTCGTAGCCCAGCTCCACCCGCCCGCTCCCCAGGGCGTACGTGCCGTCCACGATGGTGCCCGTCAGCACCTGCACCCGGCTCAGGTTGGCCGGGCGGTTCAGCAGGACAGTCAGGTGGCTGCCCGCGCTGACGTTGCGGGTCCAGAAAAAGGACTCGTCCAGGGTGTAGGCCTGCCAGGGGAAGTGAACGCCCAGAACCTCCATGTCCGTGAAGACGGCGGCGGGCGGGTTGTGGGGGCCGGATGGCGCCCTGCTCGGCGCGGCTCTCACCGCGTGGCCGTGGCCGCCGTTGGCTCTGTAGTAGGAGCCCCGGCGGAAGAAGAGGAAAGGCCTGCACAGGATGGCGTGGTCCTGGGCCAGGAGGGCGCGGAAGTGCGGGAGCAGCCTGTCGAGGGGCTTCTCCTCGGGGAAGAGCAGGAGGAAGTGGGCCAGCAGCGGGAGGTCCCTGCTGCGGAGCAGCTTGCCCAGAAAGCCCAGGTTCGAGAACTCCAGCAGCGCCCACGGGGCCGGGCCCGTGCGGCCCACCTTCTCACGGAGGCGGGTGACGAAGCCGGGGGCGCACACGGCATTGTCCTCCAGCAGCAGGAAGTAGTGAGAGAGCCTCGTGGCGAAGCTCAGGAGGAAGGCGTGGGCCACGTTCTGCCGGGAGAGCGCGTCCCCGCTCCAGGCCCTGTCCGCAGAGTAGGCGTCCGGTGGGGCGTGGATCAGCAGCAGCTGCCCCGCCAAGATCTGCGACCTGAAGAGGCTCGAAATCCGGGCGACGGTCTCCTGGAGCCACGCGCGGTCGGAGTCAGCCAGGTGCACCAGCACCGTCACCCGCTTCTGCTCCGCCCTGGCGGAGGCTCGGAACAGGGAGACCAGCGTGTACAAGAGGGCCCTCCGATCCGGCCCCGGCACCGAGGAAATGCCCACCGTCAGCCACGCTGGGGGGCAGAAGGGGCGCCGGTCAGTGTGCGGTGCTGGGGGCGGTTGGGGCGTCACGTGCTGGCGCCTCCTTGCTTCCCTGTCCTACTTCCCATCGATCTGTCTTTGGTGGAGGGGACGTTTAGGTCCTTGCCAGTCAAGTGGGGCCCTTACTCCAGCGCTGTTGTCCGGACGCTTTCGAGAAACGCAGAACCGGGCCCTGCCTCACAGCGCCATGGACAGAGTCTGCGCTTTAACGGCGTCGGCAGGGCCTGCGCGCACACCTCGGCTTGCAAAGGGCCAGGCTCTGTGAGGCCAGGCCCCCGCGGGTCCCTCTCCGTCTTCTCTGAGCCAGGGCTTCATGGCACGTGGCTGCAGGGCTCAGGAGACCCCTCGTCCCGGCCTCTGGTGCCTGCCCAGCCCCCGTCCCCAGGGCGCTCCCTGGGAGAAGGCGTCTCAGGAGGTGCCGCCCGCTCCCCTCAGGGCCCCGGCTTCCCCGTGGCCGCTCCTGCCCCTGAGCGTGTGGCCTCGAGCCGCCCCGTCACCCCTGAGCTTAGCTGCTGGCCCGCATGGCGGAGGGCGTGGACCCTGAGGCTTGGGGGCCGGTTCTAGGCCAGTGTCCTCGAACCCAGCGCCTGCCCTTCTCTACAGCAAGTGGCCTCGTGTCCCCGCCGTCCTCCTTCCAGACCTGAGGTCGAGTGTCTCGGTGGCAGGGGGGACACGGGGAACTGTCTGGGAGGCTCAGAAGTTCCCGCAGCCCTGCCTTCCCTCCCTGGGCACCTTGCTCCCGGGGCTGTCCCTGCCGCCCTGGGGACCCTGTCCCGCCCCTTGGAACTCACTCTTCCTCCTCCGCTGCACCGTTTTCATGTACTTGGTGGTGAGAGCCTGCCAGTCTTCTGGCCTCGGGTCCCTCCTTCTGCCGTCCCTGCCCTGGGGCATTGACAAAGCAAAACATGAGTTTCCTTTCATGAAAAGAGCAAGGCTGGACCCCGGCCGCTTCCCAGAGGCTTCGCAGGGAAGGAGGTGGAGGGGCCGCTCTGCCCCGTGAGCCCAGCTCTTTCCCAGGCGTCTGGCGAGTGGCCGAAGGGCCCGGGGCGCAGCCGAGTCCACTGCCGTTCTCGCCTGGCACCAACGGGGGGACCGCTCCTTCCGGGGCCAGAGGGCCCAGGGCTGCGCCCTCGCTCCTTCCGGAGCCTCCTGCGCTTGGGCGGACGGCTCGGGCCCCGGGGGGGGGCCCGTCCCCACCCTGCCCACCCAGGAGCCTCGCTCCCCCGGGGAGAGCAGGGGTTGCTACTTGGCCTTTGATAAACGTCATGTGATCGTCTTCGATCGCGCTGGGGACTTTCAACGTGATGAAGAGCCACAGGACCCCGAAGGCCACCAAGGCGATGAGACAGCGTCTGACAGAGCAGTGCATGGTGTCTGGGCCGGACGTGGCTCCTGCAGCGGAAAGCGGCCTGTGGCTGGGCTGCCCCGTCTGGGGGCCCCCACATCCCCGCTGTCCTCGGGAGCCTTCCCTCAGCCCCCCACCCCGTTCTATCCTTCCTTTTTGTCACTCTTCACTTACTGCCCCAGCCTGCCTTGCTACTCTCGCGGGCAGGGGACGGTGGCGGGATGGCTCAGAGCCGTCCTGGCCGCCGGGAGGGGGTCTGCTGTCCTGGGATCTGCACTGGCCTCTCTCAGGCTTTGTGGGGAGAGTCCATGTGCCCAGAGCGTTCCCTCCCGAGGACAGTGAGCACCGGCTTTGGCGATGAGCCTGTTTATCTTAGAAAACAGATGGTCCCCACCCAGCCAGCTTTTTCAAACAAAAGTGAAGCAATTGAAATAGATGAATTCAAAGTGTTGCCAAGTGCTACGGAATTCGGTGCCTTTCTTTACTTTTCACTAAACAGGATCATTAACTTATTCCAACCTGTAACGTTATTCACGGACCTTGATTGGAACGTGACTCCGTTAACCCCGTGTGAGAAAGTCCGCCCGCGAGGGCTGGGCCGCGGGACGGCGCGCCGGCTCGGCCCCAAAGGCACGGGGCCCCCTTCCGCTCGCCCTTCCTCCGGAGAGAACGAGCTGTTCTGTTCCTGGACGATCAGAGGAAAGCCTTCGATCCGCTTGCCGCCAGCTCTCGATACCTGCCCTGCTGTTCAGGACCGAGGAGAGGCAGTCAGGGACGCCCGTGTTCCGGGGCCGGGGCCGGCTCCGCCCGCCCCGTGTGCACCGCCGCCAGCCAGCCGAGGGTGCTGGTGGCGGTTACAGGCCGCTCTTAGCTCTTCAGTAGGAGGCGCACAAACCGTCCTTATGTGGGTAGCGGGGCTTTTCTTGCCTGGATTCCTTGCGCCAGGACCCCTGGCCAGAGGCGACGCAGAGACGCCTCTCTGCTCCAGAACAGAGACACGCGGATGCGGAGCCGGACGGAAAGGCCGTCCTGCGACAGGCGGGCCCTGCCCCCTCGGCGCCTCCCGCGACCTTTCCCGTCTCTCCGGGGCACAGGGCCCTGCAGCCCTCGGCCACCACAGCTCCTGGAAGGGGCCGGAGGCAGACGGGCCGGGGAGGGGGCGCCGCGGGCCAGTCCTCGCGCCAGGCCCGGCCAGAGGCCTGCAGGAGCTCGCGGGCCTCGCCCTCGAGCGGGCGGCCTCTGTGATGTGCTGGGGCTCTTGTGAGCTGCCGCCTGCCCTGCCCACCAGTCACCAGAGGCGCCAGGGGCAGGGCCTGCGGGCGGGGGCTCAGTCACCACTGTGATGCGTTGGGGGCAGCAGCCCAGCCCCTCAGGGAAAGAGATGGGAGCCCGCCGGTCCCCGGGGGGCGGGGGGCAGACCCGGGCCCCTCCCTTTCTCATTCTTCGCCCCTGCGGGGACCCTCTTCCCCTCGGCGGTGTCCACCCCCCCATTCTCCTTCTCTCCAAAGGTCGGCCTGTCCCTCTGCGACCACCCCCAGCAGAGCCCCTTGAGGTGGGGTCCGTATCAGCGAGTGGCTGTTGCCCTCGCGTTCCCGGGCCCTTCCCACGCAGCCCCCGCCCCGCGCCTCTCGACACGGCCGATTTCTGCCTCCTTCTCGGAGCCCCTCCCTCCCTGACGCCCGGCCCCCGCCACCCGGGCTCGCTGCCTCCTCCGCGCCCTCCTGGGCGACCGGGCCCAGTCCGGTGGCTTTGAGGACCGTGTTGAACGCAGTGTGTGAATGCGCGTGTGGACACACTGAGTGCACACACATCACCCCCCCCATTCCCGTGCACCCACGTCCACAGGCTCTGCTGGCTCCCGCTGATCGGCGACCTGAGCTCCAGCCCCGGCCCCGGCCTCAGACCCAGGTTCCTCGACTAGACTGTCCAGCATCTCCGGCATCTCCGCTCCGGCGGGTGGGACGGGTCCGAAGCCTCGCAGAGCGAAACGAGGAGGCCTCACCTTTCCCGCCCCCGAGCTGCCTCCTCTCACGCTCCCCGACCTCAGGGCACGGCGCGGCCACCCCCGGCTCCTCTGTCCCCTCCGTACTCCAGGCCCCTGAGTCCCGTTGCCTTTCCCTCCCAACTGCACCCTGAACGGGCCCTCTCGCGGCGTCACCGCAACAGTGCGGTCCCCTCCGCCGGCACCTCCGGCCTGGACCGGGGCGACCCCCCTTCTCATCGGCCCCTCCCGCCCTTTTTGCCGGCAGCCCCGTCTCCACAGAGGCCTTTCAGAGGTCAGTCAGACGGCGCCCCTTCTGCCGACGAGTCTCCGATGGCTTCCCTTGCAAGAAGGAAAAACCCACATTCCCGACCCTGCCTGACGAGACACCATCTGCCTCTGACGCCATCCCCCAGCCCGGGCTTCTTGGGGAGGGGCCACCCCTTGGACCTACCAGGCTGTTTCTGGGCTCCAGCCTTTGCATACGCATTCCTCTCCACGTTCCTTCCGTAGACCTTCCGATCCCGCCCCCTTCCAGGCATCGACCCTGAGCTCCCGGCTCCTTCTGCCGCCTCCGCCTGGCTCCCTCAGTGACCCCTCCTCTCGCAGCTTCCGTTCCTCAGCATGTGTTTCTGTCGTACTCGCACGCACGTGCCGGGGGTCCGTTTCTGCCCACTGGGCCGGAATGTAAGCGCCGGGACTTTGAGCCGATCTGCCCCGCGGTGCTTTGCGCAGCTCCCGGCCCAGGGAGTGCGCCCCGCGAGCACTGTGCGGTGCTGGCAGCCGAGGGGGCCACCGTCAGCTCGCAGACAAGGGGTGCGGGCTCATGGCTTCGAGCTCAGGTGCCAGACTCTGCCAGCCTGGGCCGGAATCTGCTTCTGCTGACCGGACTGGCCACCTGGCCTCTCTGAACCCAGCTCCTCATCCGGGCCGCCGCCGTGAGGACAGAGGCCACCCACACGGAATCCCGAGACTCGCCCGCACTCAGGTCAGCCCTTCTGTCACACAGGACAACGGCGTTTCCCACTGGGGACCCGCCCTGCCACCTTTCCCTCGTGTTGGGGGCCATCTCCCTTTATTCCTCAACCCCCACCCAAATTTTTACTTTTAGATTCTTAGACAGACGCTCAGCACCTTGAGAACCTTCTCATATCTCAGCATCTGATTCCCACTTGTCTGAGGGTTTTAGAAGAAGCAAAAAATAGAGTGGCGGGGGGAAGCCCGGACCCCCTCCCCGGCCCCCCCTCAGCGCTGTGGTGGGCAGAAGGCCCTCTCGACGCTGCGCCGTCCCGGTGTGGGCTCCGCTGCTGCCGCAAGTCCGGGCTCCCCTTTACGCCAAGGAGCCGGACTTTGCCCAGGGAGGGGCTGGGGCAGGAGCTCGCCCTTCCCCCCACAGGGCCTCCACCCCAGCCCTTCTCCGGAGCCTCTGCGGCCACGCCCCTGCGCACCGTGACCCTTGAGAAGGTCAGCAAGCTCGTCACCCCAGCAGCCTCCCCGGGGAGAACTCCTCACACAGAACACAGTCTGACCTCAAGTGTGTTTGGCTGGCCCGCACATAGTTTTTAAAAAACTAAAATGACGATGGAACATTTAAAAATAAGGAGAACGCTGGCTGGTGTGGCTAGTGCGTCGTGCTCAGGCCTGCGGACCAAAAGGTCGCGGGCTGATTCCTGGTCAGGGCACAGGCCTGGGCTGCAGGCCAGCTCCACAGGTGGGGGCGCATGAGAGCAACCAATCAACGTACCTCTTGCACATCATTGTGTCTCTCCCTCTTTCTTCCTCCCTTCCCCTCTCTCTAAAAATACAGTCTTTAAAATTAGGAGAGCTTGTAAGAAACCTCAACTTTGGCTTCTCTTGAAACACGGCAGCTTGTAGCCACCCTGGCCTGCATCCTGGGCAGCGAAGGCCCCTCAGCTGGACACGCCCTCTGGCTGACTTCGCTCACTGACGTCTGTCCCCTGCAGGCATCTGAGTCTTTGACCTCTGCTCCAAGTCCGGTCTTGGGGGGACTGTGCCAGGTCCTGGTCTCCTACGGGCACCTTCGGGGCATAAGGCGCCAAAAAGATGGGGCACGAAGGGACCCTGGCTGGGAGACCTCTGCTGTGGGCAGGGGTAGGAGGAAGACAGCAGAAGAATGTGGACAAGTGAAGAACAAACAGTGAAAAACAATCAAAAGAGATAAGGGACGTGGACGGATTTTTGTGCCCTAGGTAGACCGTGTTCTGGAGGACTGCCAGGGGGCGGGGCAGTGGCCAAAATGCCAGAGTAGAAGGGTGTGGACGAGAGGGAACTTGCTGCTCCAACTCCATCTTCTTGGAAGCGGCCAAGCAGCAGGCAGACCTCGCCTCTGCGCGGCCTTTTCCCAGCTGAGGGTCCCAAAGTATCAATTGGTTCCAAGCGCAGCTTCGCAGGCGTCAGCCAGCACCCCTGTCCCAGGGCAAGTGTTGTCTTGTGAAACTGTTGGTGCTGGGGATCCGACAAAAACGTGTGGAGCCACCGTCGAGAAGGGACACATTGATGGGCAGGGGCAGCCGGTGGCACGATTCAGGAGGGGGCTCCTGTGTCCCGTCTCCTCTGTCTCGGGGACATCGGCCTGGTGGTGGCCGGAGGCCTGGGGGCCGCCACTCCAGTTCCAGCCCTGATATTACCCGTGTCACTTTGGCTAGTGAACCTTTCTGAGCCTCAGCTTCTCCGTCCGCAAGAGGGTGACAGCACCCGCCGGCTTCCCGGGCCCTGTCCTGCTCCCGATCGTGCAGCCCTTCCGCTTGCCCCTGGCCCGGGGAGAGGAGACAGGGACTGGCATTTAGGGCTTCGTGTCACCCTGTGCTGAGTGGCAGAGGACACAGCGTAGTTTGGTTGAACACTGTGAGCTTCAAGTGAGCCTGGCAGGTCCCCAGTGCTGCACGCAGCTACGATACGGCTTGTGCAGGGAAGACGTTGGTCCTCAGTACGGAGAATTCCAGCCTTTCCAACTCTCCCAGGCCGGGGAGTGTGCCGAGCGGGGCCGCTCAGTGCAGAGGCCTCACGTGGCGGCTGGTGGCGGAGGCAGGGCAATCGGGGAACCGGAGTTTCACGCTGCCTCTCAGCTGCTCAAGGTTGGGGCCTGCAGACTGGCCCAACCTGAATTGGAGGCAACACCCAAGGCCCTGGCACAGGGCGATCTGCCCCTCCCCACGCCCTGGCAGGGCTGGAGAGCCGTGGGAACCTCCCACCTGCCAGGTCCGTGGGAGGCTCCCCGGGAGGCGGCCCACACCCAGGCCCCTGGAGCCCGGAACCCTGGGTCCCCTTGGGCTGAGTCAGCAGAGAAGGGGTCCTGGGATGGGAGAAAAGGAGGAGGGGGGAGGAGGAAATGAACTCAGTTACCAGGTGTCTTCTCTGGACCCAGACCAGCTTCCCAGGGACAGAAGCCCAGAAACGAGACCCTTTGTCCCGGTGTGAGCTGATCTGCACGTCAGCCTGAGTGGCTGGGGTGGGGCAGAAGCCTGGGCACAGAAGCCGCTCACTGGGGACCAGTCCCGCAGCGGAGAAGCAGTGGCTGGTTCCAGGGTCATGAGCAGGGCAGGGCAATGGGGGAGGACGGTCCCTCCCCTACTGGTGCCCCAGTTCCCACGTGCTGATCGCTGCACCATCTCTTCCTGCTTCGCTCGGGAGCCAGAGTCTTCTCCCATCGGCCCCAGACTCCATCCTCAGCCAGTGGGACCGCAGGCACTCAAGGCCACTCCCCGCCCCTTCGACAAATATTTGTGGAGCTTCTACTCGGTGCCTGGTGCCAGGGGTAGAGCCCGCTGTTCCTTCCCTCCAGCAGTTTAAATCTGGGCCAGAGGGCCTGTGCAGGGGAAGGGGGCAGGGAAAGACAAGCCCCGTATTTGAAGTGCAGCGACACAAGTCGCGAGATGTCGTGGGAGGACACAGTAGACAAAGCAGGGAGGCCGAAAAGGCCGCAGCTCCTCGTGAGATCGCAGGGTCTGAGGGTCTCCAACAGCGGACATCTGGCACCAGACATCGCGGGGCACCGAGACTATGGCATTGAACTGGGGTGGACTGAGGCTGAGGGGAGGCCTGAGCACTGGGCAGCCGCGGGGAAAGGAGAGCGAGCAGCCTCCACGGGGCTGGGCGGGGAGGCGGTGTCAGAGGGCCGGCGCACCAGGAAGGCGCAGGCCGGAGGTCCGGGCGGAAGGGAGCCCCGGAAAGCAGCGGGAGGCCGCAGGGGGACGCGTGCGGGGGAGGGGGAGGGCCCTACACGTGCGCTACGTGCTGTGCGAGCGCCTCCTCCCCCGCCCGGGCGGTTGGAGGCCGGGCCCGCCCCCAACCATCCCGGACCCAGGTCCCAGCGGAGGGGGTGCTGCGCGGCGGGCCTGCCCCCATCCACCCCGGGGCCCCGTCCCGAGCGGTGCACAAGGCCCGGAAACTGGGCTGTTGCCATCCATCCTGGAGCCCCGTCCCGGGCAGTGCGCAAGGGCTGGGGCGGGGGGAAGAAGTCGCCCCTCAAGTCTGGAACCCTAAACGACCGAAAGGCACGCAGAGAGCGCCCCTCACGGGCTGGCGGACCTGGGGGCGCAGGCCGGGGGTGGGTCGGATAGGCTGCGGCGCAGCGCGCCGGATGAGGACGAAGACCCCTAGGAGTGTGTCCAGAGGATCCGGGCTGCGCGGATGGGGCGGTTGGGGGGCGGTGGGGCGGGGTGTCGGGAGTAAGGAGGGGCTCCTGGAGACGTGGCACTCGGAGAGGCGCTGGTTCCTCCCGGGCCGCCCGGACTCCAGCCCCGCTTTCCGCCAGGGGCCCGAACCCGACACGGCCCGGGCCTCGCGCACAGCAGTCCGGGAGCCCTAACCCGGGAGCAGGCGGCTGGGGCGGCCGCTCCGGCCTCAGGGGCATCCCGCGGCCCAGGCCAGACAATGCGGCCGGGCCCCGCCCCCGAGGCCGTGCGGCCAATCGGCGCCCGTGGCCGGGCTCTTTAAAAAAAGAAGGGCCGGCCCGGCCGTGTCAGCTGGAAGATCCCTCCGCCATGTAAACATGCATCATAAAGGGCGGAGGCGACGCCGGACGGAGCCTTCCCCACCGGGGCCGCTCTCGCGCGGGCGCCCGCCCCCTACGTCACCGGTCTGCCGCACCTGGGAGCCGCGCAGCCTCCGCGCCCCGCCCCCCGTTCCCCCCCGCCCCCGGCCCCGCCGGAAACGAAGGCCGCCGGGCGCTCGGAGGGGTTCCGTGGGGCACCCCAGTTAGGGAACCCCCCTGACCCGCGGCGCCCGCACCTTCTCTGCAGGCCGGGCCGATCATGCCCGACGGGAACGCGGGCCCCAGCAAGACCTACGGCGGCACAGCCCGCCCGCCACCCGGGGCGGCAGGGCGACTCTTCTGGTCGATGTTTCGTTAAGGGCCAACTGCCCAACAAAGCTCCACAATTTCGCAGCCAACGCCCCTGTGCCCACCGCACCCGCCAGACGCCCTGCTCTACCTCGCCCCGGGGACCGTCGCCATCGCGGCGCGGCCCGCAGAGCTCCGGGGGCTGTGTCCTCCGAGGGCCGCTGGACCCTTGGGGCCTGGGCTGTCCGGCAGGGAGCGCAGGCCCAGGCCCCCGCGGCCCTCGCCGCCAGGCCTTCGTGGTTCGGCTGCGTCCCGAGCGAAAGCGGTCTTTTTCGTATGAAGTCCTTCCCTTTGAATTCCTCGCTCCCCTTGTCTGGGGCAGGACACTACGTACCCCTTCCTTTCCCCCAAAAGTGCCCAGAGGGGTCGGTGCCTCACAGTCACCGAACCGCTCGTGGCTCCGCGCCTGTTCGGCGAAACGGGGACAGCAAAGCTCCCACTGATGAGCTGATACATGGACGTGAGCAGAGCCTTCCGCCCACACCGTGAGCATCAGACGAGCCACAGCCATTTATTTAAACCCAAGTGCCGGCTGGAAACTCCCGGACGGACGCCTCCGGTTCTCACGACCCGTCCAGCCTGCGGGTGGGCTCCACGTTGCTGAAGACCCTCCGGGTCGACGCGTTCGGGAGGGCATGCCGTGTCCCTGCCCGGGCTTCCCATTCCTCCAGCCTCATGCCCGGCAGCGCCGATGGCCGCAGCCCCAGGCCGGACCCCAGGCGCCTGGGGCACCCGGAGGCCTCACTGACCCTCCCCGACTGACCGCCAGGCCGTCACCTCCTGCATTTGCCTCCCTTCCCCTAAGGAATGACGGCCCCGCGGCCTTGCTTTAGGGTCTCCCCCTCACGTGGCTGGGGGACCCCCTTGCCCTGCAACGCCCCTGCCTTGCGTCGTAGAGGCTGCATCTCTAGCGCGTTAGTCGGGCCTGTGGTTCCTTCGCCCTGTGCCTGGAGAGCCTTCTCTGTGACATGGTCACAGGGGGACGTGCTTCGCGTGGCCTGCGCAGCAGCCCCAAGATTAACCATGGACGCTTAGGTAGGTGCCCAGGACAGGCCAGTGCTCCGCCGTGGCTGCGCCCGCACGTCCCACGACCGCTTTCTCGCCTCGGTGCTGCAGCCACGGGGAGCCGGTGCCTTCTCGGCCCTGGGGACCCCTGGGGGTGCGCTGCCCCCGCGGGGACGTAGGACTGCGCGCGCGACACCCCGGGCGGAGTGCGACCCGGGTCCCCTCGGACCTGGGGCTGGGAGTAAACGGCCCGGGCTGGCCGGCTCGCGGGGCCGCAGGGTCGAGTCCAGCCCCGCGCAGGCCCGCCCTCCGGTTCGGGGGCGGCGGGTGGGGGCGGGGCGGGACTCCTTTTCCTGCCGCGGCGGCGGAGGCACACGGCGTGGCTGCGCAGACGCCGTCGTCGCCGTCCGCGGAGGAGGAGGAGGAGGAGGAGGAGGAAGGCTGAGGCGCCCGAGGAAGGCTGAGGAGCCCGGGTGCTGTCGCTGCCTGCAGCCCGGAGCGCCGTCCTCGTCCCCGCCCGAGCCCGGCGATGGATCCGGTCGCCGCGCCGCCTCCCGGCCCGCGCCCCGCGCCGCCGCTCGGGGGCCCCGGCCCGCTGGGCGAGTTCCTGCCGCCGCCCGAGTGTCCGGTGTTCGAGCCCAGTTGGGAGGAGTTCGCCGACCCGTTCGCTTTCATCCACAAGATCCGGCCCATCGCCGAGCAGACGGGCATCTGTAAGGTGCGGCCGCCCCCGGTGAGTCAAGCGGGCGCGGGGCCGCGGGGTCGGAACGGGCGGTGGCGGGGTCCGTCCGGCCCGGCGGCGCGGAGGGGCCGGGCCGGCGCGGCGGGGCCGGGCGGGCGGCTGCGGGGCGGTCGCGGCGCGGGTGCGGGACGGCGGCCGGGCGGGCGGCCGGAGTTGTCGTGCGCGCAGCAAAGTTTCAATATGGCGGCGGCGCCGGGTCCTTTGTGTGGCGGGGCCGGGCGGCCTCACCTGGGCGCCGCGCGCTGCGGGCCGGGCCCGGCGGGGCGGCGGGGCGGCCGGGGGCGGCAGCGGGAGCGGGAGGCGCGGGCTGGGCGGCGGTGGGCGGGGGCGACGTCCGGCGGGACGACCTCGGAGGCGGGGGCCCGGGGCCGCGGCGCCGTCGCCCCCCGCGGGCGGCGTGGGGGCGGGGTGGGGGCTCCCGAAACGGTCCCCAACGGCTCCAACGTCCGCGGAGGAAAGCGCCCGCCGGGCCGTGCCCGGCCACCTGCGGGCGGGGGAGACGCGTCGGCCTGACGGCAGTTGGACGGCCGGGACCGTTGGGACGGCGTTTAACTGCCGCTGCGACCGCCGCCGACGCGTCGTCCCCGCCCCCGGCCCCGCGCGGCCCCCCGCGCCCCCCTCTGGGGCGCCTCTGCCGCGACCTTCGTGGCGGCGGGGATTCCCTGAGGCGAGCCTCCGCCTCGGGGGAGCCGTTTTGCGGGGCTTCCTCAGCGAGAGCCCGCGCCCCGCGCCCACAGCGCCGACGCTGGGCTGAGTTTGGCCGGACAAGTTTGACAACGGCCGTGACACGCGCTCAGGAAGTCGGCGGCCGGCAGGATAGGGGCTCGGAAGTGGGCCGCGGAGGCGCGTCGTCTCGGGGACCCGCACGCGCCGGCCGGGCTGTGCCGGTCTCCGGCCGAGGACGGCGCCGTGGGTCGGACGTTCGGTTCGGCCCGGGCGCGCGGTACCGGCTCCCTTGTAGATGTCGGTCTCCGCGGGCGGCGGCGGATTCCTGCGAGGGAGCAGCCCCGCGGCCCGCACGGCCGCTGCCGGGCTCGCCGCCTCCTTTGTCCGCGGACTCCGGGGCCCAGGGGACGGGAAGCGGCCGCTGAAGTCGCAGCTCCGCGGGGAGAAGGGTCTTCTCGGAACAAAGGCGCCGGCGGCGGGTGGGAGCCGCTCCCCCGGGGGCGGTGGCGAACAAGTGGTGCGGGTCCCGTCCGCGGGTCCGGGCGGCGCGGGGCGGAGGGGGCGTGTGCGGGGGCTTCTGCCCTTTTGTTCTTCGCGTCTTTCCGGCGCCCACACAGCAGCCGCTCCTGCGGGACCGGCCGCGCCGCCTGTGCGACCTGCGGGCGAGGTAGGTCCTAGGATGCGGGGCTAGAGCTGGAGCTCGAGGCAGGGGGACCCTTTGTTCGGAGCCGCCCGCCGGGCACGGTGGCCTGGCTGTGTCCCGAGCTGCTCTTTTCCTTCTCCGTCTGCGTTCTCGTTTTGTTGCCTTTAAAATACAAATGTTCGCTTCCTCCTGGAAGTACTTGGGTGTCCCTGTCGCTCTGTGGTACTTGAAGACGGTTAATTTCTCGGACGTAAAATTTTAGGCAGAAGAGAGTTGGCTGCAGAGTTGGTTATGAGCACCTCCCACGTGGACTGGAGGGGACTTCACGGCCTCGACGGCTCCGTGGCCTGCAAAGGCTTCATGTCGCTCCACAGAGCGCGGGGGTGGAGGGGGATGCGCGTGTCTTCCCGGTGCATCTGGGGCCAGGGTCAGGGTGAGACCCCAGCCAGACGGTCCCTTCTCGGGTCTGCAGTTGGACCCTTTGGTCTCTCTTCGGCCAAAGAGCAAACCCCCCGCGGAGGCGGCGCCGGTCGTCGCGGGGGCGGGGGGTGGGGTGGGGGTGGGTGGCCGCTGGTCACGCTCCCTCCTCTGGTCTGGCCCAGCGGGATGCCCGGTGTTTGCCCCACGTTTTTCTCTGGTGGCGATTCTCTGACCAACTTAAATCCTTAGCGTTTGGAGAAAAACTTAGCAGGAACACTCTCGAACGAAGGAAGAGCCTGTCGTTACTTTTTAAGCAGCAGCAGCGTTGAGCTGCGTAACTCTCATGTGCCGTACAGTCGGTCGGCTTTTCAGAGTCGGGCGACCGTTGTCACAGGCAGAGAAGCCCCGCGTCCCCCTGTAAGCGCCTCTGGAAGAGGAGCCAGCGTAGGACGACGCAGCTCAGGAGGAGCTGCACCCCCTCCCCTCCCCGTGCTCTGTGGGCGGCTGGCGTGAGCCCCCGTACCGGCTGGAAGGTGGCCGCCCTCGCTGTGGCCTTCGAGTGGGTGTTCACTTAAACTCGACTTGGTTGGGGTCCGCGGCGGCCGCAGGTGTGTTGCCGGGCTGTGCCCCTGTGGACAACTGGCCAACGGAGCAGGCACACACCCCGGCCGGGAGTCGAACCGCGGCCTTGTGGTCCGTGGGCCGCGCTCGGTCCTCTGAGCCACACCAGCCAGGGCTGGTGTTTTTTTTTTTTCTTTTTTCTTTTTTTTTCTTTTTTTTTTTTTTTTCTCAGAATGAGATGTTCTTTGTAGGTGGTGCTGATACTCCTGTCCTAAGTGGCAAAGGTCGTGGTCAACCTCACAAGGTTGGAACCAATGCTGCCAGTCTGCTCCTTTCAGAAACTCCCGCTGAGTGGTACCACTTGAAGAGGAACCCCCGGAGGCACAGGAGGGAGCCCCTGGGCTGAGCTGCGGACCCCCATTGCCCTTAGGTTCCTGAAACTTTGAGAAACTGGTAACTATTTTAGAACCTTGAGTTGTGAGAAGCTTGTTTTAGACCCAACAGTTGTGGGCGGCCAAACAAAGATTTCTCAAGCATTTTATTAACGGCTGTTTCCTAATACGGGGTTAGAGAGGAAAATGAGGTGCTACCTTTGTGCACTCCTAAAATGTTTCTTTTTCTGTCATTATTAGACGAGTTCTATGGTGAGTTTGCTTTTTTATACTTCCAAGTTTATGCACCAGGCCAATGAGGAAAAGCTGTTTCTGGGGCAGTAAGTCTTTTATGCTCTGTAATTACGTTGGGAACAAAGCAGGGGGACTTGATTTAATGCATTCTTGTAAGTCCTGTTTTCAAAAACATTCAAATCTCTAATTGTAGACCCTTTCTCTTTTTTAAATTTATTTTTATTTTAAGAGAGGGAAAGGGAGGAACACCAATGTGTGAGAGACGTGGTTGCCTCTCGCACACCCCCAAACCGGGACCCTGGGGAACCCCAGGCTGCGGCCCCAGCCAGCGTGGAACCTGGAACGGGCACCCTCCCTGCCTGCAGGCCGGCCCTCAGGCTGCTGACAACCCCGCCAGCAGCGGGCCCCTACCTTCAGGCGTGGCCTGGAATCCTGGAATCCTCCATAGGATCATCGGCTTTGTTTATTTTTTCAACATTTGAGCTGCTTTTGTGGATTGTAAGAGTAGTTAACTTTGTTTTGTCAAAGCCGTCACTTCCAGGGTGTGTAGTAAAACATATTTTATTATGAAAATACTGAAGCAGGCACATAAAGAATACAGTCTCTCGGGCCGTTTTCCTGGACAGGAGAGGAGAGAGCGGAGCAGCAACACTGACGTGGGGAGCGGAGAGGGCAGCCTTGCCGCCGCCTCTCGGGGTGAGGCGCCCATCCTTCAGCAGGGCCCGTCGGAGGAGGCCGGGTTCGCGCCTCCCAGTCTCGCTGAGTGGCCGTGGTGCGCAGCGGGCGGAGCCTGTGGGGGCCGCAGTGTCTTCAGGCTGGGCGCTGCGTGCGGAGCCGGTGGGCAGGCGGAGGGCCTTCTCCATCCTCCGCTATTACTGGTCCCTTTTCCTCTCTGCCAGACTGTCTCAGCGGGGCAGAGCCGGGAGCCAGGGGTAACCAAGAAACAGAATGAGGTCCGTTTCTGGACAAGGCCTTAGACGGGGGTCAGGTCCTTAGGGTCACTTGTCCGTGCAAACCGGTGGTTTGACCTTCAGTCCGGAGGGCGCAGTTTCTGCTTCAGCAGAATTGCCCTTTCACGTATTTGTGGGATCGAATGCTCAAAATGCGCCATTTGAAAGCCAGGTCATTGACAAATATCTTCTGTCAACAACCCCTTAAAAATCTAAGAGCCCTTTCCCCAAAATAACAGCTTTGTTTCTCAGATGGGAGGCCCGTTCTGTGCTGCCAGGCAGAGGCTCACAAACAGACCGCTTTTTAGAACTTGTTGATTACATTTCACTGGGTAATCTGTTATTTTACAACAGATGTAAAATTTCAGGACTATTTTGCAGGGATAAAAAATAAGCTTTATCGAGGAGATAGTGTGTGAATTTTCATGTATTTTTAAAAGTCAGCTTCTCTTATGTAGAAGAAGGAGTTACTGTTTCTAGATGTAAAAAAAAAGTGGGTAGAATCTTGAATCTAATTCCATCATGACCTTGGACAAGTGAGCCTTCTCCTCCGCTATCAGGGCATCTGACACGGGCCTCGGACTGCTGTCCAGAGTAGTTAATTGATGGCTTGCAAGGAGCTTAGACCCCAAAGCTCATTTGTTTGCAGGTCAGAAGAGTCGGGACAGACGGAGTGAGGCAGGGGTTAGTGGCAGGGGTCGGTGTCACGTACGTGTCCCTCACTTTCCCCTTTAGTGAATGGGTTTGTAGAAAGAGGCAGTTGAAAAATCAAAAGGCCACCCAGCATCAAAACTAGAATATACAGAAGGTAATTCTTCACTTCGTTTAGGTGAAGCTTTTCCATAGCTGGGTGTTTTTTAAAACTAGTGGGATAGAACGTGTTTTCCAGGCAGAGCTGCTGTAAATTTCAGGAAACTCGCAGGTCCACATCTGTTGCGCGTGTTCTGCGCAGGGCGTGTGTACAGGCAGGTTCCCGTCGTCCCCATTCTTGCCCGGCAGGCAGGTCAATCGATTGCGCTTTCATTATTTCCCTTGTAAAATGGGAGAAAGTGGAAGAGGCAGTATGGGAGATGTTTACTTTGACCCCCAGGACAGAGCCCGGTTATATTCTTGGCTGACAAACTT